GACGCTTCTAACCACGGAGGAAGAAATAGAAGGAGACGCTTTCCTTTCACCACGGCTGTCGCAATGCTGCCGAGCTTTGATAGTCCAAAGGTGTATATGACACTTCTGTTAACATCTAGAGCAGATTACCTTTAGAGTGTTACTTTTGCACATTACAATTCCGCACAAATCGAAACACAGAAACAGTTCGGCGCAGAGAAATATTGCTGAATGGGTAGTAGCAGTTTGTACAGTTTAGTGGCATTTCCGCACAAATCACACCTTGGTTATCATCCGAAAACTTGCAATAGCGACTTAATTTTAAGAATTTCTTTTATTAAATTCTAAGCTACTAGGCTACAAAAGTATAGATTTTTAGCAAAATGCTTACGAGAAAAGCATGATAAATAACTCATGGTACTTTTAATATGTCAAAATATCGCCAAAATATAACACACTTTAAAGCTCAATCCTTATAACTAACTGGTATTAAGTGTGAAAATTTGTATATGCTTTTTTCGATGCCCTGGATAGTCTATTTGCTACTTTTAGGTTCCAAACTAAGAAGATGGATGCCTTCATAGAGGACTTAACTAAGGAAACCTGACCTCTTTGAGTATGTATTAAAAATAATTGTAATAATATTTTTTTTAAATTATAATAATGATTATAATAATAATCATTATTATAATTAAAATAACATACTTTGTATGTATAATAATAATTAATAATGTAATCTTTGAGTATGTATTAATAATAATAATAAATGATGACTTTCGTCATCCATGTAGGCAAGGATAAAATGAAAAATCAAAACCAAAAGTAAAACCAAATATTGTGAATTGCTAAAGAGAAATTTAAACAAGTTTAAACAAGTGGAATTTTGATTTTGTTTCCCTTTTACCCTTGCCTACATGGATGACGAAACACGAATTGGATAATTGAAGAGTTAGGTTTGGAGGCAACTTTCCGTTGATAAATCCGTCTCCTGCCTGCTCAACAATTATTCACTTATGCATTTTTATAAATTTTTAGGATAAAAAAATATATTGGAATTATATATTCATAGATTTTGATACTTGCACTTGATTTACATATGCTCTCATAATTTAAATGATATTGTAGATTAGTTCGCAGCAATAATTAATCACTTATTTGTAATTCAATTTCATTTAAAATTTAATTTAAATTTGCTTTTTACGAATAGAGAATGTTTGTTTAATTCAAATTTCATTCCTTGCAGCAATGGCGCAAGAGAATCATTGAAATTTAATTTAACTTTACTATATTCTTTTGAAACAATTTTGTTTGTACTTAGCAGCTTTTAGCGCTAATTACCTAGTTTGTTTCTCTGATAATTTTTTTCAAAATGAAACTTTCAAGTTCTAATAGTTTGGTTTTCTTTAGAGAATGTATGTTAAATTTAAATATTATGAAATTAAAATATACTTTGTAGAGTGACTATGATTTTTGATTTAAAGGAAGCTGAAACTCATGTCATATTTGAGAAATTATTTCAGAAAGAGGCTCTATAGATAAAAAAGAAATAATGCGCGATTTTAATATTAAAAATACTATAAATTTTGATTTTAATTTCTGTAATGGTTAACTGAATAAAATCTAATTACCTTAAAATTTCTTTCTAATGTAATTAGGGAAAACTTGTGAAAACATATCATTCAAATTAAAACTCTTGTGAGCACCGGAAAAGTTTAAAATTTAAATCCGTTCAGAAGGAAATGTTATTTAAAAAATGAATTCTTTCACGTAATTATGATTCTGAAATACTGTAAAAAGAAAATATATACATTTATGCTTATATTTACGATGTAATTACAAAATGTTTATCTCTGAACATGTCAAATCCTATAGATCTTATTGCCATTGAAATGTTTCCGAAAGTCTGTCCTCTCATTCCTTCTTTGCCCACCAGCGGCCGAGGGGTAAAGTCGCTGAACTCTGGTAGTTCGGTCCGAGGTTCGAATCCCGCGAACGGGCTCGCTACATGGGCGTTTTCGTGGTTTTCCCGTGTGTAACATGTATACGAGCCAGTTTCCCTTAGAAAGTCCTCCACGAAGGCATCCCTAGCCTTAGGCAGATAGCTCTCTAGGCTTTGATATAATCACACACTCATTCCTTCTTTCATGCTTGTAACAGTTTCAGGATTAATTTGTTTTGCAAACCGTTCTTCTAAACTTTAGTTTTTGAGTTTGGTTTGAATTTTTAGTAGGATAAATCTTCGATTCCTGTGTGTTAGCTTAGAATGTGGTTCAAACCTCAGTGCATTTTCAACAGTTTCAAACAATTTCATCATGAATTTTAATACATTAAAGACAACTGAACGCTTTACATCAAGGATGTTTTAATCTTTTGAATGATTTTATTACCTTTACATGCGTGAATGATTAGAACAGAATTTTCGTTAATTTGTAGCGTCTTCCCAAGTTCATTTCAGATATGGAAGTGATGGTATATTTTGCTAAACAACCAATAATTTCCAAATGCAGACGCTAACTCTTGTGATGTATTTTTATTTAAAATAAAAATATACAGTGGTGGCCAAAATTGGGGACACTTTTGGAAATTTTTATGTTTTTGAACTTTGTATGCTTACAGAAAATGTAACGTTTCGCAAAATGCAAACTTGTATATATCATTTTAAAGAGAATTTATTACTGAATTCAATACAAAACACAAAATTCAATTATTTGCAATACAAAAAACGTTATATGTACTTTAATATAAATTAAAAAACACAGCTATGAAGTGGTTTGTAATGTCTAGCTTTCCTGGCCAATCACTGTTCTTGTTCTGAGAACCAATCAAATGTTAGCAACTGCCAGTAGAAGCTGACATTATGTTTACACTTGAAACAATTCATTATTTTGCTTTATTCTGTGGAAGGAGGACCTGTTTCTTATACACTGCAATTACAAGTAGGAATTTTTGTAAAAATTTTTAATATTTAGTCAAGAAGCAATGACATCAAATAAAAGAGTAGATTGGACACCTAGAAAGGGATGTAATATTATTGTGGTACGAGAAAGTGGTCTTTCCTATGCTGAAATTGCAAGACAGATGGGTGGTTCAGTGACTACATCTGGAGTCCGAAAGTTTTGTTTACGATATCAGGAGACAAATTCAATAAAAAACAAAGAAGGAAAAGGTCGAAAAAAGTGCACCACATGTATTGATGACAGAAGAATAAAAGTACTGTGTCTCCAAGATAGAAAAATGTCATCAGCGGCCATCAGAAGTGATCTGAATGATGCTGGTGTTTCTGTCAGTTCAAGAACAATCAGGAGAAGATTAACAGATGTTGGACTGAGAGGTAGAATTCCACGAAAAAAACCTTATCTTAATTTTCAGCAACGAAAAAAAAAAGACTACAGTGCGCAAAGGAACACATTAATTGGACAGATGATCAGTGGTCACAAGTTATATGGAGCGATGAAACTAAGATATCGTTATTCGGTAGTGATGGGCGAAAATATGTAAGACGTAGAATAAGAGAAGAGCTACATCCTGACTGCACTCAAGCAACTATGAAGAACCCAGTTAATGTTATGATTTGGTCATGCATGTCAGCAGATGGTATTGGTCGCCTTCTTGTCATCAAAGGGACACTGAATGCCAGAAAATACATTGACACTATTCTAGAACCAAAACTTCTACCTTCCATCAGAGATCTCTTTCCCAACAATGCTTCGTTTATTTTTCAGCAGGATTCTGCTCCTTGCGACACGGCCAAAATATCGAAAGAGTGGTTTCGTACAAAAGAGCATTAAATTGTTTGTCATGGCCAGGAAAAAGTCCTGACCTCAATCCTATCGAAAATTTGTGGCACCGTTTGAAAACTCTTGTCCGAATGAGGCGCCCATCAAATAAAAGGGAACTAATTGAGGCTATAATTGTTTACTGGCATCATGTAATAACGAAAGAAGAGTTTAAAACTCTTGTCAGCTCAATGAAACGTCGATGTAAAGCTGTAATCAAAAATAAAGGGTACCCTACTAAGTACTGATAACTTACTGCAATCATCACTATCTAATGTATATCGATAACTATTATCGTTTAACTTTTTTGTATTGCAAATAATTGAATTTTGTGTTTTGTATTGAATTCAGTAATAAATTCTCTTTAAAATGATATATACAAGTTTGCATTTTGTGAAACGTAACGTTTTCTATAAGCATACAAAGTTCAAAAACATAAAAATTTCCAAAAATGTCCACAATTTTGGCCACCACTGTATGACAATGCACATCGTTATGTCAACAAAACTTTCGAGTTTTCGAAGTATTATGAGAGTTACTGAATAGTAATTTTGGAATAAAATATTTTACTGCAAAGAATATTTCGATGATATTTATTTTGTAACGAGCAATTCTTTGAATACAGAATAATAATATAGTAGGGAAAATTTGGAATCAATGTTACATTATTTAGTAGAATATCTATGCAAATAAATTTCAAAAATAGAAATAGGAACTACTGTATATAAAAGATAAATTTGAAAGAATAATCTAAAATGATACTAAAACTGTATAATTTATTAAAATTTAACAAACATTCTATTCGTAAAAAGCAAATTTAAAGTTAATTAAATTTGTAATTCAATTTCATTTAAAATTTAATTAACTTTAAATTCGCTCTTTACGAATAGAATGTTTGTTAAATTCAAATTTCATTCCTTGAACAACGGCGCAGGATAATTATTTAAATTTATTTTTATTTAATTTTAAATTTAAATTAAATTAAATTTAACTTTACTATATTCGTTTGAAACAATTTTGTTTGTATAATTTATTATATAGATTCTTTATTCTACATGCACTTTTGAAAGGAAAAAATTGCTTTTTTCCATTTGTAATGTAAGATAAATAGCAACTAGGTTGGTAAATTTCAAAAGAAAAAGCTCAGATTTCAAGTACAAATCGAGGAATAACATAGTATCTTTAGATGACAATTAAATTTATATTAGAATTAGGAATATTTATAAATATAAATATGCAACATACCAAAATCCGCCTGGATGTGTTCCATTCATTGTAACTGTCATTTCAAATCTTCTATGCATAGGATGATTGATTGTTGTTTCATCAAAGACATATGACATATCCACCATACGCCTGGCAATGGGAGCTGCATTTGATACCAGAAAGTAATAAAAAGATAAAACAATGACAAACATCACTATAACATTTAATTTCTGCTTTTTATACATTTCTGAAATTTCAGCAGACAATTCCGTAAAAAATTACACCTTTAAAACCTTGAAAATAAGTGAGAAAAATTTCAGAACTTTAAAAGTTTCAGCAAATCATGAACTCGATAGTAACTGAATTTCCTGAAATTGCTAACTCCAATTCTGTATCCAAGTCGAGTTACGAATAAAGCTTGTTACAGTATAACGAATAAACTAAATCGATAAGAATCCTTTATTTATGTTTAAAGATGATATCTTATCGATAAGAGTTTTAGCGTGAAACTAAAATGTATACAAACCAGAAATCAATGACTTCATCCGTCAGATATGAAGGCACTTCAAATGTATTTCAATATTCTTTTTAAAGCACAGCATCTCAATAATAAGCTGGCATTCTGTGATAACGTCACTTTTTCAGCACTCAAATTATGTCTAAATTTTATAACTTCGAAAATAGGTCAGTATGGTGACTAATACTTTAACAAGCACCATTCGAACAGACAGCAATGATGTGCATTCGCTATCTAATTAGAACAGCATAGCACTTTATGATAATACAATTTTACTAGGTTGAACAAACACGAGCAATAAAATATAGTCTAAGAATGTTATCATTGTATAAAAGAGTTTTTGAATTATAGTTTTAGAATATACGTAATTAAATCTAAATTTTTTAACTCTATTACCCACCTTATTTTTTTAACTTTAGCAAATCTTGTAATGCCGCATTATGTGTTCCATCTTGATATGATATTTACCGGATAAAAAAATAGTCTTAATTTTTCTCTGCCATTTGAGTCATTTTAATAATTTATGCACAATTTGCACTGGCAACCTGAAGAATGAAAATGATGTCTTAGATTGAATGTTTTTATTTATTAATTTTCTCTTCCCATAAAAAAAAAAATCATTCAAAGTACTGTAACGTTTTGAAGCATTTAACGAAAATAGCTTGGCTAGCTACCATTTCTCCTCTTTATTTCATCTTCCCCCCGCCTAGATTCCTATCTTTTAAGTTACAGCTAAAGTTGAGGAACTTTAAGAACTAGTAAGCGAATCATTGCTTTAGTTCAGTAGACAGAGAACAGATACTCAGGAAGGGTTAAATACCCTTTATTATTCCAAATAAAGTTTAACTGTCGACTCCTTTTTGGAGTTTACAATACAGCCTCCACTCGGTTTTAACTCAGGAAACTAATGAATGAAACTTTAGTAAGCTAAAACGATATAGCCGAAGCTATCAAAATTCTAACAGAGTTGGCCCCTTAACGCTAACTAACGGCGAAGCTATTAAGGGCCTAACGTACGGGTGATTATAAAAATAGGTTTAGAGAGAGTATAGCCAAGAGGCTAACGCGCGCTGCATAGAATCTCTGGCTTTCTCTTCCTCATTTGCATTTGATCGTGATTCTGAAAATACGGTCTGGCTGGAAGTTGTAAACTGAAATTCAGAAAGGACACGAAAGTAACTTTAACTAAAAATTAACTGTTAGGGAAATTAAGATAAAGCTTACAAGCTTTCATATTTTAAATTACGTACAAAGGGGCGTTTTTTTAACATTTTGTGCGTTACCTTTATTTATTAAGTATCATGTTCTTCGCACTTAAACCATAAAATTCAGTTCAAGACAATATCGCAAAATGATTTTAGACTGAGCATATCTTTAGAATTTCCGATACACAGTCTCGCGCGCTGGAGATAAAAATGTTTTTCTTTCTGTACAACGTTGCCATTGCTCGCTTTGAAATCCTTGAGTTTGTTAATGAAAAATTCATTAAAGTTCTACAAAATATGAAGTCTATAATAAAACAAATTCCAAATTTCAAATTTGGGCTTTCAGATACCCATATTTTCAGTAGGATTACGTCATTCAAAACTGGGTACCGTTGTTTTATCACAATACGAGAAACATACATACATTTATGCAGATTCTTTATTATTTAATTTCTTCAAATATAATAAATACAAGGCGATAATATTCGGTGGCAACAGTTTGAAAAATGCAACGGACATTCAGAGTGATTTGACGCAAAATGTTGATTTGACGAAACGAGAACAATAATAGTCCCTCAGGAACAAAGCCCCTTTGGGCTAATAAGAAGTAAGCAGTCCTTTACATTCAGCAAACCATAAAAATCCGAACAACAGAGTATGTGTACAAATACAAAAGACATTTTTTAGGACTGTCTCTGTTATGTCGCGAATTTTAATTATTAATATGTGTTTTAAGTTATTATTATTCTAATATTTTTATTTGTATTGGAAAAAAGTATTCTTAAGCTGTTAAAGTTTTATTTAACTCGTTATTCTTGGAGTAGGAATTGTAACAAGGCGTGAGACGGTTGCAAGGAAACACATCCTGAGGGTTGATTGGTTTATGGCCTTTTTACTAACAATGGAGGCAGTGGGGTGTTGTACATTGAACTGCGGTGCTTAACCACCAGGGTGCCTGGGCGCCATAGCCCTACCCCTCGTCGAATAACATGATAAAAGTTTCGAATTATGAGAAATATAACTGAATGTGCTAAATAATTAAATGAGTAAGAGTTTAAATACATAATTGCTAATAGTTAAATACATATTTTTTCCTTAAGTACCTAATTACTAATCCATACATAATTAACTATTTTTAACAACTATTTCACAGAAGAATACATGTACACACAGAGAAACAAAATACGAAGTGCGACGCCTTAGTGCCACTAGTAAAAACAAAATGCAATCAGGAGGAAAAAAGAACAATATACAATAAAGAATCTGAGCAACTGTCGCTTGTTACTAATGGTGTTTGAAACGAAAATAGTCTTCCCGTCGCTTCGTTAAAGTTGCAGTTTGCTTACTTCATAACAATGGGGAATGTACTAAGTTTAGGTAATTGGATTCTCGTAAAGCTTAGTTTCGCTTGTTAGTTGGGGGGTCCATTTTTTCTCTCACGTTGTGTGTACAGATGTTTTCCGGACTGCATTGTCAGATTTCCTGGTGTTTGATTCGTCATGGGTGTGTCATTTTCTCAGTTTAGATAACGTAAAATTCCGGCATTTGTGTGATTTTAATGTTATGATTTTTGAAAGCCTATGAACTCACAGAGGCGGAGAAACCGAGATTTCCTGGGTGCTTGCACCAGGCTAGAAATTATTCGGATTCTGATTTTTGAAGAAGGAAAAGAAAAAAAAAAAGTGGGGGCTTGACACTTCGAGTCTTGCTCTCGCGAGCCGCGTGAACCAGCGGGCAGCGGGTATGATTTTCTCTAGGCGTTTAGCTGGCCAGAATTTGCGTTGGCATAAGGCGTAGAGCTCAGCAGAGAATTTCGATTCTCTTGTTCCAAGAATTGTACTGCAGATTCTCTTGGTGATCTTGATATCCTGATGCGGTATTTCTGTTTTTACCGACTTTGACTTTCTAATTAGATTTTGTTCCAAAGGTGCTCTACGTTTTTTCGTGGGTTTTGATGCTTCCAGAATGAAAGAGACTCGTGTAGGATCCGTCTAAGGTGTGCGATGCTGTTTATTCTGCCTGTGTCAGCTGCGTCGATGTTTTTCACCCTTCCGTCCTCTGGAATTTATTTATTGTAAGGACAGCTTCAGTGGTGTTTCAACCAAGTGATCTTTAAAATTCCCAAGAAATGTCTATCACCATTAACGAGGATTTTGTGAATAAAGGACAGCAGGAATAATGTGGCGCTCGAGAAAACTTTGGACGGTAAACGATCTGTAGAGCAGTCAAAACGCCTTATTAATCAGTATACGAAGGTATTCCCGAGTAAAGTGAGTGAGCGGTATGGACTTCACCCCGTGAGTGATTTTTTTATTTTATTTGTTTTACTTTAATAATTATCTTAATACTCAAGCAAGAGTTGTCATTTTAATGTTTGTTGAAATTTGAGTAATTACTTAAATTAATTAATCGATGTGGAAATTATCAGTGTTCTTAGAGGGAACAAATACTTAAAGTTAGAAGAATTAAATAATGAGTAGTTATATTAATGTACTTGTAAACGAAATGATTTGAAGATTTAAGTAATGAAAAGTTATATAAATATACCTGTAAACGAATGTAATGTTAAAAAAAATTTAGTACACCTAACTCTAGACTAAGTACTAGACTAGTAACTAGAGTGTAAGATTTAAAATGAATATGTTAATTTACATCTTAAGCTTAATTTGTAGGGGACTGATCAGTTTACCTAGTTATCATATGTTTGACTATTCTAGAAATTAATAAATGTGTTTGATGTATATTTTATGTTTCATTTGTTTATCTAGTGTATAAGTTACTGTGGTATGTCATGTCCCTCTATTTCTTTGAGCCGGGAGGCTTTTAAGAAACATGGAGTTTAATTGAATTTGGGGTTATTGATATTTCCTTTTGCATAGGTTACTCATAACGCAAACCTAAAAGTTAAATTTTACTACAACTATACAAATGTTTATAAGAATGCCGATATGATATATGAATATTATGAATTAGATTTGGAATGTGGGAAAGATTATATTATTGTTTTTAATATTATATTTTTGAGTTAGTGTGTCCGGCACCAAGGTTCAAAGTTTAAAAGTATTAAAACACTTAATTTTCTGAAATTTCCTGATATTCAACAACTCTTACAAAAGGATATAATAGAAGAAATGATAAAACCTAAGAAAAATAATAATGAAAATAAGGATAAGGAAAAGAACACCACAACATTTAAACACACACACAATAAAATTAATATTACTCAAACAAGAACATAAGACGAAGAGCACCACCAGGAAATTAAACCGTTTTTAATATTAGATAGGCACCCCCACCGCTAGGTCGCTCATCATTGATAACCTTCATAACTAATTTGCAGAAAAGTTTAAAATGTTTATAGTCTGAGAAAGAATTATTGAAATTTATATTATATTGAATTCTTAAATTAGTAAAAAGACTGCAATTTTCGAGGAAGTGGTACAAAAATTGTTTTATCGTAGTTGAAATCTGGAGAGACAGGCTGGGAAGCGCTTGTGATTGGTAGAAACTAATTAGTATCGTTGAACGGAAAACATTTGACTTGTTTAATTAGGTCAAAATTATTAAGAAAATTAATTTTTCGATCTGAATTTAAAGACTGAAACAGGTATTAAATGTATACCTTCTCAATATACATTTGTGAGGTCCACCTATGGAATATTGTACCTTCGGACAGTGTAAACCCACCATGATTGATGGAATCTGGAAAGAAGTGGAAATCAGTGCCCGTGAAAATTTTACGAAAAACCCTTTTAGCACGTAAATCATGATGCAGACTTATAGTCCAAAACAAGTAATATGAAAAAAAAAAAATAAATAAATAAAAAATAAAAAAAAATAAATAAATAAATAAAATAAATAAATAAATAAAAATATTGAAGTCAATTCCTACTTAGGTCAACAAGGAAAAGTTTTTTAAAAAATTTAAAAATACAAAAAAAGAATATTATTTTTTTTAAAAACAAACTGTATTAACATTAAGTGTCCTCCACTGCAAGTTTAAAAAAATGTATTTGAGCTTGAGTGGATGAATAAGTCAATTATAGAGTCTAAGCGACAGCCCGGCATAAAAGTATCGACAAAAAAAAAAAAAAAAAAAAAAAAAATTATTAATTGTTTATATTTATCTCTATCCCTAACCTTTCTCGAGCACATGTGGCTCCCTCTAGCTTGCAAAGTAAACTAACTTATGCAATTTTCTTATTTCTGCTCACTTTATTTAATTCTGATGAGGAAATAAATGGTTTTAAACCATAGGCACTCCGTAATTTGAAATCATTGGCATTGGCAAGTACTTTATTATTGAAAATTAATTCAATAAAAAAAATTAAATTCCTACCTAGGTCAACAAAGAAAAATAAATAAAAAATAAAAGTACAAAAAAATATTAATATGTGAAAAAAACTGTATTAACATCAACTGTCATCCACTACAAGTTTAAAAAATGTATTTGAACTTGAGTGGATGAATAAAAAGTATTTTATTAACGATTGAAAATTTGAATAAGATATAGAGAGAGTGTGAGCTAATAGTAGGAATTTAAGAAAAGGCTATGTGTTTCGAGCATTTAAAAAATAATCTTGTATTTTAAACATTAGTTAAATGGAGACAATGGTCGCTCTAAAAATGTGTAAACATTATCTGCATTTGTATAATATGATAACATGAAGGGAAGGCAAATTTTGAAGCCGCTTCTGGCGGCAAAAAAGGCAACCTCCGCGGACGGTAGAATTTCTAGTTATGCCATGGTTTTTACTCCGTCAAGAAGAAAAACTTTAGAAATCGCAGATACGAAGTAGCACGGCATCACATGGGTCTACAACTAGCCATTACGCGGCCAGCCTTCTCCTGGCTTTTAAATGTATCAGAAGTACCAGAAAAATGCCTAAAGGGAACAGCAAATATTAAATTTAAAAACTGCACAGAATTTTACTCTGTAACAGTATCAAAAAAGAAACAACAACAACAAAAAAAGGAAAAAAAGAAATTTAAATAAAAATGTATGACATATATAAAAAAATAACAATGAAATAAGCAATATCCCTTAACACAAATATTAATTATCCTAATAAATAAATTAATCAAATTAATCAACTTCCCTTACCAAAATCTTGAGAATTCAAATGGTATAAAGGAAGTTAAGAACTTTTGTTTCCCCTAAAAAAAAAAAAAAAAAAAAAAAAAAAAAAAAAAAAAAAGCAAAACTTTTGTATAATTAAAATTGTGGCTGTAGTGTAGAATCGGGTGCCCTTTCGATTGGCAACAAATTTTGTTCAGTTTTGGTGATGAAATCCCATTTCTGGTTACCATGATAGTTTTAACTTAGTTTTACCTTCCTGAAATGTTTTAATGAAAATAGATCGATGTGTACATGGACAAAGTCAAGGCAGTGCGCAGGGGCGAGTTTGTGCAATTCTATGATGTTTTTTATGTGAAAATAGATTGATGTATACATGGACACCGAGTTTTTGCAATTCTTTTACTTCTTATTTTGGTTTTGAGTGGCGACTATCTTCAAATTGTGCTTTCTTGGTGCCGACTTTGGCGCCAAAAAAGAATCGCCAGAAAAACAAGGGGCACCCAATTGTAAATTTTTACCCAAATTATATATAATTAAAACATAATATAAAAAATGAACAATTAATGAATTATTACAATGAAATAAGCAATAAATCTCATATTTTCAAGAGAAAACAGTCAGTAGTCCAGTATCCAAAGCAATGAATGAAAAACTGTGGCCAAAACCACATTTCTAAAAGAATGAAAAACTATCATCATAAAGCAATAACCAATCCAATAATTGTGTTTTGTTGATGACATAATTCAAAATGTACAAACCTCTTTGCCATTAGCTACTAAAGAGAGGGGGAAAGAGAGAAAAGAAATTCTTTCTGTTGTGCCTCGCGAGTTACATGCGCGTCAGAATAAGATTGCGATGTGCCGGTTGCGTGTCCAAAAATGTAAAAGAAAATAAGTAGCATTTTATCTCATATTTTCAACAGTCAGCAGTCCAGTATACAAAGCACTGAATGAAAAACTGTTGCGAAAACCACATTTCTAAAAGAATGAAACTATTCAAAATGATGCGATTTCATCAAAAAAGATTGTTAAAAAAAATCGGATTCGAATTTTGGAAAAATTGCTTCCAAGTGCACTGGCTCTTGTCTAGATGCACCTACGTACCAAATTTCGTAGCCCTGGGTTTATTAGCTTACACGCAGCATGAACCAAAACATACACACACAGACTCTTTTATTATATGTTGTGCTACCGAATTTGCTTAGTCATACATTATTCAACGAGTCTCAATTTTTCCTTTCTGCACCTTTGCCTTTAGAATCTTCTCAATCAAAAAAGATTAACAGAAAAAACTGTTTATCGGAGATATGCAATTATTTTTATTCCCGAGAAAATTGTTCTTGGTCTTATCTTTAACGCTTTCAATATATCAGTGATATCTCTCTTGCTGTTTACACATAACATACGTAATTCGCTGTGTCATTTATAGAATCTGGTCTATCTTGACAAGATTATTAGTGATATGGCAGAGTATCCTTATCATTTTTAATTATATATAAGAACATAATTCATAACTTAGGTGCAGATGCAGATAAAACGCTCTTGCTGAAGTTGCATTACTCTTCTTAATTGGCTGTATTATTCGGTATTAATTTTTTAGGGAATAAAATTCTGTAGAACTGAAATCGTCTGCTTCAAGTTTCAGTCATCTATAAATCGTTTAAAAAATTTGCCAAATATAAAAAAATGAATGCAAAAATTTATATTTTGACGATATGTTTTTATTGCTTACTCAATTCCAACGCATGGCCCATAGCTAAACGTATGGTGGATATGACCTATACATTTGACGAAACAACTCTACACTTCCCTACAGCCAAACCATTCGAACTTACCACAAACATGAATGGAACAACTCCAGAAGGATTCTGGTAAGTAGCGTTTTTATTCTCATGCGTAATTTATTACAGTTAAGAAGCATATGATGATTACAATTAGGTCCCCGGGCAAGTGGGGCAGTATCCCGGATAATGATCTCAGGGACCCCCCGAGTGAAGAGAAAAATATGGGGTAATACCGACTGAGTCCACTCCCCAAAACGGTCTTAATAGTCTAGTCCCATTTGAGCCTTAGTGGGGAGTTCTGTAATTGTATTCCAAAATAAGCCCGAACAGGAAATTGCCTCATTTCATTTTTGATAAAGTATCAAAAATGAAACGCCTTTCTATAAATAAGAGAACGTAAAATCCGTGCTTTCAGCTGCATAAAACATTTTTGTTATGATTTATTTATCTTAATGATTATGTACAAAAACAACGTTGCATAAATATTTTGGTTTTAGTTTAGTTTGTGTTATTTTAATGGAAGCTTTTAACCTCAATTTTGAAATATAATACACGGCGATGATATTTGGTGGCAGCACTTTGAAAAGTGAAACTGACATTCAGACTGATTCGACGCAAAATCGCAAAACAAAAACAATGGTCCCTCAGGGACAAAGAACGCTGAAAAAAAATAAAACGGAACCCCTAATTCTGCGAATTCATTCGTGTCCGAAAAGTATTCTTATCCCGAGTTATGTCCCCCTTTTTTCGAAACCTTAGAAAAACATTCTTGGGCACGCATTTGTATTGAATAAAACCCACCCTCTTTGTAGAATTATTTATTTCCCCAACCATTTCCCTCCCCGTTGCCCTTATCGCTTGTCAATTCAGTATACCATTGTTCAAAAGACTGAGAAAAACCTTCGAATGAATGACTTCAAAAAATAAACACGTATCTTTCAGGTTTTTTCGTAAAGAAAAGGATACGCGTTATACGGCGAATATAATTAAATTAAAAAAAAATCTAGTTTAAAAATATAGATGTCCGTTATACACCGGTGCGTGTTATACGCCAGATTATACGGCGGAATATACGCCAGAATATAGCATTAGTATGAATTTCTTTGTTAACAGTATATCTGGTAAATTTTCCCTTTATTTTCCTTTAGATGCATATTTTGTATGATTAAGACAAAGGGTATCTATACCTTAAAAAGTTGACATGACGGACAAAAACTTTGATTATTTTTGGATTCGGAAGCCAACAGATAGTAGTTAACAGCAAGTCACACATCTCAGAAAACAAAATTGTTGTTCCCCAGTGTAACATCTCCGTTAGTGAAAAACTTTAGGAATTCTTTTGAATTTGTTGACGATGATTTTGAATATGAAGTCAACATTTCAATACGATTCCAGCCTTTCTTTTTGTAAAATAATTTCCAACGGATGCTATTTTTTACATCTGAAGCCAGTTTGTAGAGACATCATGTATTTTTCGAAAGCAGGAGAGATGAAAAATCAGCAATGCCCTCGCCGGGACTCGAACCACGGACTTCTCGAATACGCCTCGAGCATGCTAACCACTACTCCACGAAGGCATGCTAGGAAGGCGGGAAAAATATCTTATATACTCCCTTTTTTAAAGGACGACTGGGGTTTTAGGGGACCCAATCGCCAAATCCTGGTGGTGAAGAATCATCATTCACCACCTTTTAGTTCGGGCGCCACTGTGGAGACATTAGGTATATTTTGAAAAAAGAAGAGATGAAAAGTGTGCAATGTCCTCACCGGGATTCGAACCACGGACCTCTCAAATACGCGTCAAGCGTTCTAACCACTGCACCACGAAGGCATGCTAAGTATATTATTATGAGGGTACACTTTTAGCTTTTAGAAACTATTTATTTACAGTCTTAGAATGTATTACTAAATATTAAATGTTACCATTTACAAATTATTAAATATTACATCTTCCGTTTTTTTAAAGAGTTAACAGTTTTAACAGTCTAAAATCAGTCCAAATACCTGGCCGGCTTTCTAATCACTCTCCCACTTCTAGTTCTTAGCTCACCGTTCCTTGTTTCTGAGTTAGCAGAGTTTGGTAGTTGATCTTCTAAACTTTGCCCTTGAGAATATCTGGAATCATATCCTTTTATCATATAAAAGGCGTGAGAAATACCTTATAAGTTTTCGTTCTCAACCTCAACTTTACATGTTCTATCTCAGATGCTCTCAAGAGGGTCGATACTGACCCACTGGAGGTCGATGAAATTTTAAAGGGGATACATTATAATCAATGGGTCGATAGCCGAATACACGCAAGCGCAATCCATCCGTATAATGATCATCCCATTGGTCGAAAAAATATATTAATATTGTAAACTTGTAGCAAGGAAGATCTCTGCACTCTTTTAAATACAACAGATAAAATATATGTTTGCAAGTGTTAAACCTGAAAAGATTGGTTGAAAAAATATTGTACAATTAGCTAAGGAAACAGGTTACTGTAGTTTAACATTATTAATTGTATTGTATTTGTAACGTTTTTGTTAATATATTTCTTTTAATAAAGTCAGTGGCGTAGCTAGACGGGGGTGATTTGCCAGAAAGGCATTTTCCAAGTTAAAACAGGTCAGCGTTTGATTTCTAAAATTAGAACTCCCTCTGGAAGATCACCAGGAAAAAGCACCAAGATTAAATAAATAAATAATAATAAGAAAAGAAAATCTGAAAGGTTTCAGATTTGAAATTACGTCCAAAAGGGCGTTTTTTAAAAAATGTGTTACCTTTATTTATTAAATATCATGTTTTCGCACTTAAAACACAAACAATTAGTTTAAGAGCAATTACAGAACAGGCACAGGTTATGCTACAGACGAAACTCGCGCTATTTCGCGGGTATTCAAATTAACATAGTCGATAGTTGGCAAAGGCACCAGTGTTTTATCGTTGGGTCAACAGGTGTTGTCCTTCCACTGCAGCTCTCTGTAAACTAAATAATTTTTCATTTTACAATATTTTTCTAACATTAATGATTGAACAGACTTTTGAGGACGAATTCATAGTAGATGCGAGTATTCAGATCAATGTATGGCGGACACCCATTGTTTAAAAATAAGCAATGTTAGTTTTGTTCAGCAGCCCAAATTATCCAGGTAACTACCCTTCACAAGGACCCATAAGGGGTCCCGCCATGCGTTGCTGTGTTGCATAGCTCCGTCCCTCTGGTGGAGCTATGTGTTTATGATTATTATATAACGTTTACGTTTATGATTTTCTTTGAGATGTTTGTTCTTGATAGCATATCTTATAAGGATTTATTTCACTTTCTGATGTCTTAAATTTTAGATGATGTTCAGTTGTGTGATGTTCACACAGCTGAACACAGCGATGTTGAGATGTGAGGGAGCATTTAAATAAGCAATGTTCGGGGCTAGCTCTTTCTTCATATACAGACTGATATAAAGCAGCTAAGTTCCTTGCCTAAAAGTGCATGGGAAAGGGGCCGTGACCCGTCAAAATTTCAATGTAAGTAACATACGCTGATAACATCTTTGAGTCATCTTAGATACTTTATACATAAAATAACCTATCTAAGACGACTCAGAATTGTACCGGAGTGGTTTTAGAACATCGGCTAGCAAGCTGCCAAAGCCGAAATATAATTTGGACACAGCTGTCGAGAGTAAGAAACAGCAAAACGCGGCCGCCAGAAGCTCCAGTTCAAACATTCAAAGCCCTCAGCTTAAATACACAAAAAACCTAATTTGCATTCTGGTAAGGAATATAATAATAATAATATAATTGATTAATTAAAATAAAGCTTTAAATTCTGGAATTAAGAGTTTTTATTTCTTAAATTAACACAGAGTTGTTATTTATTTCCTTGTATGTCGTTCTAGCATTTTACAGATTTGATCTTTTGGTATGCATTGAGAAGGGCGGTGAAAAGTCTAGCTACGCCACTGAATGAAGTGTGTTAAATTTCTATAAATATTCCAGATAATTTGATTAAGGCAGTAATAGAGCGATTTATATTACTTTAGGTTACAATTTGATGAGTTCTCATCAGGAATCCATCTTGGTACTCATATGGACGCCCCCTGTCATTTCTCCAAGGGCGGCATGAGTGTTGATGAAATTCCTTTGTCCACTTTAATTGCTCCGGCAGCTGTTATAGACATAACCGAAAGAGCCAATCAGAATCCTGACGAGGAACTCACGATCGATGACCTCCTCAACTGGGAGAGGAAGACACAGCAAAATTTAAATGGAACTATAGTACTTCTCAGAAGCGGCTGGGGACGCAGATGGGGAAACCTTACTGCATACGCTGGTACGTCTGAAAATGATATTACAAAGTTGCGATATCCAGGATTTTCCCCCGAAGCAGTACAATGGCTAATCGACAACAGAAACATTCCCGGCATTGGTATCGACACATTTTCTTTTGATCGGGGAATTTCACGCGAATTTATGTCGCACAGAATCCTTCTTGGAAACGGAAAATTCGCCTTGGAGAATGTAGCCAACATGGAAGAACTTCCTATATACGGAGCCACATTATATGTAATGCCTATGAAGATTGGAAAAGCAAGTGGAGCACCAACCCGCATTATTGCCACTTTTCCAGAAGTAATTTTTAACACCGAGGAAGACTGGAAAAGCAAGTGGAGCACCAACCCGCATTGCTGACACTTTTTCAGAAGTAATTTTTAACACGTAGGTACCTAGTGAGTAATTCTGGAACTTATATGACAGGTGACAGGTGACTGCAAGCCCTGGACACCCACACGACTTTGCAAAAGACTACTCGGGTGTAGTCCAGGACCCGCAACTAACTTATATGACAGGAAAACTTAACATCAATTGATAATTTAAACACATATACACTTACATATACACGTAGAAACAACACCCCCAACGAAACAGTTCAAGCCTGAAAAGCCCTGAAAGAAATCCCTACGAAAATAATTCCTGCCAAAATAGCTCAGCAATATAGCTTTCACGATTACATAATTATCGTTGTTATACAAGAGATTATTTACAGCTTTTACAAGGGTCAAAATAGCCAAAGACTAAACAGCCGGACGACACAGTGCAGAAGAAATAGCCCACATTTATTTTAAAAAGCCCGATAAAACGACCCACATTCAAATTCTGAATACTTTTGAAAGCCATTTTATTGGGGCTATTTAATCTCGGGCCTGTTGGAGATGTTACAGCTTGGGCTATTTTGACAAGTGGCACGTAGAATTAGTATAACTAACATACTCTCTCAATCGAAAGAGTCGTATTTGACTCTTAACGAATGGCATCCAAATGGAATACTAAAGCATTTTATAGAATGCTTGAAAACTAGCCGACAAAGTATGAAACGATTCACATTTTATAAATTTCCTTCCAATTGACAAACCAGCAAAGTATGAAATACATCTTCGATTTTTTTCGAATATTTATACATTCGTACATAATTTGGCCTAATTTAAAATTATGCATCTCTTCAGGAAATGAGGGATGTCCTCCGAGTATTAAGATTAGTGGTATGCAGTGTTGCTAGAAATTTTTCAACTTAGGTAGCAAAAGAAGACTAAAAAATTCGCAAATGACATCAGGGATCACGTTATTTTTTGACGTCATATTTACTTCGATCCTTAGCCGTTTTAATTACGTATTTCTTAGCTTTAACTAAAATTTTAAAACTATATTGCTTATTCCTTTTGTAATTAATTCTCATTTAATTTAGATTTCTCTTTTTAAATTAATTAGTAAGATATTCCTCATGTTTAGATTGTTAGCGTTTTTGTGCTAAATATTTTGAGTTGGCAGTTAATTTTTTTAATCCAGTGTTTTTTTTTCGCTTATTTGTGCACATTTTAATTGAGGAATGCTTTTCAGTGAGTTTTCTGTTCTGGGTGGTGGACTTATTTCAAATTCTGATGCTTTGTTTGTTCTTTCACTGCTAAATTTGTGTAGTTATTTAGAAAAGTGCAGTTGTTTTGATTTTTAAGTCATTTCTATTCCCTAGTTCTCAGCAATATTATAATCAGGAGGATGAATTTTATTTCTTTCTCTGTTCGGGTACCCAATATATGGCACGCAAGCTGCAAGTTCTTTTGTTCGATTCGTTATCACCATAGAACTGAAGGGGGGAGGACTGTCTTAAAAACAAAATCTGTAGAGCACTAAAATCATGGCTATTAGTATTAAGGTATATAATTCTGGGTTTTACAAAGCATTTTATGATATATTAAAAAAAAATTTTTGAAGTCGCAAAAAGTAGCGTAAGGAAATGATGAAAGTCGCAAAAATTTCGCAAAATCGTAAATACTAAAATTTTAGTAACATAAGTTTGTCAAAAGTCGCAAATTTGCGAAAAATCGCACAATCTGGCAACACTGGTGGTATGCACATCGGTAAATAATTTCTAGAAATACTATGAACAGTTCATAAATAAATTTCCTACATTTTTTCTAAGTAAATTTCTGTGATTATTTACACTTTTATGTACGTTTCTTGCTATATTTATGTTAAGTTAGTGAAATTCCATTGAAGGATATTTTTTCCTCATTGTTTAAATGCTAGCCCACCAGCGGCCGAGCGGTAAAGTCGCTGAACACTGGTAGTTCGGTCCGAGGTTCGAATCCCGCGAACGGGCTGGCTCCATGGGCGTTTTCGTGGTTTTCCCCATGTGTAACGTGTATACGAGCCAGTTTCCCTTAGAAAGTCCTCCACGAAAGGCATCCCTCCCCTTAGGCAGATAGCCCTCGTGTGCTTTGCCATAATTAAATACACCAACACCATTGTTTAAATGCTGTCAAAATACTCATGGACAAGCTTGATCACATAAGTGGCACCTCCTGTATTTTTAAGTTCTGACAAACTTCGAAAATAATTATAGGATGCAGAAAATTGTCAAGGAGACTGCAATTCTCATATAAATAAATGTCTACAAAGAGCTTAATTAACTTTTGGCACTACATGACTTTTGGCTGAATATTCTTTATTTGAATATAATGTTTTGTATAAATGTTTTAAAATAATTTTATTGATAGGCAAAGACAAATAACTGATGTATTTCTGCATTATGTACTATTTCATCATGTAATTTTATAATAAAAGTTTTGTAAGTTGAATTGCTAATTATTATTATTATTATTATTTTTATTTAAAACAGCTTTTGCTCTTTTGAAACCTCTTCAAAAAGCAGCGCAACTGCTATTAAAAAATAGTTCACATTTAATGCCAATACAAAATATGATTTTTAATGCTCTGACTGCTCAATTTTCTTATTTATCAAAATAGCTTCAAAAACTGCATGTTTCTTTATTACATATCTCAAATCCATATGTATTTAAGAATTAAAAGACGTAGCACAATTTTTACACCAAGATACATTTAATATGGATTTCATGCTTAAGAACACGGTTCCATCAAAATCCCATAAAGATAACAATTCTGAAAATAGACCTTCATTAAATTACGATTTACTTCATAGAATATAAACATAAAGTATTGGTTATGCATACACAGAAACAGAGCAGTTCTATACCTCCCGTTCTACTGGGCGGAATAACAAAATTTAACTCGCATTTTTCATGTCTCGAAAGCGCGACTTAACGATATTACATTAGATTTATACACTCTTTTGCAAAAAAATCGAAGCACCATGAAGGAAGTGGTTGTTTTTGATGAAATTGAATATGTGTATAGCTCATACACAGATATTAAAATGATTAAAAAATCAAGGTCATAGTACCTGTTTACGACTCACAATCACCCATTGTGTGTTCAAATTAGTAGTTGGTCGAACCGGCCCTGGCGGCAATGCATGCTTGAATTTGTCCAGGAAAGGAGTGGTAGAGGTTCCTAATGCCATCCTGCGACACATTCTGCCAGGCATTCATCAGCTGTCGCTCCAAATCTGCGATATTTTGTGGTGCCCGAATCTAGCGCCTACCATGCCCCAGACATGCTCGATTGGTGAAAGGTATGGTGACCTTGCTGGCCAACGAAGAGTATGCGAGCAGTCCAAAGATATGCGAGCGGTATGTGGCCTGGCATTACTTTGTTGGAAAATGGCCCCAGGATGACGTGGCATGAAGGGTAATGCAACTGGCATTAGGATGGTATCAACATATCGTTGAGCTGCTAAAGATATACAGCGGATGATTAAAGATGACCTGCTGTCATAAGAAACAGTGCCCCACACCATTACACCAGGGGTTATGGCTGTATGCCTTTGTAAAACGAAGGCTGATTGGGACCGCTGGCCCCGTCCTCTCCAGACACGAACACGGCGGTCATCTGCTTCAAGAGTGAAGCGGTATTCATCGCTGAACACTATACGACGCCAGCCATGATGATCGGCTGCGATAACACTCCAGACGACTCCTCCGATGTTGTGGGGTCAAAGGAAAGTCTTAAAAGTCCTCTGTGAGCGTATCTCCGTCTCAGACAAGCGCCGTGAAATGGTGTGCGGTAACCAAGGGACGTACAGACGTGGCTGTAGTGCGTTGGATAGTAGACAATGATACCGTTGGGGCCGTTCGGGCCAACGAGATAATATACTGGTAGAGAGCGTATTGCAACCTTCAACCGGTTCCAACATTAGTGTCACGTGACTTCAATTCCGAAAGTGCGGAAATACTTTACATTGCTTTCTATGGGACGAAAGACTGCTGCTCTGCTTGGTCACATAAAATTTAAGTAAAAATGGTTATTCGCTGCAGCGCCTATGGATGTAAAGAAAGTTTCGTGAAAGGAGGACTTGTAACCTTTCATAGGTAAGTTAAAACTGCATGATTTATTATTTTATTTTCAGTATTTTTGTCATTTTACTATCTCTGATGAATTGGTTGGAAAGTTTCAGCCATATTGTATAAGAAAATTGCCGCATATGAATTTTCAGCATGTATTATTAGCATCAAAAGTATTAAATACTGTGACACTATTTACTGGAATCACCCTTTACAAATAATTGAATTTTATATTTTTTTTCCGTGTATTCCGTTGAAATAGAAAGCTGCGCCAATGGCGTTACCTTTTTCGCCAAGTCGTACGCGTTTTGATTTTATAAACAATTACTTGCCTGCTATAAAAAAAAAAAACGCTATTATTAGCATTAAATTATTGAGAAAGATTGTGCGATATGTTTACTTTGTTAAAAAAAAAAAAAAGCTAAAGATGATTCATGCAACATTGAACATAAAGTAAACAGCATTATTTTAAAATCAGATTACTTTATAAAGCTCAATGCTTTATCATTATTTCTATAAAATCAATTAAAATAAAAATAATCTGGATTATAATTCTGTTCATCTACGATGCTGTTAGAAATTTATTGTAATTGAAAAAATGCGATTGAAAAACTTATTTAAATAGTATATTATATTAAAAATATTAATATTTTAAATAGTATTTAAAAAAAAAAGGAGAGCGAGAAATTTTAACTGTAATATCGTTTTGATCCTAATAATAAATACTGAGTTGAAGTTTGTTACCGTTTCATACATATTCAATATAAAATAATTTTTATAGTTAATAAGATGTATTGATCCCCCCCCCATGACATACACATGAGTGTGGAAATCAGTAATTAAGATTGCATTATTTTGTTCCAGTAATATAATCTCAAGAAAAGAGAGTGCATTATTTTGTTCAGTATATAATCTCAAGAAAAGAAAGGCAATCAATGGCATAATACATATAATACAAGTGATTTTCTTTTTCTCTTTAGGATGCAATGCATTAAAATTAAACGAGATTTTTTTTTACCTTCTCAAATATTATAACAGTAGTGCAATTAATTTTTTAACGTTATTCAAAATTAAAGTTTCCATCCATTTTTTATTTTTATTTTAGATTTTCTTCCTAAAATTATTTAACCTAAACATCTTAAACAATGCTGCAAATAATTTAAAGCGATTATTAAAAATATAGATAAAATATTCGGAAAAAAGGGGTTAAGTTTATCTAAATATACTTTTAAAAAATCGAACAACCTAATTCGAGGCTGTTGTCTGCTGACTGCTAGCAGACGGAAATAAAAAGTACTACCTGCCATATCAAAAGCGGGCCAAACTGGCGATGAACAGCCTAAACTATCACTCCCCAAGAGCGCCAAGAGCATTAGTCACGTGGTATATGTTGGAGACACCCTAGCAGACGAATTCTCTGTGGGTGAGCCGTCTACCTGTTATATGAAGTCGTTGGTTCGGGCCTGACGAACAAACATTCTATCTTGCCTCGCATTTGTGCTCATTGACCTTCCAGATCCTTCATTTTATCGGCAATTTCCTTGTAACATTGCTAGTAACTATTGTTGCACAGCAGTGTCTGTACGCTCATGACCACTGCTCGGTCACGCAACCCTCCACAATGCGACCACGTTCCGAATTCGTTTAGTTGTCTGTAAGGTCTTTGATATTGTCGTAATTGGCATCTTTAGTTGCTTCTTTACGGAATTACAATGGCAGCAACAAAAAAAAGATAAATTTTCCGCCTCTGTTACTGGTTTTATACTTTGTGAATTGCGCACTAGAAATGCGCGCATGATCGTAATTCCTGTTCATTTGCCTTGAAACTTTGATCATTTGCTTGTTCGATCAAGATATTTTTGCATACCAAATTTCGTCACGATCGCAAAAGTTCTTGATGCTTCGGTTTTTTTGCAAAAAAGTCTACATAGAAATTGTTCTAACATAGGTATTCTGACACAAAATCGGACTTTTTCTGAAATAACTTACCTACTTTTTTTCATGTTTCGATTCAATGACTCAAATTATGCCCAGATATTAACTTCTGTAAAATTTCGTGAGAAACGTAACGAGAAATTTAAAAATCTATCTCGGGGCACTTTTTTCAGTTTGTGCCCAAAACAATTAATTCACTTAGCGAAATTTTTAATTTATAGTAACGTATTTTCTTTTCCCTTTTTCACGGAGAAAAAGTCGTCTCGTTGATTCTTTCAAATAATTTTAACAAAGCGCATAAAGACTTTATAAAGCCATTATTATCGCTTATAACAAATATGCCAAATTTCAGAATGCACCAATATATAAATTCATGTATATCTTTGGAAATTTTAAATAAAAAATCCTTAATTTTTATTGACATGCTTAGAAATACATCTACTTTAAGTGATGGTAAAAATGTCATAGGTTATAAATAAAAATATTTTCTATAAAATTTAAAATCTAATACATAGCTTAAGTCATCTTTCGAGACATTAAAATGCAAGTTAAATTTTTGTCAATCAGCCCAGTAGAACAGGAGATATAAAACTGTCCCTTTTGGGAGAGCAGAGTATACACTAATAAAAATATTCAATATTTAACACAAATTACACTAGAAATTTAATTTAGTGGGGTTAATTTCAAAATAAGCTAAAAAAGTCCTATTTCACATTCTTTGCACTAAATTCATGTTTCTATGTGAATTTTGCTATTTTGCTTGGCCATTTGAAGGGTTTTTTTTGGGGGGGGAGGGGGAGGGAGCAACTAACGGCACACTACGTATCGTGATGCTTTTTTTTTTAATGGGATTCTAAATTACATATCGAATTAAACTGAGGGGGAAAAACCTGCTTTTATTCGAGGTAAAGTATTCAAAGAAATCACCTCGAGATTTTTAACAACTACATACCCTTGTCATACCTTTTTCATTCCATCAAAACTTTGAATGAAAATTACGAATATCAATTAAATTATGATCATGGTGACATCAACAAGGAAGAATGCTTCGTTAAGGGAGAAATACAGGTATTTCAGAGTTTCATGTACAGTCAAAAGTCGTTAATCCGGACTCGTCGGGACTTCGGCGATTCCGGATTATCGATTTTTCCGGATTATAGATCATCAGTTTAAATCTGGTAAGATGGCATGCAAAAATTACAAAATTAAAAATATGAAACCGTAATTTATGAAATAAAGAACAATTATGATCTAAAGGGTATCAAAATTTACAAAAAGAAAAAAGCTTAATATTTATTTGTTTACTTTATTAAACATTTCCTTCAATGTAAGTTGCTTCGTTTCATGTGATAATACTTTCTCTTTAATTCTATTAAACAGACATAATTTCTTGTTTAGTTACAAAGTTCCGCTGTTCAAGTCCTATAATTGCTTTGACGCTGTAAGGTTGTTGTGTTGAGAATACCGACTAATTTGTCAATCGAAATGTTTTCGTTTTCAATAACCTCTGGGTCACTTTCTTCACTATCTGAAGCGAATTATAATGACGAGGAACTTGATTTAAATCATATCAAAGACGGAGTACATCGAGATGAAATACTAAACTTAGTACGGAATTATAATCCAAATAAAATAAAAACATCTGCTCTGAAGATAAGGATAGTGCTTGACAGATCAACTTCCAATCCGCCAGCGTGAAATTGATAAACAGATTTCGGATTTCAAAACATACTTTCGCTTTGTAGATACAAATTACATATTAGTAAATATATATTGGGAAATTCTATTTGACATAATCTTTCTAATCTATCATAATCTAATAATGACGTTTCTGCCCCCCCCCCCCCTCTGCCGCAGAGCAGTGTGAAATTGATAAACAGATTTCGGATTTCAAAACATACTTTCGCTTTGTAGTAAATATATATCGGAAATTCTATTTGACATAATCGAAAGTTCAAGCTTACTTTTATAAAATTGCTCTAACAGTCTGCAAAAAATAATAAGCCGGATCCAATTCGAAGATTAAGGAACAACGCAATCTGCAACATTAACTGAATTAGATAACTTTAGCTTAGCGTATAACTCCGTTACACATTAAACGCGCATGCGCACAAACATATTTGCAGTCGTAAGGGTCTTACGCGCTCTCGTAAACGCCTGTGCGCATGCGTGAACGCGACGCATGCGCAGAAAGTTTGTAGCTTTGAGGTCCGGATTATAGATCATTCCGGATTATGGGTGTCCGAATTAACGACTTTTGACTGTATATTATTGTTTGGAATACGAAAAGTGGTTCTTTTGAATTCTAACTTTTGTGGTTTATTTTAAAACGTAGTCTTCAGAACGAAGCAGTTTTGTAAATGGAGTTTTCCAAATAATTTCAGAAGTATTCTACAAATGCAAATTTTTAGTTAGCGGTTAAGTATTTAAGAACAATAAATGTTTATTTTGCATTTAAGAAACCTTTCTATAATGTCTACATTACAACAGGTGAAACAATCAAGTAGACTTCTACGATATATTGTCAAGGGCTTTGAGAACAAAAAACAAACAAACAAACACACACACACACACACACACAAAAAAAAAAAAAAAAACTTTTAGATTTTACATTACGTCCGCGAAGGGGCCTTTTTTTAATGTTTTATGTGTTACCTTTATTTATTAAATATCATGTTCTTTGCACTTAAACCATAAAATTAAATTCCACAGCAATATCGCAAAATAATTTTAAAATGAGCATATCCTTAGAATTTCTGATACAGTCTCGCGGGCTGGAGATCAAAATGTTTTTTCCTCCGCACAGTGTTGCCATTACTCACTTGAGTTACATCGTTGAGTTTGTTAATCAAAAATTCGTTTAAATGTTACAAAACATGAAATCGATAATAAAACAAATTCCAAATCCAGGCTTCCAGATGCCCATATTTGTTGGAAGATTACATTATTCAAAATTTGATGGCTCTAGGTACCGTTGTTTTATCACAATGAATATACATACATTTATGCAGATTCTTCATTATGTAATTTTGTTAAATATAACACAGGGCGATAATATTTGGTGGCAATAATTTAAAAAGTGAATGAAATGGACATTTAATGTTTTCAATGCAAATGCCAAACCGAAATTAATAACTCTTCTGGGCTAAAAAAAAATAAAAATGCCAGAATTAGAGTTTTTCTTTACAAACAAACATAGGGTTCAAATTTAGTTCCCTATATGTCAATGTGATATTTCTTTTAGTTATTTTTCATATATCAAGAGTGGGAACAAATTCAGGGGCCACCCTGGGCAGTAAAAGCTCTATCACAAAAGTCACCAAACTTGGTGATTATTTGGCAACATTTTGTTCTGAACTTTGTATAACTGTAACTGGTCCAACCCCTATACTACTGTATATGCTTTCCAGTAATTTCGAGAAACTGAAGATACTGGAAATGTATATTGGTGGACGGGGGACATGTAAGACTGGAGAGAGTAGCAGTTTGTAGTTGAGTTTAGAGTACTGAGAGATCACTGTGCTAGCTTAAGCATTTGAGGCTTTTTTACCGTCTTCTGTTTAACATTTAGTAGTTTGAAGTGGTAACTACTGATTGTACTCTGTCAAACTGAGAAGACTAGAACTTTTGTTAAAAGTTCCAGACTATAAAGTGTTTTTTTTTGGGGGGGGGAAAGTATATTTCATCAAGCTATCATAGGTTCTGTGTGCATTCAATCCATTATGAATCCTTACATACATAACAATAGCAATATTAGAATTACAGTATCTAATAATATCTTGATTTCTACTTTATTGTATCTTAAATCTCTCCTGCTGCTGTTCTGTTCACTGTTACTCCCTAGGCCTCAAATACATTAATGCTATGTGAACTGCTGTTTGTGTCCTCTGCTACAGCTAGCAAGCTATTGTCAGCATTACCATTGTATTGCCTTTACACTGTTCAGTCTTGTCTTCCCATGTGTAACGATCTTTAGAACCATTAAGAATATTAAATACCCCTATTTTTTGAAGCTCTTCAATATTATTGCTTTATTAATAAGATCCCCTCTACATGAAATTTATGAGCATATCAGTTAATAAGATGAACTCATTCTAACACGCTGAAGGCCACGTCAGTCACTGATGATTGACACTGTATTTTGCATTCAGGCTGCATTAGTCACTGGTGACCGACACTGAACTTTATATACAGGCCACGACAGTCCCCAGTGTTTGACATTAAACTTTCCATTTAGGCAACAACAGTCGCTGGTAATTAAGAGTGACAAACAAGGTTTAAAACAAGAAAATTATATTGTGTCCATGGATTTTATTGAAACATGGTAAACATAAAAACGGTCGTTCTTCACGAGATTACATAATGTAGCAACTTGTTTAGTCAATTTTTCTGGCAATTTCTCTACCAAATTGTGCAGCACGCAAAGAAAGAATGCACAGTTTTTCAAGTTTCATTTCACAGTCATATTACCAGTAACAAATTACTAATTGAAATTTAGTTCACTTAGAAATAGGGAAATTGATATCCATTTTGCATATGTGCATGGCTATCATGGATTTTATTGAAAGGAAAGAGCTGATTTCTTAACTAAAGATGCTTTAAATTTACACATTGATATCAATATTAGCATTCCAAAGACTTATTGGAAATCCTTTTATTATACAAAGCTTTTACCTAAGTGGAATGATAGAAATATATTTCATCTTGCAATGGTGAGGGCACCAAAAAGTCCTCTTCTTCTATTTACCATAGACTGCATTCCGAGTTTTTACTCTTCATTAATTTTAAGATATCTCAGGTTTTATCTGCTAACAGTAAATTCGAAAGCTACCTGTTTCATTTCAATCTAAGACAAAATAATTTATGTGAAGGTTTTAAAAAAAGTACCTCAAGAAGTGGAACATTTAATTTCTTCCTGCCCTACCTTTGATGGCCCTAGATTGTACTTACAAAACAATTTGAAAAAGCTTGGCATGACTTGGCCAGTGAAATATTCTCTATTTTGGTTCATTTTATTTAGCATGTAATATTTAATGTTTTAGTTAACTTGCTTTTGTAAGCCATATGTTGTACATATGTGGTGCATGGGGAGGTTGTATGCAAGCAAAATAATAAATAAATAAAAATTGTGCCACATTTTCTACATAGCATAATTTACAATATCTTACTGTCTTATAATACTGTAGAGACTTTTCCAGATCTTTTCTTGGAGTTTGTGTTGTGGTTTTTTAGCAGTAGTTGCAATGTTGCTAGATGGAATGTCTTCATCCCGACAATTTGTGAGATGACAATCAACTCATTCAACTGACGTTCTCACATTTTAGCTTAAAGAGTGTCTGCACGGGACCCCAAACTCCAGAGAACTGAATGCATAAAAATGCAAAAAATTTTTAATCTTGACTAACAATCTTAAAAGTATGTTTGGCATTGCTACACCACAATACCAGCCCACTTCTAAGCAGCATGCATGGCCTGATGAGAATTTCTTTATAAATTGGCATGGCAGTCCAAGTCTTAAAAGATATGGGAGCTCACTTCATGAACACCTTGAGGAAATTACATGAATACTTTGAAAATTTTCTGAAACTTGCACTAAAAAACTAGGAGGGAAATGCAAGGGAGAAAACTATGCTAGTTAATATGGTTTAATAATGATCATTTAGGAAAGACAAGAATATATAGAAGTTTTTGGACAAAATTACAAAACATAAATATTTTTAAAGAAAAAATTTTAAAAGTGTTATGTATTGCTGAAAAAGACATATAAAAAGTGGCAACATTAAGAAAGATAAATTTTAATGGAACTGTATGATGTACAAAATATGTGAAAAGTCCCTTTTTTTTAACATGGTCTGTCTTTGAGAAAAAATGTAGATACAGGTTATATACAGAGAGTTTTCAATAAGGTATATCAGGCATTTAGGCATGTAAAAAGGCAACAACATGGAAACATCATTTGAATTCTGCTCCCAATTGATGCAGCTAAAAGAAAAATTGAAAAAAAAAAAAAAAAAAAAAAAAAAGGTATTATTTACACAAGAAAAAAATTAATTTAACACAGTAGCATGGATTATATAAGAATGCAACAGAACAAAGCTTTAAAAGTTTCAGCAAAATTTATAAAACACTACAACATACTTTTTTTAACACTTACTTCTTCCACTTTTTCTTACATATAATCAAATGGCCATCCAAAATGCAACATCATGAAGGAAGCATCCAAACATGATGAAACTTGCATCATGTGTATATCCCGATGTAATATGCAAATGATTACGATTTCAGTGAGCGCACACATCATAGGCAAATGCAGCACTCCTTACAATCCATATATAGAGGAAGGAAAGAGTGTTGTTTTGAATAACAGGAATAGTTCTCTCACGAGACTTTGTGTGAGCAGCTTTAGTATGTCTCGGAGAATAACATAAGTATCATCTGAGCATGTTCCTCAGTTCGACCGAGATAGAATTACTGCATACAGAGATTGCGGATTACCATTTCGGGAAACTGGTCATTGCGTCGGAGGCAAGAGTCATGCGAATGTTGATTTGGTGGAGGTAGGAGGGAACAACTGATGGACAGGAACAATCACAAGCACCTCATCACATCACTCCACAGGAAGACAGCCATATTATGCACGTGCTACTTATGCAGCTCACTGCGACATCCACAACCATATCACAACAAATGCAATCTGTAATACAGCAATAACTGCAGTCTGCATGAAGAATTCAACATCATCTACAAAACAGTGAAATGTCTGGTGTCTGCATGAAGAATTTAACACCACCTACAGAGCAGTGAACTCCCATTGCTTTACTTACCTTTAACTTTATTATACAAAAATATTTGCTTTTAGACAAGCTTTTGCTTGTTAATCTTGCTTTTATAACAAGATTATTATACACAGGTGTTTGCGTTTACAATGGCATGACACTATGGTTTTGGATGAATCCAGCTTCTGCCTGCAGTACCATGATGGATGAATTAGAGTTTGAAGTTAATGTGGAGAGAGGCTGCTTGACTGTTGTCATATTGGTCCTGCACCCAATGTTCTGGTGTTGGGTGGTTTTGGATTTCACTCATGCACCCACCAATACACATTATCGGTACGCTTACCAGCCAATGCAATATCTCTGAGGTTTTGGTGTTCTCCTTTTCTTTATCTTCAGAGCTTGCCTGTAGTTACATTTCAACAGGACACTGTGTGATCACATACTGTATGCAGCGTTCAAGCTTTCTTCTAGCCTACCATACTGCACTGTTACCTGGTCTGCCTGGCCTTTAGTACTATCAACCATCGAACATGTCTGGTGAATGGAGAACATCTAGCCTGACATGCTGCACCTCCGCGTACAACACATGAACTCTGGCTACGTATGGAGGCAGCATGGGCTGCTATTCCCCAACAACACATCCAACGTCTCTTTCACTCAATGATGTGGCGTGCAACAGCGGTTATTGAAGAATGTAGAGGCAATACTCAATACTGATTTTCTCATCTTCCTCAGCTCAAAGAAGCCTATTTCAAATCAATTAACATTGATGCTATGAGTAACTTCTGAAATAAATGTGGCTTTGATATCTCATCTGTCTTCAAGCTGCATTTTGGATGATCAGCAATGTACTAAAAAAAAAACCCCTTAAGTAACAGTAAAAAGATAACAGATGGAATCACTGATTTAAAAACTTTTGTTTTACTAATCATTGTTCAGATAGAGCTTGTAAAGGGTTTGTATTTCCATATTTAAGTTGTAGAGCTTATCATGAAAAACAACCATTTTGAATAGTCTTTGTTTACATGCACGATACTCGATTTTATACACGAGATATATGATTTTAAATGCATTTAAATATTTTATTCAACCTATATATCTACAATAAGACTCTTATGGATTTACAATTAAATGACATTTATTAACAACTTTTACCATAAAACTAATGAAACAGCATAACATTTCATTTGAACTAATAAAATGTATGCTTGAATTTAAGAACTAAAATAAATTAAAAAAAAAAAAAAAAAAAAAAACTTTCTTGACAGCATCATATGAAATTTTGTATACAGTAACAGCATATAGTTTTATAAATATACTACTGCAATCCATTTATTTATACATATTAATATATTCATATTCCAAAACTGTGCATTAGTTTTTAATAAACAGTGCTTTTAATCCACTGTTTACGTTAAAACACTAAAATATCACACATGTACATAAGGTAAATTTATATTATATGTTTTCTAATGTTTCAGTCAATGGTTTAAAGTGAATATTTTCAATGCTAATAATCTATTTTAGCTTACTGAAGAAGAAGATAACATCAACAGGTAAACTAATTTCAGAAAATTGTGATAATTTACTTCTACAATATTGGTATAAGAACGTTATCACTATCCCAGAATCTATTTTCATGAAATTACGCTCCTTATTTAAAAATAAACCATGCATTAAAATAAGTTTTACAGTTTATTATCTATAACTTTCAAATACAAAAATCATGAAGTTTCTAATTATTATAAGATATATACCATATGATATTTAATGTGTAAATTACATAATTTGAAAATCATAACACTGTGTGTATGAAAATATTCCTCAGTTTAATTAACAAGGAAACTAATATTCTCAGGAGTATCACAGTTCAAATCTACTTTATGAACAGTATTATTTACCTAGCAGTCACTTACATAATTTGTGCATTTATTTACTTTGCTCTTTGTGTGCATAACTTCCCGATCATTAGGATGATATTTAGCTCAATAAAGATAATAATAATTAAAAAATATATATAATATAAAAATTACAAGTTAATATATGCTAAGTGGCATGCATGACTGCATAAAAATAATCATGGTACTCAGGATTAAATCTTGATTAAACTAGAGAAAATCATAATTTAATTTTAATTAAGACTATTAAATATTACAGCATTCATAAATCATTCATAATTCATCTATCCTATTTTCCTTTCAGATTGATATATATGAATTAAGTATCACTAAATAATAATGGAAGCTTAAAAATATATGCATTCTAATAAAAATTCTGTAATAAACCAGTTTCTGAAACAGTCAGACTAAATTAAAAATAATAAATCGTCATTTCCTTCTAAATAAATGTTCTGCAGATCTGACATATACAGTTGTCCTTACATCTACATCTCACAATAGAATTAATAATATTTAAAAGATCAAAAATCTTTAAAATTAGTTTTAAATGAATTGGTATTTTCATCACACAGAATTCTGGAACATCAAGACATTCATTTGCCATTAAAACACACACACACACACACACAAAAAATAAAACAGAAAAATTCTATTGCAGAATGCTGAACTATATTATAATGAAATAATCGATCATTATGATTTGAAATAAATAATGTGACTATATAGTTATATTTAGAAACTGCAATAACTCACTTGTTTTAAGAATTGATCAGCATTTACAAGGTCTGTACAGCCATAAATTATTCTTTTTGTTGGTGGATTTGACTTTCCCTGAAAACATATAAAATGCTTTTAACACACAGGTAATACATTTTACTTATACTGTAGTGTAGTTCAGAATCTGTTTCTCTTAATTACTAATTAAATGCCAAAACCTCAAGGAATATTAAATAAAACGCACAAAATAGCATTAAAATGTAATATCAAAGAAAGTTTTCAGAATAAAAATATCTCCCAGGAAAGGAAATTCAATTCCCCAATTTTTAGCAAATTCTGTTATTAAGTTGAAAATTTCTAAAACATGTTTTTCCTGCTGCTGCAATAAGAATGCAAACAATAAACTTCTCTTTTTACATATTTAATTGCACTTATTTAAGAGGGTCATTTATTAACATCTTGTTCAAATACATCAAGTTTCTGCATCTGCAACTTCTGTGTGTCTTTGCTCAATGACTAAAATTGAAGTTTCCTGCCTGGTGTGGCTCATTTAGGTTAAAATACAACAGTTTTGCTCTTACTTCTTTTTGATCAAATACACAGATCTTATTTTCATCTACTCAAAATCTTTTTAAAAAGTGCTTTAAACTTAAAATTGCTTTGACTTGCATGCTTTTTCACTACTGAAATTATTTCTCAATCAGCTTTTAAAAATGCATATTTTTTCCATAAAAAAGAAAATTCTCTTCAAATATCTTTGGATATTAGTGCAGATTTTTCACAAAACTGAAATGATTCAATACAAACTTATGCAAAGGACATAATTACAATATGCTTTTATAATAATTAAAAACTGTTTTTTAATATTGCCATCAAGAAATTGAATACTTTTTTTATTAGCTTCACCACACCAAAAGTCCTTGCTGCTGAATTCTAAAGCATCCCCAGATGTTGCCATTCAAACAGAAAAGTTATTTTTAAAATTTGCAATCATACGAAGAATGAATAGAGAATAGAGAAGTAAACACTTAGACACATATATTAACAAATTAAAAATACAAAAGTATAACAATGATTTTTACTGATATAACTTGAGTGATGAAATAGTATTTACATTCTAAACATTTCAATTACTCACTGCTTCATATACTTAAATAGATACAACTTATTTTGAGATATCATTTGCATAGCTAAAAATGTGAGAGAATGACAAAAATATTGTTAAAAAATTTTTTTTTTACTAATAATGAATTAACCAGCACTATTTATATACTTTTTAGAAGTAGTGCTTTTAATGAGAAAATACATATAAGTTTTAGAATAAATGCAAAAAGTTTGGTAATATTCTTTCATCACATTGAATAACATACATATATTTATTTTTGTTTAAAAATCACAATGCAGATGAGATTTGACTATTACACAAATTAGTATTCATCAAGTCTAAAAAGATTTTATTTAATAGGCAGATAAACAATTTATAAAGGAAATATGTTTTAAAAAGGCAAAATAAATTTTATAAGAGCAGCATACTTATTATTCTACAAATATTCATACCCATTTCACTTTTAAAACACAGTTCACTCATATAAGGAAAACAACCAAACTTAGTTTGCCAAGATTTTGATTAAAGCACTATCAGTTTCAAGGCCGATCAAACACAGATCTCTTTCCTTCAGGAGCAAAATGTTTTTGAATGTTTTCGCCTTTAAAGAATTTTACTCAAAATCTCCACCAAAGTATAGTTTGCTTTTTCACTTATATTAAATTTTACATTTCACTTATTTGATAAAGAAAGTAATTTATGGGAAAAAAATTAAGCAATGACTAGCACGTCATTAATAGCATTTTGTGATATCTACGCAAAGAATTTGTTACAACTGTTGCTTATCTCCATATCTAAAATACAGCCACTAGAACAGCTTCATAAATTATCACAGGTGGTAACTCTAATCACTGGCCAAAGGACTTCTGGATTTGCAATGCAGAATGATTCAGTACATCTTAATAGTATCCAGCAGAATGAAATTTATAGGTCTTGTAATTCTCAAGGATTTTTGGAATCACAGATTTTTGAGTGCCCCTCATATACAAAGATATTATAGTCTATGATCAAGTTATCTGAGATTTGAAACAAAATCCAATTATGTAGCAATGAGCTTTTGTTAACTATATCATAGAACAATAAAAGAAAAAATAAGTTATTTTTACTTGTGTAATCACTTAAATTGGTATTCGATGTATTTCACCTCCAACCACAAACAACTGATTGAATAAATATATATATAATATATAAGCTAAAATATGGACATTATGAAGCACACAATATTTGCATACATTTTCTGTCAATGCTGAAAATATAACATCAAAATTTTTTAATTCAAGGAGAGAGGTTTTCATTTTAAAATTGTCTAAAGTGAATCTGATGATATTTTGTAATTGTTGCCATTATCCTCTCAGCTTATTTAACTTGAATGTCTCAGAATCAACATTTTAAGGTGAGATTATATTTTGGAAAGAAAAAGTAGTTTGCGGATATAAAAATCTGGTAAATAAGGGCAATATTCATAAAAATTAATTCGGTAAGAAGTTACCTGACAATATTTACATTGATAAGTCATCTATGTTTATTCTCTGAATCAAAAACCCAGATAGTACTGTATAAAACCAAACGGAAAATTTCCTTGTTTTCATTAGCAAACTGTATTTTTAACAAAGGAATCCAAGCTGGGTCAATATAAGCTCTGTTATGATACTAATAATGTTATTTGGCAACTTTCTGGTTAAAAAAAATTTCAGTTCTTAAATTAGTAAATTTACTGCATATATGAATGTAGTCACAGACAAATTCGGAAAGAAGTCATGATTTTTATTCTTGTTCAGTTTAATTATATAGTTGGGATAGCCATCAAAACAGTAAACCTTTTCCAAATGAAAGGGTAATGTCATTAACATGATAGGCATATAGTAAAACCATATTCTACAAAGCTAACTTTCTATGGAAAAAATTCATAAGGTATAATTCAGATTAAGAAATTATGTAAAATTTAAACAAATCTAAATACTGTTGTAATTAAAAAGAAAACAAAAGTTAAGTGAAAGAATTCTATGACTTATTAAGTACATGATACAAGAAGTTTTTTAAAAAGCTGGAATTTTTGCTTGTGCTGCAATTCTATAAAAATTTTGTGGTAAGGAATGCAGAGTTTTTCAGTGTCTCTCAGTCCTCTTCTTTCTTCATTTGGGTCAATTTTCACTGCAAAATCAGACAGTTCATGTGCCTTTTAAAATGATTCATTTAACTTTTTGTATGATGAAGATGCTTTATCATCTTCATTATCACTGCTTTCACTGTCTGCTGGTGTTACATGATCATTCAATTCTCCATTCATCATTTTCTGATTAAATTTGTCATTGCTTTTTCTTCTGTCTTTGATCTTTCTTTGAAAATCTTTCACTGCCAATTGCTTCAGAAATTTGTACAATTTCTTTATTTTCTAACAATGGAAATCCTTTAAAATTGTTGACAATTTCTAGTCTAAGGCTATGAATCAAGAGTTCCGTGTTGATGATGAACTAAATTGCACATAAATGAAATTTCAGTGTCGAGCAAATTAAATGGAGACAACTAAGATAACACATACATGTGAAATTGTGTCCCACATATCTGCACTCAGCAAGATTTTTTTTAATTAAAAATTTAAAAAATTTTTTTTATTTGTAATGTGCTCAGGAAGGGTTTATTGCACTATGCTAGAAAGCACAAATTTTATACCTATCTTCAAAGATTTTAATCACCCATTCATTATTTTTAAGTATATATCTATGATACCAAACATACCAAATGGTATTTATTTAAAAAAAGAATATCTATTTCAGTAGGAGGGATTAGCTTTACCTGTTCTAAAACAGATATTTTCCACTGCATACACTTTAAAAATTATTTTTATGAGATTAGCTTCCCACAATTTCCTCTTTGTCTAAATTTAATTACTGGCTTTTGAATGTGATTGAAAAACTAACTATTTTCTAATCATGATTAAAAGAACTGTTTTCATCTTGAGGCAATATTTTAAATTTTCAAAATTGTGTTCCAAACAGATGTTGAAATATAATTACAAAAATTTTGGAACTGCTAAAGCAAGAAAAAGAAAATATAACTTATATATATTTTGCCAAAATATAGGATTTGCATAAATAATCATGATATTTTGCAAAGACAATTTTTCAATTCTGTAATGGTATCATAAAATGAATAATATTCAATTTGTGAAGAATTTTGTACATTTTTCAGTCGCAATGAATTTTTATGCCTTCATTTCTTGCATGTTCTCACAAATCTTTAATCTTAATAATTAATAACAAATGTAAATAAATTGATTCATTTATAATTTTTATTAATTTTTTTAACAATTGCCCTACTGAAAGAAAATGCAGCCAAGGTTATGACAATAATAGAATAGCATCAAAAACATACAAAGTTTAATTTGAAATGATATGCAGGTAACATAAAAAATAAAATAAGGAGAGGGAAAAACTTACATCTAGGAATGGAGCTCGATTTCTAGGAACTGAAGAACTGCAATAAAATTTTGGAACACATTATTATTTATGTATAATAATTCCAGGTTATATATAAATATTCCAAGAAGATATTTACATATATTTCAGGCAAAAATTTATAGAACTCCAAATGTCACTCAAAAGCATTTATGTTGCATAAAATTCAAACAGAGAGAGAAACTTCTGTACAGTGAATAAATTTGATGTAAGAATAACCATAATTTTGAAGAGCAGCAACTTTTACTTTGAAATAGCAAGGACATTCCTTCTTTTACGAATCCACATTCCTATAGCAGTTACAAAAGTCAATAAAAGTGTTTATTGGCAGTTTTTTTTTAAATGCTAAATCATTAAATTTATATCAACATTATTAAAATATAACTTACAGACACTAATTGTAAGAAAGCAAATTTACAAAAATCACCAAGACTTCAGCAATTCTGGATTTAAAAAAATTTCCAGATTTTAAATCATCAGTTTAAATCTAGTATAATGAATTGGAGACATGGTAACATTTCGGCTTCACTTATTATTTAGGTCAGATAGAAAAACAGAAAAACATTAATCCCAAACAAGGCCACCGCCATAACTGGTGTGGCTGCACTAGGTGTCAAAATTTAGGGTCAGTAAAAATTTTAGAATTTTGAAGAACACTAAGCAGCAAAACTAGGGTGGCAGAATTTTTAGAGGGGCACTGGCCAAAAGAATTTAGGAAAAGAAAAGTGCTTAGAATTTAGGGTGGTAACGACCAAGCAACAGAATTCAGGACCCACAGATATTGTACTGGGCAGCAAAATACCCAGTGCTGATCCTGCACTCCCCCCATGGGATCAATACCAACATCAATAAATGCATTGTGATTGGTCACAGTGCTACTTCCCAGACAGCAGGTGTCTGATAGTGACATGAATGATTGTCAGTCAGTCCAGAGAAAAATCCCATTTACAGCACACCAAAAAGCATTTTGTTATTATATTCTCCATTCCCAGAATTGTAACAGGGAAGTGGATTTTTTAAAATTAAGTTCACTTCTTTCTGTTTTCTTTTTTTGGCTGGTGATGGAGAGATCATTCCAAATATTAGACATCCAGATTCCACACTTTGTACTGAAATTCATTATATCCATAACATTATTCAGATTTCAAAATACAAACAATATTATTAATAATTTATACTGTACTATTTCAATGAAATTCACATTAAAAGTATTTTAGGTTCAAAATTTTAAAAGCACAGCATAGTCTAAAAATTATTCCACCTTGTCCATTTTACATAATTTAAGTACTTAAAGCTTCATTTATAACCCATGCATCTTATAAGATCAGAACAAGTTTAAAATCATCAGATGAAGTAATTGTACTTCAATTTTGATAAAAAAGTTTTTCTATTGTACTGAAATGTAAACCTTACATATTTTCATATTCTTAAAAAAGTAACTAATGCTCTAAAATTAAATAGAAATTATTTAATGTCAGAAATACTACATTTCAAAAACGACCTAAAAATAGAATTATTAGTATAATAGAATTCCGATAACCTATACACTTGATATTCCGATAACTTGCTTTTAAACCTTGGGATCACTGGTTTAAAAGCATGTGTACTTCCACTTTCTAAATGACAATTTCTAATTGCACTGAGATGTAATCACTTATGTATCTGTATATTAAAAAAATAACTAATGTCTTGAAATTAAATAGAAATAATCTAGCTAGCCAGGCATGCTACATTTCAAAATCATTATAAAATTTGGATAACCTGCTCAACTTGGGATTATGGGTTGTGAGGATTACAGAGCGCGTTTAATCATTTTTAAAACAATTTTGACAAAGCATTAAAAAAAAGTTTCAGAATAAAAATTTCTGGGAAAAGCTTATTACTTGAAAAAACTGCTAATTTTATCATCCAAAATATTGCACGTAAACAAGCTGTGGACAGAATGATATGCTTTTAGGCTTTCCAAAGATAAATATTCCTATTTCATAATTCAAAAATTTTATGAAATGTATGGTATTAAAATTCCTAACTGCAAAATAAGTAAAATTATTTATTGGAAAGGGCAAACTATCAATCATTACTTCTACATGGAAATAAGACTCCATTTGAAGAATACATAAAAAAAAGAAAATAGTGTTTCTAATGTTATATTGTTAGCAATGAGAGAAAATCCACCAATGTTGAAATCAATTGCAAAGTTTTTAAATATATCTGTAGCAAGAAAAACTAAAATAATGAACTAAGATTTACAACTTAAAAAAGCTGAAAAATATAATGTTTACCAGCTTTTGCCAAGGCATGTGGCTCATTGCAGATTAATTCGCAGAACCCTGTACAAAAACTAGTTAGTGGGAGGTAAATGGAAATACATTGCGACCTTAGATGAAACATGGGTTTACTTAAATAAATGCAAAACACACACACACAAAAAAAGGGGGGGGAGGTCTAGTTATTATTGAAAACAAAGAGGGAAAATGTATAATCCTGTCAATGCAAAGAAAGTTTCAGCGAGGGGTTTATGATTGTCATAGGTTTCCCTTACAATGAGAAATTAAAAATAAGAAGAGTAGAAGAAAATGTTAACTCAATGTACTATCAAGAGAAAGTTTTACATCTGACATTTACAGAAGGAATTCCACTTCTTTATTCCAATGATTTTCAAAGAGTGAAAATTTATGGAGATAAAGCAAGAAGCAATTTTTCGAAAAGAAACACTGCATTATATGAAAAAATGAAGACTGATACAGGTATTGCATATACACTTTTTCGACATACACCAGTGAAGTCCCCTGACATTCCAGTGCCTTCAGTCTCTGGAAAAGAGCTCTCAAGTCAGAGTCTCTGGAAAACAGCTGAGCTCTCTTTTGAGACTCACGATGATTGATGGACACTGGAAAGTAGTACAGAAGGAATGAAAATCTATACCCTTGGAAATTTTACAAAAAGCCCTTCTATCATGGAAATCACAATGCAGATTTATAACCCAGAAAAAAAGTATCCGCTCACATGTTAAAAAAAATATATATATTACTCTTTACATTTTAAGCATTAACTAAAAGGCCCCAGAATTGTTCTAAAAATGTGTGAACATTCTCTGTAAAGAAACCAGCTACAAGGTACATTTCAGTTGGTATTCAAGCTCTGATAAGCTGTGAATAAATAAATTCTTTATACATGCTAACCATAAAAAAATTTGTATTTTATGATCTGTGTACTATAAAAAGAGAGTGCTGATGTTTGCATTAAAAATCTTAAAAACCTCCAATATTAAAATTAATTCCTTTTTTCAGTTAAATTGTTATTAATATAGTACGTTTTTTTAAAAAAATGTATTAGTTTGTTTATAGAAGAAAAAATATTGTTTAATATATCATGCTTTTAATTTTTTTAAATTCAAATTAAAAAAATGAGCATGAATTACAGGAATTTTACCATACCAATAACTGCAGTATTAAATAAATTGTGTCAGCCAGAACATGATTTGCAACCATTTTGTCACAGAAGATGTTTGTACAGAGATCAGGATGTAAACATACCTGTCTGTGGCACGTAAGAGTTTTGGATCAAAATATCTGTAATCTTCAGTTTCAGGTAATGATTTGAGCTCCATCAATGAATCAACTATCCTTGTAATAGGCAAATTCTAAAAAAAATCAGATTTATATTTCTGTGTGAGACCAGCACATTCATTACATCGAACTCATTTCTACTCGAAATATATTAGATTATCAGAAAAATGAAAAAAATGTCTTTCATGAGAAGTTTCTCATAAACTATAAATGAAGCAGATAGGAAAGATGAAACATGTTTGCTAATTTGATATAATTTTGATAAAATTAGAAATACTTAATACCTTTAGGATAATTTACGTTGTTTTTATTATAATTTCCAATATACTTACATGTTTTTTTACTACCAAATTTTTGACTCCTTCCATGACAAATTGGGATCCATGAGACATTAGCTTGGAAAACATGCTGAAAAACAAGTTGAAAACCTATTTCTTATATCAGAAATTACTGCTATGAAAATAAAACTCAATTGATATAATTTACTTTAATTTAATCTAAAAGAGAGAACAATTATTCTTAAATAGCTTTAAAATCTATTATATTATTCGAAATGAAGAACTTTATATAGCAGAACAGTTTTCGCATGCGAATGGTACAGCTCTTATGCAAATAAAATACATGTATTAAATAGGGTAAACTAAAACTACTCAATGTCTAAATGTAATTAATTACTTTATTTCATTGAGAAACTTTATAATGTTTAAAAACAAAAAATTGAAAATAAAGACATTTTAGTGATTCAACCAAATAATTTTATAAAGGAAATCTGGTACTTGCATTTTATCACATCTATTAAAGTAGAAGTCACCAAATTATCATAATGTGCCAAGCTTTGGCAACCATGCACATAACAATCTTTCAGTCACGCAAGGGCATCATTTTCGTAAGAGTTCTTTTCGTTATATTCTATGTTATATTCTATGTTCCAACTGTGTTTATACACAACCATGATATTCTTTGTCTTAAATACAAATTTAACATAATTGCTTGTGGAATCTGCCAGAGCAGTTTATTGTACTAAAATTTCTACATGAATACGGGATGACAATGGTACACTTCGCTAATATGGCAACTCCGTGTAAGTATTGGTAACTAATTGGTTTGCCATTTGTTTTACGTTGTGTATTTCTCACTGTATATAGAACTAAAAACAAATTTATTATAAATATATGAGAAGCTCTATTAACAATTAATAGTGAATCCACAGGTACAATAAGAATGAGTTATTGTCCTCATTATGTGAGGATCTTGTGAGCAGCAACAGTCTCTCAAGATTTTGAGTTCGTGTCTTGTATAAAACAGTTTTCAAACTGAATTAGTCACACCCTTTAAATTTTTTGGTTGTATTTTACATTTTATGATTCATTATCGTTGAAATTATATCACATTCAGATCATTGGTCACACACATAGTGCAGATAGCTAAAAAGTCCCTTGACACTGGCCATGAAGTTATAATCCTTGAAATTTCAAATGGAGCTGTAACTGAGTGAATTATGCTTCTGTAGTGCCAGTTCATCTTACTCTTGTAACAGCTTGAACAATTTGACCAAGTGAAGTCCATATATGAATTTCTTAGTTTTGTATGGTATGTCGCATACTTCTCCTCCAGTAGCATCGTGATGATATGTAAAAATCAGGGAAATGCACAAATTACCCAGAACGAGTTTGATAAATATTTGGTTTGGCATCATTTGCAAATCAAAAGAGCAAGTATCCCTTGCTGTATTAGATATAAATGCTGGTTTCACATGGCCAAATTGAGACAGACTACATTTCCATGAATGAATTACAGTCAAAAGTCTTTAATCCGGACCTCAAAGCTACATAACTTTCTGCGCATGCATCAACGCATACACATAATATCTTTACGCATGCATCAACGCATACACATAATATCTTTACGCATGCGCATAATACATTTATGCATGTGTGTTTAATGTATAACGGATGGTATAAGCTAAGCTAAAATTATCTATTTCAGTTAATGTTACAGATGGCGTTATTCCTTAATCTTCAAATTGATCCGGCTATTTTTTGCAGCCTTTCAATTTTAGCTTGAACTTTGATTATGTCAAAAAGAATCCGATTGGTGCGCCAAAGGATGTCAAAGCGAAAGCATGTCGATATCCATCAAACCAAAGTGGAATTGCTGCAAAAAATGGATAAGGCATCTCCTTTTCTAACCATTCCGAAATCTGTTATCAATTTATACTGCTCTGCGGGTAGGGGGATCGCGGTGCGTAATGAACTGGAGTTGATCTTCAGCATCCTTATCTTCAGGCAGATGTTTTTATTTATTCAGCTTATAATTCTACTAAATGCAGTATTCATCTGATACTCATCTTTGATATGTTAAATCAATTCCTCGTCATTAAATATCATGAATACACATAATAGTTTTCTGGTTGCAATTTCTAATTTGACTGCGTAATGTTGTTGACGCATGCACGTGTTGAAAGAAATGTTTATCAAGTAAACAATAAATATTAAGCTTTTCTCCGTAAATTGTACCTTTTAGATCTAATTGCTCTTATTTCATAAATTACGGTTTCATATTTTAATTTTAAATTTCTCAGCATCTTACCAGACTTAAACTGATGATCTATAATTCGGAAAAACTGATAATCTGGAATCGCCGAAGTCCCGACGAGTCCGGATTAAAGACTTTTGACTGTATTTGAAAACTTTTGCACTATGCCTGAGCACTTTATATTGCTTTATATTGCAGATTGCAAGGTGGTTGTACTAGTATCCGTCATACTGCATCACATTGCACAAACACATGTGAAGATGTTTTGATGTTTTTGAATCTTTGGGAATACACACTGCTTTTGTTACATGTTATTTACATTTTTGGTTTAAGCTGCTTTGAAGTTGTTTGCTGTATTCGACCTAATCAGTTCAGCATTCAATATGGGGGGGGGCAGGAGTTTGATTGTAGTTTTATACACAAGTTCAGCAGGACTGCAATCAAGCATTCTTCGAGCTGAAGTGGCGACAATTGTCAAAATCTTGCTCATTTGGTAACTTTCTGGAAGACTTGCAAAACACATTTTTGAAGCCTAGGACGAATTCTTCCCCAAGTTTCTACAGCCTTTGCTGCTGGGTATAAATAAAGGTCAGAGAGCTAGGGAGTTCAGTTGTGAGACTAAGTGGTTACATGAATTACAAATTAGAGTTTACCCTGAGACTGATTTGAGGAATTTCATGATTTAGTCTGTGTGCTGAAAAGAATTGCTGAGTATCCATGTTCTCCTCAAGTTATTTCCACCCATTATTGTGCTGCTTGTACTGTTTATTGAACATATTTTCTTAATAAATTGTTCATTTCTTCCTGCTTATTTGCAGTTACTATTTAAAGAAACATAAATGATTTACAACAGTATGCTTTAAATATTATTTCAAATACTTAAAACATTTAAATGGTGAATCAAAAACCTCAATAAGAGCTGTGACCTTAATGGACTATTTTCCTCATTAATTACAAAAACAAATAGTTATAAGCACACTGTATAAGTTTAATGATACCCAATAAACTGCAATTGCAATGTATAAGTTCTTACAGCATTCAATCTGCTTAAAAAAATAAGATATAAACTGTATGATAGCTAGCTAAACAGCTAAACTAATCATTTAGAAGGGGAACAAGTGATAACACAGCATAAGTGGGAAAAAATAAAAATAACATTAAAAAAATTAAATTCTTAAGGTGGAAAACAAATTCACTTTAAATGTTACTTACATTCATTTAAAATAATTACACATTAAATTACAGCCAGAACACCAAGATTAAATGGGAAATTATTCAAATTTGCCTTAACACAAAACATCAGACTAATACCTAATTAAAGAAATATAAATAAAATAAAATTCACATACCTTACTGTTTTGGTTCCACCACTATACTGATTTGTGGAATGTGTTGATAATTTGCTGTATGTCCTGTTAAAAGAACACAGTGAATGAAAATATTATTTGAGTAATAATAATAATATCTCAACAAGAATTTAATGAAAAATGATATAATTTCTATCTGATCGTATGCAGACCAAAACATGAGAAACAGCTTCTTCTGTACAATTCTAGCAAATCCGATGCTATACTAATGAAATGGCTAAATGCAAAAATATTTTAAAAAATAGAGTATCATGGTAAAATGAAAAACAGCATGTACATTTTGAATGCCTTTATGAAATATAATTGTACTGTTACATTCAGGAATTAAGAGTAACTGAGGTTTATCAGTCAATTTTAAATGAAAAATGAGAAATAATGAGAAGATCCTTAATTGTAACGTGAATGTTAAGACGGTAATTTTTTTTTTATCTCTTTCAGGCATTTGAATATTATATAACAGGTTTTGCAATTTTTGATTTGATTTTCAATTTTTGATGGGCCATTTGCGATTTCTGAAGCAATATTTTGGAGCCTGTGAATGCATTTTCTGTAAATTAATTCACATCATTGCGATATTAATTACTAAAAGAAAGGCTTATTATTTTAATGACTTGGAGGTCCAATTTTACACTCTCATTGTCATTAAAAACGAACATTATAATAGAACATGAATGCCCCAGAAAATCTACAAATGGAGCTAATTAATTTATACTGTTATATAAGTCGTATTTAAAGACAAAAATTTGATTTCCTTTATTTTTGTGCTTGATCAATACCCTCACAATTTTTGCAATAATAGTAATTGTTTTAGGAGTACATTTTTAAATTTTAAATTTGGGAGTACATTAATTTTTTTTCAATCAAGAATTAATAAATTTGATGGACATATAAGAATAAAAAGAATTTAGAGATCATTCTTTGAAAAGAAAACAGAAGTATTTAATAGATTTAATGAAGAGAATTTACAAAACACTTATAAAACTTCAAACTTTAAACGATTATAAAACTTTGAAAACTTTAATCATATATTAATCAGATAATCTGCCAATTAAAAATACTAATTATAACAAGGATCTATCTTCATTTAATAAAAAATATTAAAATTAATTAAAATGGTTATTTAGCATATAAAACTAATCTACACAAAAGAGATTTATATTTATGTATGACAGTACTTAGGATTTACTTAGGACAGTACAGATTTATATTTATGTATGACAGTACAGTATCTTGATGACCATGAAAGATGGCTGTCATCGAGACATAAAAATTAGCAAAGATCACAGCCAAAATTGCACCAATCATTCCAGTGGAATTCTGAGAGAACTGAAGTCACAGTTAATATTTGATGTGCTTCATTTTTATCCTTAAAATGTTTTCTGCCATTTTTACTATATTTTATTTTTTATTTGCCATTTTTACTCTGGTAGGCCTTCTAATTTTATCAAAAGCTTTGTTTAAAACCCTATGAGTATGAACTTCTCACAGGTAATCATTCTAATCTATTACTCTTTTATTGGCTATATTCAGCTGACCACATTGTTCTCATTAATACAAATTTCTTTTAACGTAGGATGCCATAACTTTGATAATAATCTACTACTTGCTGTTCTGCAGAAGGCAGGTCCCAAATGTTAATAATTTTTTTCAAAATGCAAGAGAAAAATACAACAGCAACACTTAATTTATAATCCTTGTTTACAAGTGCATGTGTTAGCACACCAATCTTATCTTTAAGTGGTGGTAAATCTGTAGCTAGCAAACTCGAAATCTTAAAAACAAGGAGAAACTGGGAGGTTTTTCATGCTGCACAAAGAAGTTATTTCAAAGAAACTCTAACTTGACTTTAATTCATATTATAATATGCATGGTCCAGGTTATTGAACTATTTGTAATTCACTTCTGATGTAAAATACATTAGCATTTAATTGAATATTATTAATTTTATGTTCTTTGGCTAATTTCATTTTTTAATTTTCTTATACTTTTGTACTGAGAAAATTGAGAGCGAATGAAAACTTTAATTTATCAATGAACTTTTAAATATGATGAAAATAAAATTAATAATCAATGTACATAGTATGTATATAGTATTTATGAGGATAAACTTAGCAATGTACCACACATTGAAGTAAAAATTAAATACAAATAATAACTGATTAAACATTGCTTAAAATCTTTATATAAAAATCTCCAAATGCCTGAAGACTAAGACAACTGAGATCAAAACATTTAATACTATAAAAATCAGTAAAATGTAATAAGGGAAAAAATATAATTCAGATGAAGTAACATTTAATACGAAGAAAAATTCTGAAATCAAGCGAGGCAATAAAATTTGCCCAATTTAAGTTTCCTTCATGCAATAAATTTCCTTTAGTGCTAGGAAACATTTTTCTAAGGCTAAAAATTAAAAACAGGGAGATTGGATGATCTACCAGGAGACTGAGAGATATGTTAAAACACCACGAATCTCCATGTAAAACTGGGAGATTTGGCAGCACTGTAAATCACACTGCTTGGTGACAGTTTCACAGTCTACAAGATAATATGAAAGCAACTGTATGACAAAATCCAACTTTATAGTAATACATAAAGAACTTACTTCCACCTTCTCATATACTGAACAGTTTCACCATCACATCCTGCATCTTGTAGAGCAGTTACGTATTGATCAACTTCAGCCTAGTAAGATTTTCACACAAAGTAAAATTAAAGCACAAAAACATACATTCCACATACATTAAACATTTTTTTTTTGCTTTGTAAGCTTAAAAAGCTAAAATCAAACTGATAAAAAGAAAATACACTAAAATAAAACTCTGTTTATCAAAATAATTTCAAACAACACTTTTTTTGAGACAACCCATAGTTAGGCTTATTTTTTGTATCAAATATTATGTATTTATTTTAAAAAACTAAAATTTGAAACTTTCATTAATTAAAAAAAATTAAATCACAAAATGAAATAATATGCACAATAAATGACAAAATGCTTTAAATTTTTACAACAGTCAGTGTCCCACAATAGAGTTGGGCAATCTGCTTTGAAACAGATTCAAAGAACTCACTTTACTGAATGAATGAACAGTTCATTCCAGAAAACAAAGTTGTAATTCTTTTGCAGTTCACAGAGAGCTCTTGTTTGAAACATACCACAAATATAGTATATGTGCTATTCGTTCACAAATAGTTCCAGACTCCCAGGAAATTGAGGAAATTGTTACACTGCATCTGACTGTTTGCCATGCCCTCGTGACTACTGGTTATACCTACTTCTAACTTTTGGTTCTCAAGTTTTTCCCTGGACTTTGTCATCGGACTTTACGTTGGTTTTTCACTCCTGGTTGCTACTTCTATCATTTATTGTTTTTCAATCCTTCCCTGCCCATCATATGAAATGTCATAATTGCTCTACCAACTTCACTCTGCAGGTATATCTTCATCTCAATGACTTCATGGCTTTGAAAAAAAAAAAAAAAAAGGTAGTCTTTATTTAGAGTTTCACTGAGAACTCTTTGTTGAAAGCATGCCAGAAAGTTTGATTTCCATTTTAAGGGAGGAAATAATTTTATTTTCCCATGTTAAAAGTGAATTTGGTTATCATCATTTTTCAATTTTTTGAAATTTATTTTAACTCTAGAATTTTATTATTAGTTTTATGTAGGAAGGGATTTTAGGAAATCTCAAAACTACAGTTGAAATAAATCAGTTTAGGGAGTTAATCATGTTATCAATCTTTGAAGGAGTCATTTCTCCTGATCCCAATGCTTGTTTGATTCTTTTCACTCTTTGCTTTGACCTGCTTCACTGTTTCTGATCCCATTATTGGTTCGATTCTTTCAGCTCTTGCACCATCCTTGTTAACCGTTTTTAGTTCACTCCTCATTCCTAATGTTTTCATCAAAGTTATGGTAAATGGGTGGTCAGTCATTTTTTACAAAAAAGGATTAAGTAATTTAAATCCGAAAAGTTTCAGATTTTAAATTACGTCCAATGGGCTTTTTTTTTTAAAATTTTGTGGTTCCTTTATTTATAATATCATTTTTTCGCATTAAACCATAAAATTCAGTTCAACAGCAATGCCGCAAAATATCTAAAATGAGCATCTTTAAAATTTCCATATACCAGTCCGCGCGCTGGAGATAAAGGTTCCCCCCCCGTAAGTGTTGCCATTGCTCGCTTTGAAATCCTGAGTTTTTAATCAAAAATTCGTTAAAGTTTTACAAATATAAATATAATAAAAAATTCCAATTGGCTTTCAGATGCCTATCTCAGCAGTATACATTATTCAAACTGGATGGCTCTAGGACCATTGTTTTTCACATACGAGAACATAAGACATTTATGCAGATTTCTACATATTATTTCTTCAAATATAACACAGGGCGATAGTATTTGGTGGCAACAATTTGAAAAGTGATACGCCGTTTATAGAGTTCCGACACAAAATCGCAAAACGAAAACAATAGTCCTTCAGGGACAAAGCCCTTTGGGACTATAAAAAGAAAGAGAGAGATTGCCTCCCCATGCTGTCATGTTACTGGGCTAAACAAAAAATGGTTTCTTTTAAAAAATGGTATTTTGTGGTCTAAAAGTTTGTTCCTCAGTACATCTGACTGCAATAAGCTCAATTCTTTGAGATTAGTTGGCACTGACCAAGAATTTTCTTTTGTGGTCATTGTTAAATCTTAAAAAAATCATTTGGACATCAAAGAAGAGATTTTTTGTTAGAAATAACATTAATAACCTTCTCATGCTTTCATTTCATACTTCTCTCAGTTACAAAATTGCATGAATTCTCCAGAAGTTCAATTTTCATATCATTTTCTCTTCTATCAATTTAATCCATGTTTCGATTCTTAAAGATTCTCTTTCTGACTTCAGTGCTTGAGGGAACATACAGCATATCTTGTGAGTGTGGTTTGAGATATATCGGCCAGAGCAAGAAAAGTTTTGCATCAAGAAACTTGAATAACGTCCGAATAGGTGAAAATAACAAGTCTTCGATACTTAATCACAGCCAAAATTGAATCACAATTTTGACTCTGAGTCTGCAAAAATTACCCAAAAAAAACTTCCTGCATTTTTGAACTGGATTTTCTTGAAACTTTACATATATTCACAAAGCTTAATCTTGTTTAGTTCATTCCCAAAGTTTTTAAAATTCGATTAACTTCATTCTTCACTTTTCCTTATTATTTCTGCCAAGAGATGGTGTCACCTTGTTCATCTTACTGCTTTTGGGTTATATACAAAGATAGCTGCACTGCACCTGAGGAAGAAAGACCTGTACCTAGGTCTCTCTTCCTAGACCTGTCCTAGGCATTTAGAGAAAGCGCAGTTGCGCTTTCTCTAAATGAGTATGAAAAGACCCAAGCAGTGTGAAAGCGCTTGTTTTATTTTATGTCGAGAAATATCACGCGGCGCTATAGCACTTTGCTTATTTTACATTGATGTGCTCGTGCTTTCTCTAAATGAGTAAGAATGGTATTTTGTGGGAAAAAGCAGTGTGAAAGTGCTTGTTTTATTTTATGTCGAGAAATATCAAGCGGCGCTATAGCACTTTGCTTATTTTACATTCATGTGCACTTGATTTAAACCAAGTGCCCACGTTATCAACTTCAAGTGCACTTGTCAGTTATCCACTATGTTCGAAATGTACTGGGTCTCAACAGTGCAATCTTGCTGCTTGGGACTCAAATGATTAATTTTATAATATACAAATGTCCTTCCTTTTATGTCTAAAATTTTGTTTTCAGTTGGGAAACCAAGCTCTTAAATATATTATTTTCAGTTTTAACATGCTGACACCTATGACGATGGTTAGCGAGCAAATTATTTTACACAAGATAATACATAAAACTCAGCATATGCTTTATAGTATTTGTAAATCATATAATTAAAATAATCACATAATTGATTTTAAGTATAGAGCATTTGAAAAATTTTCTGATCACCAATAAAACTTTATTATTTTAAATAAAATTAAAATGCCCTCTTTGATATCTGCAAATATGATACCTTGCTAATTATTTCAATTTAAACATATTGATAGTAAATCAAATAATGATATTGATAAAATAATTACAGTGCAAATGATGATACTATTATACTAATATATAGAATGTATATTACTATAAAAATGTATGCCGATGCTACTATACCTAATATCTACTATAGAAATTATAATATACCTACTTCAGTCATTGTTGATCCACAAATGAAGCTAATCAAGAACAGTCTTAATTTGTCACTAGGTAAACCAGCTGCAATGTTAAGCAAAGTACTTTTACCGATCATCAGTTATATAAGGTAAAAGTCACACAGAAAATATATATTTTACTAAATTTTCATATTTTAAACAAATACTCACCTTCAGGATCAGTAATCATATCCATTAATGACTTTTCCTAGAATAAAAATAAATTACTCATTTAATTAATTTTAATATTTATTACACATATTCTTTATTTTAATAAAGTAGAAAAGGGCATGCCAGTCACCTGAAATAGTCATTATAAAAAGGAAAAAATATATAGTAATTTTAATGAATCGAGCTAACTCAATTTGATGGTTCAGCAAGTAATTAATAATAAAATTAATGAATCTGGGTTTATAGCTTTTAAATAGTGTAATTTTTTATTTAATAACAGAATAAACTTGAAAGAAAACTCTTATGCTTCGCCATAACAAAGAGGCAGTGGCGTAGCAAGCATAACTGGCGCCCGGGGCAAAATACCTTTTTGGCGCCCCCCCCCACAGAAAACTTTCAGTATATAATGTATAAAATATATTCGTAATAAGAAAATAATGCAATAATAATAAAATGCTGAATCTGCCATAAAATACTCAAAAATATATTAAGAATAGACACTACCTAACTACACTAGCCTTGGGTTCGGAAATGCATCTGTGTCCGCAAAAAAATCAACATACGATGATCTAGAACTAGTTAAAAGCTGTTATTTATTTTACATATTTGTATAAGTGTTTTTAAAAGTACAACTTTTTAAACAATTAAAAGTTTAATATACATTATAGATAAATATATATGTGGCAACTTGCCTACTACAACTCAACTCTGCCAGTCTGGTAAGCCATAGCAACCAAAAACAAAATAATATTTATTCTATTCAATTGTTTATAATTATTTAACGATCTGTCTCAAAAAATTGTACTACCATAATTGGTGAACCGTTATTATTACGAATAGCAAATCCTTCAATATTGCACCGAATATGGAGTTTTATTGTCAAAATTCTGAGCACCAGTAAGTTAATCCAGTGTGATGAGATGCAAGTAAGACATTTCACCTGTGATTTCAAGCGTTGTGCCGCATCCGATGAGTCAACATATTTCTGTCATAATTTCAGCGGATATATGTATCGCCTGCTGCATTTGAGCCTCCAAATTCTCTGATTTCAAGGCGGCGAACAGGCTGGCTGCATGGGCGTTTCGTGGTTTTCCCCATGTGTAACGTGTATACGAGCCAGTTTCCTAGAAAGTCCTCCACGAAGCATCCCTCCTCTTAGGCAGATAGCCCTAGTGTGCTTGCCATAATTAAATACACCAACACACCAAACTCTATTTCAAGTACCAAGAAACTGTGTCACTATATACATATTGATTATTTTTCTATACATATTATTATTGTGCATATTTGATTGATCTAAAGTGGTTGACAACGATGCTGCTTCACAATTGGGCGAGTGGCAGTTAAGCCACCGCCTTTTTGTCCCCGAGACCCATCGTTATGGTTCATTCAATTGGAATGCGCAGTTTAAATTGAGTCACATTACTGTCCGACGAAACTCAATTTTATACAGCGATCGTCCGCGTTTAGAATCAGAGGTACTGCAAACAGCTCGTGAAATAATTTTGAATCCACCGGCGACGGACAAATAAAATCTTTAAAAAAAATTAATTTCTGTCTTATGAAGAATCCGAGACAGTTAAAAATCAAGCAGCTGTTGCACGATTTACAGTTGGGTGATATAAGGCCTTCCTAGTTGCTGTCTAAAATGTCAGACTTAGTCGCCGTAACCTAACGGATAACATTCTTAAAACATTATGGATGAATAGACTCCCATCTAACATGCAAATCATTTTAGCGGCCAGTAGCGAGCCACTTAAAAATCTTCCCGAAATAGCTGATAAAATTCACGAACTGGCCATCCCAGCGCAAATAGACGCAGTGCAGGCTCCTGGTCCAGGTATTGTGGCGTTACAGGCTCAAATTGATGATTTGTCCAAACAGGTTGCTCAGTTAGTAGCCATCCAAGCTGAACCTTTTCACCGCAACCGCTCCACATCACGTGGTCGAAAATACACGTCCTAGCCCACTGAGGAAATATTATGAAAGCCCTCCTCCGGGTATTTCTTTTTACCACCACAAATTTGGAAACAAAGGCAAACAAATTTTGCCCCACCGTGTGACCACCGTGCCAGCAATGCCACCCACGACCAGGGAAACGAGAAGGGCCGTTGCTCGAAGTCGTGAAAGACAAGCGGCCGGAAATTTTTGCACGCCTTTTCGTCATCGAAAAGAATTCGGGCTTAAGGTTTCTTGTAGACACCGGGGCTGATGTTTCTGTCGTTCCACACATTTTCACGAACAAAGCGCCTTATGAAGTTAGAGCTTTATATAGCAAATGGAACTTCCTATTCAAACTTCTAGTGAACGCCTGATATCTGTTGATTTAGGATTGCGCCGCAACTTCCAATGGCCAATTCATTATTGCTACTGTCCCTATTATTGACGCTGACTTTTTACATAAATTTTCTTTGCTTGTTGATATTAAGAATCGCCATTTTATATTTTCCATAACCAATTTAACTTATCCGGGAGTAATTCGCAATAGTGAAGATTTGAGCATTAAACTGATTTCGGGTAACTCCCCATGGCATCAACTTCTCAGAGAATTCCCTACAATCACTCGCACCAGTTATGGGTATTTCCGAACCCAAGAACGATGTATTATATATTGAAACTACGGACCTCCAATTGCCGCTAAACCTAAGACGCTTACCTCCGGACAAGCTTAAAGCCGCCAAAGAGGAATTTTAATATATGATGGAACAGGGAATTTGCCGCCTTTTAAAAAGTTCATGGGCCAGTCCGCTCCATCTCGTTCGGAAACGAAATGGTAAGTGGCGATTATCGCCGGTTAAATGCAGCTACAATTTCTCATCGTTACCCAATCCCGAGCATTCAAACTGTATGCAAGTTTTAGAGGGAAAAGCTATTTTCAAACCCTTGATCTTGAGCGGGGTATCACCAAATGCCCGTTAACCCAGCTGATAGTCCCAGCTGTTAACCCAGCTGAAACTGCGGTTATTACGCCTTTTGGACTATTTGAGTTTCCGGTCATGATTTTCGACTTATGCAGTGCTGCTCAAACGTTCCAACGCTTCATGAATCAGGTGTTAATCGGCCTCTACTTTCGTGTACTTTATTTTGATGACGTCTTAATCGCCTCCTCTTCAGAGCAAGAACACCTATCACATTTGAGAACAGTTTTTGAACGTTTTCAAAGGTACGGACGGTGTCAGTCTTAATCCTTCCAAATGCGTTTTTGGCCAACCAAGAGTATTCCTTTCTTGGTCATGAAATTTCCGCTGATGGCGTTCGACCCCTTCCAGGTAGAGTCACCGCTATCCGCGATATACCCGAACCATCTTCAGTGAAGGACTTAAGAAGATTTCTTGCTATGCTCAATTTTTATCGACATTTCTTACCTCATGCAGTGAACCATGCACAAGCACCTCTAAATTCTTTTTTCATTGGAAGCAAGAAAAACGATAAACGTGTTATAAACCTGGACCATAGAATCTCGCGAAGCATTCCAAAAATGCAAAAATGCGGATTTAATTTCGGCAACAAATTTTCAGTATCCTTTCCGCATCTAAACCATTATCACTCTACGTTTATAAGGTATTTCTCCCGCTTTCCTAGTGTGCCTTCATGATATGGTGGTTCTGCACGCTGGCCGGTACTCCAGAGGTCCGCGGTTCGATTCCCGGCGAAGGCGGTTGCTAATTTTTCAATCTCTCTTGCTTCCAAATATCCTAATGTCTCTACAGTGGCGCTCGAACTAAAAGGATGAGGATTCTCCACACCCAGGATTTGGCGTCGGGGTTCCCTGAAAACACCAGTCGCCCTTTAAAAAGGCTTATGTTTTATGCTTTTCAACAGGATAAAACTTCTCCTAGTCAAATGAGACACCTAGACTTCATAGGACAATTTTCAACAGCTATCCGTTATATTGAGGGTTCGCAGAATATTGTTGCAGACACCTTGTCTCGTATTGAAGAACTAGCCGTTCCTTCGCCAATAAAGTTTGCTGCCCTTGCGGGTGAATAACACCGGGATTCAGAACTACAAACCCTCTTGAAAAGCAAATCTTCCACCAATCTCAACTTGCAGCCTATGCAGCTGTCACCTGGAAAATCACTTTATTGTGATGTTCAGGATTGAAGATTTCGACCTTATGTTCCCTCCGGATTTCACCATGCCATTTTTAGTTAGTGACATCGTCTGTCACATCCTGGCATCAAGGCTTCGAAAAAAAAATGATACAGCAACGTTTCGTATGGCCTAGCATGCAAAAGGACATAGCCAACTAGACACGTTCGTGCTTGGAGTGCCAAAGATCTAAAATTGTCAGACACACCACCAGCCAACTTAAAAATTTTAATTTGCTCTCATCTCCCTTCAATCACGTGCACCTCGACTTGGTCGGGCACTTATATTTATTAATAATAATATAATATATGAATACAATTAATTACTATGTATACATTTTTCTTACCTTGGATGAAGCAAATTTACTATTTACTTCATCAAAGTCGATCCTTTCAAATTTTTCTCTTTCCACACTTAAAAATGCTAGATGACTTAGGGGATCTTGTCCCATCGTTGATTGTAAATATGTGAAAATTTATTTAATAATTTTAGCACCGCTCATAATTAGCATTTGATAATGAAATAGTAAGTAGTATTTGAAGTGCGACTCTTAGGTTTGGAAAAACATTTCTCTATAGATTTGTAGTGGAGTTTTGGGTTCCGTTTCTTTTTCTACTGCGGAGTAACGTCATACAGTCATATTCACTGCTCAAAACAATTAGGGGATATTGTGGGTTCGATATGAAATAACCATATAATCGACAACCTTTTTGAACAAAAGGAAATAGAAGAGATTATAAAGGAAAATTATAACGTTTACAAAGTTGGGAATATGCAAATTTAGTCTGTGAAGTCTAAAACTATGCGTTTTAGATAAGAAGTGAGAAGCGACCTGCAGTATTCCTTTTGTAATAGGAGATTAAAAACAATTGACATGCGTTGAATGCTTCGTAGCAGTGAATATACGATGTCTCAGCAAGATGACATAGTTGAATCGGTAGCCAGGAAGGCAATCAGTCGTTTACAGGAGAGTCAAACGCAATCCATTGTAACGGAAGCGTTAGGATTTTCCTAAAATGTCATTTCCAGATTATGGAATCGGATTTTAGAAACTGGATATGTTTGAGAAATCGTTTTAAAATAAAAGCAGAACATATACGTGCATTTCGTTTAAAAAAATATTAATATATCTCTACTTTGGAGAAATAAAGTGGTCAGGAAGAACGTTTTGGTTGATGTACTGCAAACATTTTATTATACATTTTATCAGACAAATCAAGAAAATAAATAATTAATTATATATAATTAATTACATAGTTATTAATTTAAATATATTTTACAGAAATCGATCAAAATAAAACTGAAATTTTCCGGAAAATCTTGTTTGGAGACCATTGGCGCCCCTCTACGAGCGGCGCCCGGGGCATCATGCACCCCCATGCCCCCCTCTCGCTACGCCACTGCAAAGAGGTGTACGCAAAATAAAAATACTATATACTAAATGGTGGCAAAATATTTTTTTTTTTATAAATCGATGATTTCTTTTATTAAATTCAAAAGGAAAATATTTTACATTTTGCTAACCACATATAAGCTTAAACAAATCAAAACAAAAAACAATCTTGTAACATTCAAACATGTCACTTTGAGTGAAAATGTTGCCAAGCAGGTGAAACAAGTAGAAAAATTTCCAATCAGACTGCTGTAAAGTAAAACACGAGACACCAATGATGATAGTTTTAATTCCAGTAACCCTATCTGAAGCTACCAAGTTTATTCCAATCTTTAATTTTCCTGTACACGATCTGTGTGTCTATGCTAGATCTTATTTTCTGCAGCATTTTATATTTTGTCTGAAAGATGAGCGAGAAGAGAAATTCTTATATGGCAAATTTCAATCTGCAGATGATCATGTTTGCTGAAAATTCTAACAATAGTATTGCTGCTTGGCATTTCTACACAAATGAAAAACAAGTTTGAGAGTGGAGAAAGTTAGGTGCAAATTTTGCCAAAGATTTTTCGTTTTGGCAATGATGCAACAAACCAGCATTCAGAAACAATTTCAAAACTAAGACAACTCATTTTATTTAAAACAATTTTTTTTCCTAAACTGAAGAAAGATAAATTAAATAAAAAGCACAATATTTAGCAATTTATCACTTGCACCTGTCTTCTAATAATAATAATAATAATAATAATAACACCCACTGTTTTTTGCAAGATTGGCAGACCTGTATACAAGCCAACTCTTGTAATTTAACTTCAGAAAAAGTTTCAGAAATTCCCAGCTTATATATGAAAATATACAGTAAATTTGAAATATCTTATGCTTTGCCAAATAGCAAGAAAAAGCTTGTATATTGCTGCAACATAAAAGCTTCTATAACCTATAACCTGTTTTTAATTAAAAGTTTCTCTTAAATTCACACAAAATATGAAATAAATAAATTCAAGATTCTGACTTTGGGGTGTACATTTTCAGGTGGAGGACTGTGAATGCTCAAAATCTGATATTACTGTTTTTCTGCAATGCGAGGAACATACACACAAATTCTTCATTATTTAATAGTAGAGATAATTAATTAATTTCACTTTAATAATACAAGTAATTGATTACTAATAGTACAGGTAATTGATTATTAATAGTAGAGATAATTGATTATTAATTTCACTACTTTTTAGTACAGATAATTGTGAATATATATACAATAATTAATCTATAAGTGATTTTTGCAAATATGTTAGTTTTAGTAATTCAAAGCAGAATACAGAGAGGTGACTGCGACCCTATTTAAAAAATCCTGAAAAGTGTTCCTGTGCAGTAAAAATCTGATATAATTTCAAATAATTCTGAATATTCTTGGAAAATACACACAAGTATACACGCTTATTTCCAAACTGTTTCCTTAGCAAAGCAATAAATATAATTTTTTAAATTTATTAAAAACTAATTTATGTCTCACTATATCAATTTGTATAGAAAATAGTTGCCTATCTATTTGGTTTCTCAAGAATTTTTCTTAATAACTGCTAAGATAAACTTGCTTTTTTGGAAGAAGGGGTTACATTCTAAAAGAAATTTTGATGCAGACAATAGCTTTTCACTTAGCCTTTTAAATATTAGATTAGAACTTGCGATATGCATATAAAAATGTGTTGGAGATAAGGAACAGCTAGAAAAAGAGAATGGCTCATGGAATGTAAACATTTTTAGTAAGCTATTTAGTTATGCAAAAAATGATCCCTAAAACTTTAGGGATTTTATGAACTATAAACTTTATACGCAGTTTTTGTGTAATGAGAATGAATAATATTTCAACCTGCACAGCATCTAAGCTATTACAATTCATGGACATTCATCCTGACATATCAACTAAATTAAATGAACATTCAACAACAGAATCATAGAAGTTGGTTGCAATAGATTTAATCCCTTTCGTCAATACTGGGTATTTCTGTTTGCCATCTTCTTTTAAGTCTGAATACTTCAGCCCAAAACTTTAAAATATCACTTTTTGTTGTTGTTGTTGTTGTACAGTACAAACAGCAAAAATAAGACAAACTTAATTGCTTAGGCAAGAAGTTTGACTGCTCAAAATGAACTTTATATAGTCTAAAAGTTTTAAATTTTATATTTTATCTCTAAATGATATATTTGTTCTAACACAGAATTTGAAACACATTTTAACAGATTTGCTGATTACAAAGACTACATTTAACAAATCTGCAAATCCCAGATTTGAGAAAGTAAAAAAAATCCAGAATTCCAGCTACAGCCAGACTACCCCCCCCCTCCTTCGAGAATAATATACAAATTTTAATAACACATAGTGAAAAACATCAATAGTTCTACATTAAAATTGGCCACCATATAAGCCTTTGCCGACTTTTGAAATTTGCATGCTAAGGATAGGGCGAACGAGTTTGAAGCATTAAATATTTTGTAGAACTATATATAATTGCATTAAACATGTTTGATATCACTTTTTGATGGAAAATGAAATGGCACAGTTTCAACCCAGGACTTCTTAACAACAACTAAAGTAAGAGCCCAAATGAATTATATTTGTTCAAAAATATATCGGAATTATTCCAGAGAAAACATTTATCACCAAATAAAGAACATACCCTGCATAAGCTGAAAATCTTTAACACTTTTCTAACGCTAAGTTGGGGAGGGGTCGGCTTACATATGGCTTAATATCGTAGGTACTGTTTTATCAGCTTAGTGCAAGAGATAAATCACCAAATATTGCACTTTTTTTATTTCTTTAGTTTAAATTCCTAAAGTTTATGAAAAAAAGTCATTCCAAATGAAATCAAGTATTTGTTTTATGAAAGAGTTGCTTTATTTTCGAAACTGTTTAAAATACTGATTTGGTGCATCATCGGCAAAATGAAAAATACGATGCTTACAAAATATGCACCCCACTTTTTTACTGCTTGAACTAGTTTTCGATTTATGGATAAATGACAAGCAGCCATACTGCTGTTAGAATTTTCCTCAAGCGTGATCACCTGTGGCTTGAAATTTACTATATTAGAATTTCTCTTCCTGCTCACCTTTCAGACAAAAATAAAATGAAGCATCCTATAAGTTCTTTGACACAGATACCATAGATCGTATACAAGACATCAAACAAATGAAAGGAAAAAAATGTGGTAGCTTCAAATAAGTTTACCAGATTTAAAACTATCATCGCTGAGATTCGGTATTTTATCTTACACCAATTTGATTGGAAAATTAACCACCCATTTGATCTGTTTGGCTCATCATGTCTGTAACATGTTTAAACATCACAGGAATATTCCTTTACATTTTGGCATAAAAAAGTGTATTGAATTTTGGGAAAATTTTTAAAGAAAAAGTGTACATTTCACTTATATTTGGCATTATACAGAACATAAATGTTGGCTTAGGAAATATTTTTGGAAAACTTTATTGGAATTAGTAGTTAATGATCATAGCTATAGCAAAATACATTTCCTTGAATATCAAGTCATCAGCTACAAACGTCATGGTATGCAATCACAGCAGGGAAAGATGTACCTTCTTGTTAACCCTCTGACCATGACAATAAAATTCACAAAAGTATAGAAAAAAAAATTTTTTTTTCTACCAACAAAAATGACTATAGTGGAATTCCCAGTTTTCTGCCTTTTTAAAAATTTCTTCATGCATATTTGGGATAAAATGTGAACCTGTTATTCAAGGATCTCATGTATGGGGGTTTAACCTTTTAACTGTCATGCCCATCCAAAATGTCATGCCCGAATGTTACTCGGGCTAATTTTTTTTTTGTGTGCCTTGTATTGTTATACCCGAATATATATCATTAGCAGTTTATTTCGGCTTCAGTTCAACAGATGGCAGCATTTTACTGAAGGTTTCAAAGGATAGAGGTTAAAGTTCAAAGTGCGTGGAATTTTTAAAAAATTTTTTGACTGTGAGGCAAACATTTCATTTTTGAAATAAAAACAAAATTGACAATTTATGCACCCAAATCATCAAAATAACTTGACAGTTAAAAGGTTAAAGTTGCCACTTTTCTGATGATATTTAAAGTTTCATCTTTTTACACTCTAGTTTATTAGTTTGTCAACTTTGGGGGTCTAAATGCGATGTTTGCTTTAACAAGGAAGTATTTTTTTTAAAATATTTTTTTAAGTTAAGAAATAATCAAACTTACTAAAGTTGCTTTTCCCATAATCTTCTCTTCTATTTCAAAATATACATCTAATTTTCGACTCTGAAAAACAAAAAAATAATAATAAAGAAAGAATACATTTTTTCACTGAAAAAATTGTCATTTAAAATTTAAACTTAAATTTAAACTTACTTTGATATGATCCAATATTGCAGTAGCAATTGTCATATGCATATCAATGAGTCTTTTCTTCTCCAAAAGTTCAGGCAGCGAGCTATAAAATATTTGAAAAAAATCACATAAAAATTTTTTTTCTTTTAAATGTGAAAAACACTTTTTTTTTTCCAGTTAAATAAAACTACACGAGTGGCATAGTTAGAGCTTCTGCCACCCAGGACAGTCCATAAATTTGCTGACCCTCTAGATATAGAAATAAAAAGCTACCAAAAAAAATTTTAAATTGACAGTTATGCAGGCAGTATAGAAATATTGCCCTCCCCAGAGTGTCCCAGACATGCTCTATAGGGGTTGAGGTCTGGAGAGCTGGCTAGCCAATCTATCCGGCGAATATCCTCACTCTCAAGAAATTCGTCGACCAGAAGAACTCTATATGTGGCCTCACATTATCGTCCAGTAAGATGAACTCGAGGCCCACTGCATCCCAAAAAGGGCAAACATAGGGCTCCAAAACCTCACACCAGTCACAGAGCCTCTGTCAAAGACGTAGAGAGGTGTGTGGCTGTCCAACATGATGCCTGCCCAGACCATTACACCACCATAATTGTTGATTTTGAGGACATTGGAGGGTAGGTAGCAGGTCCCTTGCTCTCTCCATATGAAATTACATTGAAAATCGGTATTTAGGCTAAAACAGGGACTCGTTGGTTAACAGAGCGGTTTTCCATTGCTCCATACTCAAATCACTATGCTGCCTGCACCATGCTAATCGGACTCTCATGTCCGTAGACTTGAGTGGGACTCACGTCTATGGACATGAGAGTGGCAGTCTTTAGGCAAACAACCCTCTCTCATTCAGTCTTTTGGAAACAGTCACCCTTGTTACAGGGTTCCTGTGGCTGCATACATGACCCGAGAGAGCTGAGAAGCTGTAGCCCCTCTGTTACATCTCACTAAAATGGACAAATAGCGATCTTCTCTGGTCGTCATGGCTCTTGGACGACCTTGCCCAGGCTTTCTCTCGATGGATCCAGTATCCTGGAATTGTTTCCCTAGGTTATACATGACGCTGGGCATTAAATTAAACCCTCTGCATATCTGGACTTGCGATTGGCCTGCCTCTAGCCTCCCCCACAATTCGCCACCTCATTCCATCATCTAAACTTTGGTGGTTACTCCTTTTTACTGTTCCGATGCGAATTTAAGCTACTGCTACAAGATAACACCAAGAAATTCGACGAGGTGTGCTAGCAATTGCAATTCGTCTTACCCTCTATGCATTTATAAAGCCTTTTTATTGCTGGCTCCGCCTACACACACGTGTACGCTTACGTATTTGCTGTACAAGATTTGAATTTTTATTTACAAGCAGTCGTTTTTCCTTCAGTTCAGTTCTTTTCATGCAATTCGATAAAATATGCAAATCTCTGAATTTATTTCACCAGTGTATATATTATATAGTAATATCTTAAATATATATACTTTTTAATTCACGGCCGTCAAGACAGAATTTCAGGCGAGCTCATCCCTGCCCTAGATAATCTATAAATGGAGCTAATTCATTCACACCATGTTATACATCTTATTCGAAGATTTGATGCTATACACTTGTTTAGTCTTTTTTACAGTTGTCAAACGACAAATATTTTCAGTTACGAATAACTGCAATAAGAATAATTGCTTTATTTTTCGTAATTTATATGTTAAGCTTTTCCAGGAGTTAATTAAGTCCTCAGAGTCTTAAAAAAAGAGAGAGAGAGAACCAGGCTGATTGATGAGCATCTGTAATTCACAATAAAGATGGTTTCTGGTAATTTTTCTGTAGGATTACAAACTTTATCGAAATCCCATCAGATTTTGTAGTTGAAAGCTGCAGTAAAAATGAAATAATTTCAAAATAATTCTTACTCAAATAGTTTCTTTTTCTGCATTAAAGAAAAATATAATAAATAAATAAAGAAAAAATATTTTCATTATTTATTCTCAAGTTTTGTGCCACTTGAGAAGTTTCCTCAATTTGTTTCATTTTTAGTTTAAGTAAGTTATTTAATGGTTAATACAGCAAATTAGAACTATTTGAAATAAATGCCAGGGCACAAATTTAATATTTAGCTTTCAAAACACTTCCATTACAAAGTATGACCAACATAAATTTCTTGCAGATCCCAACCTTTAGAACTCAGACAGAAAATTAATATAAACTAGAGTTTTCCCCTTTGCTTCATTATTATTTTCATTTATGTAAAAATTAAATAAAAACTTATAAAAAAATCAGCTCCTCAGTTTTTTAGGTTGTGTTTCGCTGCTTGCAATCTGTGTCTGAGGGCACTGTGGTACAGCATTCATTGAGGGATAAATTTTAAAAGAAATACAGTACAAAGTCTGTAATACGGATGCCCATTATCCAGAATTATCTATAATTCGGACCTCAAAGGCACAAACTTATGCATGCGCGCAAAGCACTTACACATGCGCATTTGATGTGCGCATCCGCTACACATATAGCGCATAAAGCCAGTAAAGCATTTACCCATGCGCACTTCCGATAGTGAAGAAAGTGACAGAGAGGTTGTTGAAAACAAAAAAATTTCGATTGATAAGTTAGTCGGTATTCTCGACACAGCAATTACAGGACTTGAACAGTGGAACTTTATAACTGAACAAGAAATTATAGACAGTATTAGCCCAAAAAATGAGGCAACTTAAACAACTTACATTGTAAGAAATGTTTAATAAAATAAACAAATAAATATTAAGCTTTTTTTTTTTTTTTTTGTAAATTTTGATACCCTTTAGATCATAATTGCTCTTTATTTCATAAATTATGGTTTCATATTTTTAACTGTATAATTTCTGCATGCCATCTTACCAGATTTAAATTGATGATCTATAATCCAGAAAAACCCAATCTGGAATCACCGAAGTCCCGACGAGTCCGGATTACGGACTTTGTACTGTAGATTGTATTCTAAAAAATTATGAGTTAGTCTTTACTTACATTTTACTATTCATGGTAAATTTTGTTTATTGTTAACTAATTATTCCTTCACATAGTATTGATTAATTAGAATTGATTATTACTGATTACTAAAAAATTCGATATCTGTAAGTCAATGCTCAAGAACTCATTTTGATATAATAGTCATGAATTTGGGGAACCAGAGGGGAAAACTTTGCTAACTGGTGAAAATTATGGTTAAAAGATGAAAATGCTGAGCTGTTAATCATATCCAGTATGAATTACTGTTATCTGAGTGCATGAGGTACCTTTTTAGGGATATATGCATTAAGTCAAAATGCAAGGTAAAATTTCTCTAGCCCTCTTATACATATATTTAAGAAAATTTAAGAAAATTTTGTACTCATTACAAGAAATAAAACACAAAAAGTTTGATTCCCGCATAAAAAAAATGACTAAAATATTTGATACTAAAATCACAAATCAGTTTTAGGGGCCGTACACAAATTGAAAATAAAAATGTTTGCATTTGTATATAACTCAAAATAAAATATTCAGAAAATGTTTTCTGATGTTAATAAATTATATGACGAGAATTTAAATGCAAATTATTATTAAAAAGACTGATCAGTTTAATTTTTTCCCCTAAAAATGAGACTTCATTCACAGAATCTTATAGAAAGCACGTGCAGGCTTTAGTACTGGCAAGCAGCTAAATTGTAACATTATTTGCATTAATTAAAAATTAAAAAAATATTTGTACCTTAAAGAAATTTTTACTAAACCAGATTATGATTTTAAAGTAATAAAACTTCATGAAAGTATTATAACACATTTTTAGATTTTGAAAATTTATAAATTACTTGTGAAAAAATCTTTATACGTACAAAATGTAATAAAATTATAAATAAAGACATTAAAAAATCACAAAAGAATATCATTAAATGACATTTAAGGGGAAAAAGATGAACAACAAATTACCAAAATTTATTAACTGACACTTCGATGCAAATTCGAAATGATGTGAAATATCCAAAATTTTGGAATTAAATATAGCTGTCAATTTTTGTTGCATGGGAGTCAATTTTTGTTGCTTTGTCTTTTAGAATAAGTACATAATTTTCCTAAATATAAGTACAGAGGCTAGAGGAAGGTGACAAATTGAGATTTCATATTTTATATAAAATATCTTTTAAAATCTGCACAATATTAATTAATATAGCCACTAATTCAAAGACAAACATTTATGGAATATTTTATTAGACAAAAATACCTAACAGCTGATGTTAATTTTGCAGTATTATCTGAGACATTTCCAATCACTTCATCCGTAGCAGCATTATCACCTTCCAAACCCTATGAAATAAAAAAGTTATTGCTCTAATTTGATAAATAAATTTATGCTACAGAATTAGCACTGACACTTTAAAAAGTAATGCAAATGCATGAAAATCTACCATGGCAGCTTTCAGCCTTTTTACTTCTTCTTCAGATGTTCTGTATGAATCTAGCTCTTCTTGAACTGCTTCAGCAACAATGGGGAATGGGCTAAAAATAGAAACTGTAACTTGAATCTAGTATTATTTCAGAAATGCATATATTTAAGTAATTGATACCGTATTTATTGGCATATTATGTTTTCTTTTCCTATTCATTTTAACACACTCACTGTGAAAGCCAATTAAGCATACTCATTTACATAGCCCAAGATCCCATCCACATTTTTATGCTTTAAAATTATTTTCTACTGCTTTATTATTCACATACAGATATAACAGATTACTAAATTCATATGAGTATACTCATAGTTGGCATATGAAATGATATTTTTGATCCTTGTGGCAACTATGAGATAACTCGAAACTAGATAAACAATACTCACTTGCTCTGCACATTCACACAAAACCCCTAATGTGCGATATGTTATTTTCTTTTCGCTTTTCACAAAACAGGAATTTAAGCAGTTTGCTTACACTTCCCAAGAAAATAAATATTAATAAAAATGATTTTACATTCTTAACTTTAACCCTCTAACTGCGTATCACGTGATTTCCACGGGCAACGAAGAAGTAGCAAAATTTGCGCAACCCGCGATTAACACAGGGATGCATTTTCCCCATTTATTTAACTATGCAACCCACTTTTTTCCTATTCATGGTTTCATTTCTGCTTTTTTGTAATGTTTAATTATTTATTCAGATCTGGGTTAATAGATGGCATTAGTTGTCCATATTTCTGCAAAATATATAAACATATTTTGCACCATTTTGCATGCTCTTTTCAATAACTCAAAGATGTCTGTAGTTCAACATTTTGCTAGATATATATTCCTCAATTCCATCAAGAAAGAAACACGTACACAGTTTGTTTCTTAAAAAAAAAAAAAAAAAAAAAAAAAAAAAAAAAAAAAAAAAAAAACTGAAACTGGCAAAAAAATTCGCAAAGAAACAAATATTTGGTGCAAAGATGGCGAAATAGGATGCCTTGTTTCGAACTTTATCATATTACACTTCATTTCTAATAAATGTTTTGTAAATATTTTGCATATTTTCATTAGTATATACGTTTACTATTGTATTTTATAAAATAAATCATAATTTAACCAAGATTAATTTTCAAAATTTTTCTTTTATATGATTATTCTTATTAAATTTTCCGATAACCTTTTTTTATAATCTAATTCTATGCTTGGAAAAAAAAACACAAAAAACTTTTGCATATTTAGCTTAAAACTATATGTAGATTTGAAAAAGCCAGATGTCCCTTCCTGCATGCCCAACACCTAAGCATTGCAAGCATTTACTGAGGCAATATTCATACTCAAAAACTTAAGTTATGAAAAGCAAATTATCCTATAGTTGGCAAGTAAACCCAATTTACTACTTACGAGGACTCTCACAGATATGCATACAAATTATGTATGGATTGAATGTACACAAAATTGATGAAAGCTTGATGAAATTTATTTTCCTCCAAAATACTTAACAGTGCTGGAATTTTTCACACTAAAGAACTCGTACAACTCTTCTCAGTATGATACAGTACAACCACTTCAGACTACTAAGAACATTGAACACAAGACAATACCAAAAGCCTCAAATGCATAAGTTTGCAGAGTGATCTCTCAACACTCTGAGCTAAACTCTGAACTAAACTGATGCTCTCTCTGGCTTTATAAAGTTTCGATCCATCTAATGAGAAACTTTCAGTACATTCCAGGCATACACAGTTATAGTTACATAGGGATTGGACCAGTTACAGTCACACAGGGATCAGACCAATATGCTGCCAAATGGTCACCAAGTTTGATGGCTTTTGATGAGTTTTTGGCAAACTTGCCACCAAAAATTAGTCGCAAAAACAATCGCCAGCTTGGTATGGTAAGATAGGTATTTATCTCAATGTTAAATAGATTTACCCATGTAACTTTAATTTTCTGGCAATGCTTCTTATTGTGAGCCCTTTCATGTTACATTATATGAGCGATATTACAATTTACATATAATTTATGAAATTTATCATACTATACTTTACACTGTTAACATAAATCAGAAGTTCCCAAACCATATCTTGAAAAAACTAGAGGGATAATTATGCAAGGGGAAGAAATATGTGGTATTTTCCTTAATTAACAAATTAAAGAAACTGCTTCTACATGTGAGAGCATTCTTTGAACAGCTGAAATTGATTCCATATTTCAGTTAGCTTTAGGCGAGAGTTTCTTAAACTGCGAGTCACCAAACATTTTATAGCAGTTTGGGTATTTCTTCAACTTATAATAATTTTACAATTACCAAATATTTTTACATAGTGCATAATAGATAAAGATAAAACAATACAGGCAAAGAAAACAAGAAAATGTTTCGACGAATTCTTTTTGTAACATAAATGTTCTTTTTACTTGTTTTGTACGTAATTTTTACTTGTTTTGTCTGTAGCTTATTTAAAATTTTCCCGTTGTTCTATGTCTTAAAATTAGAAATTAAAGTTAATGCCTTAAAACTGCAATAATATATTACAGTACAAGTGAAAAAATTAAAAAATTGACAGTTTCACTTACGAGTCTGTCGGATTTGCCCAATGCTTATGGGGTCCCACAAAATTTTCCTAAATATTCGGGGTCCTAAGGTCGCGAAAAAATCTCAGTGATAAAAAGGGCTCGCAACTGAAAAAAGTTTAAGAAGCAAATGCAAAAATGCAATCATACTGAAACTCATTTACCTTCACTATTTGATTCCTAAGCAAAGATATACACTCATGAAGAGAAAATAAATAAAAACAAATATATTACAATACAAAATATATATTAAACACCACACATTTTCAAATATAAGAGCTTTTTTCTTCAAAAATTTGCCCCAAATTCAAAACGTGTATACAAGCCATAATGAAAAAAAAAAAAAAAAAAAAAAAAAAAAAAAAAAAAAAAGTCTTGTCTTAATTAAATATGTTGCCACTAGGATGAAAATTTATCTAACAAGCAAAATAAGTGTAATACTATCAAATGAAATTGCAATAAAGTAAAACACAAAATACCGACGATGATAGTATCATTTATTCCATTCATTTGTTGTGTTTTATATGACCTGTGGTATGTGTGCTAGTGCCGTTTTCTGTGCCATTTTACTTTTTGTTTGAAACACGAGCAGGAAGAGAAATTTTTACACGGCAAAAATCAAATTGCAAATGACTACGCATGCTAAAGTCAAACAACACTTTGGCTACTCAGCAATTCTAAATAAAAGAAAAACAAATTTGAGAAAGGCGGGTACAAATTTCGGAAAAAGATAAGAGAATTTCATCATTCTGCATGCAACAAACCAGCATTATAAAAAATAAAATAATTCATTTTTCATAAAATATTTAACCCATTTCATTTAAAATTAATTTTTTTCATGAACATAAGAAATATAAACTAAAGAAATAAAAAAGTACGATATTTAGTGATTTAGCATTTGTGCCTGAACATAGGAAAAGTATCTACGTTTTTCACGAGATTTGAGGATCCGTTAAAAACTGACCTTCTGCAAAAGTTCCAAAAGTTCTTGGCTTATGTATGGAAATATATGGTACTTATCAAAATTTACATTTTCATAGTGGCTTGTAGTCAGCGAGACTTACAAAGTGAACATGAACATAAAGGCATTTATGATAATTAAAATTTATGTTATCCTAGAAATTAATGCTTAAAAATATTTAAACATTTTTGCCAATTATTACATCTTAAGTGGGTGTTTTCTCATCAAACTCTTCATCATACAGTGAGAGGTTTTTTTTTTCAATTAGCTTGTGAATTACTTCTGCTTTGTGATGAAACTATTTGTTAAAGGATTATAAAAATAAAAATGCTTCTCTCCTCCACATCAAAAATTTAATAATGTTTTAAAGTATGAAAGCACTTTCCTTTGTGTAAAAGAACATTGTAAAATTTACATATTTCAAAGAGAATTAAAGAAAAAAATCCATTTAGTTATTTACAAATCTGTCATCACTAGATTCATCATCAGTAAGTTTGTTTTTGCAGGTATAATTCGACAAATTACCAGCATACAATTCTTTATCATCATATTCTATTCTATCATAGTCCATTTTTAGGAAATTACTGTAAAAAAAAGAAATTACCGGTGGGACCGGGAACCCTATCACCACAAAACACACTGATAACTCGAAAATGGGTTTCATCATTCCCACACTTTAATAACAATATGCACTAAACGAGTTTAGTCATCTCCCACTTAGGATGTGTTAAGGATTAATATACATAAGCAAGTAATAAAACGGTTAGATAAGTTTCAAGGGAAACATTTTTTTTTTCAACAGCAATAATTATTCAACAGATTATCCTTCTTTCCTTTTTTTTAACACATTAAATTACATTAAATTACCAGTTATGGCTTTTAATAAAGAATATTCTTTAAAAAATACAATACACATGCAATGAAACCATGTTCATGAAAAGAATATGCAACTGCAGCTAGTTTATATCTTTTATTCCAGACCTACATTTTTCATGCAAACACTTTAATAGCGCAGAAAGTGTGCCACCAGTTTTTTTTTTACTTTCCGCACTTTGGCACATATCATTCAATCACTCTACATCCCTGAACTTATACCAAAATTTTCCAATAAATACAGGAATAAATAATGCGTTTTCTGAAAAAAAAAATCCTGTTATTATTATAACATACGTTAATATGAAAACACAGATGCAGTGGTGAAAGATATACAATAAGTGAAATATTGTACATATTTTTTTTTTTCTTCTGTAATCTAGATCGAAAGTAACTTCTCAGTATGCTGTAATGTCTCTCATCGTTGGTTGATAATCAATTTCACTCCTTTGCAGTGTTCGCTGATTTTACAGTGCTTTTGTATTGCACAACTGAGCAGGCTTCTCTGGCACATATTTTAGGTATCTGGGTTTATCCTAACATGACCTGGTTAAGTTTCCTATGCCAGTCTATGACTTTTTGAGGGTGTTTAAACTCGTGGATCTCGTCTAGCAGAAGCTGGACTTGAGGATTAGCAACAACACAACTGTAGATACCACGATTCTTGGAACATGGTATGCAATAAGCCAAATCCCAGATATGCATGCCATCTTCATGCTTTTCAAAAATCTTTTTTACTTCCATGGGGATCCTAAATATTTTTTAGTTGCTTCACCTTTCTCAATTCAATTACACTGTTAATGATTTTTAAAAAAATCTGCATGAAAAACAGAAAATCACATGAAAATTCATAGCACAGGTTGTTTACTAAATAGTAGTAGCAATAGACATTCTGATGCGCATAGTTCAAAAAAGGTAAACAAGGATTAGGCAAAATAATAACCGTGTTTAGCGCAGATTTTAGTCAAGAATCTATCAAATTTGAGGGCAAACAGGTGCTGGTTCTTCTTCATGAGATGCGAAGAAATCTGCAATGGAGAGAAAGCCACAGTTTTGTTTATACCTAAAAGAAATAAAGCAAACCAGAAGATAGTGCTATCTATGGGCAGAAATAGCAACGAAAATTGAAAACGTAAGTTAATTGAATTTTGAAAGGACTAGGAAAGGCTGGATTGGAATTGAAGTCATTAATTAAACAAGATAAATCTTTATGAATGTGAAAAGTGTCAAGAAAATCCAATTCACCAATGGAAGAAGCTTTTTGGATAATTTTTGCAGGCCAAAATTCAAAATTGTGATTAAATTTCCAACTATGATTAGCTGTTGAAGACTTGTTACTTTTGTCTTTTTAGACATAAGAATTGCGTTCCTTAACTCTCTAAGCGGCAAGGCCGTATATATATGACCTAGAATATTTATTGTGATATCTGTAAGAATGTATATATATGTGCATATTAAAATATGTCAACGAAATTAAGGCAATATATCAAAAGAAAACAAATCAAGGTATGAAATACCAGGAGAGTTTTTGCATTAAAATCAAAAAAAATAATTTGTTCTCATAGTAGTTTTGGGAAATTTGTGCTTTCTTAGCAAAAATCATGGTGTCCCAGAGGGTTGATGTGAAATTTTAATGCTCTTTTAGTTTGGTCTGTATATCTGAAATCACACTGACTAGATATGTTATAAATTCTTCAAGAATTAAAGACAGAAATGGAATCTTTAAGAATTGAACCATGAATTTTATTCATAGATGGGAAAATTTTTGAAAATTGAACATCTGGAAAATCCATACAATTTTGTAACTGATAGAAGAATGAAATGGAAGCATGATACGGTTACTAATGTTATTTTTAAAAGCCGAAAGTCTTCTTTGATGGCAAGATGAAAATTTGCAAAGGCTTTATTCATGATCACGGAAGAAAATCCTCAGCTAATAGTAACTGATCTCAGCTGATCATTAGCAAGAAAAGATTCTTTGAAAAAACACTGAGAGCACTAAATACATAATGGTAAAAAAGCTATTTTTTGCTTCGCTGGGTGACATGACTTAGCATGGGAAGCAAACAAACAGAAAAGGGAGTTTGCCTCCCGATGGGCAAAGTCATGTCACTCCTTTTGGGTATAAGCACAACTGTCGCTTTTGTTTCATTGCATATTTCTTTGCTCCCGATGAATAGGGACCTGTACCTGTTTGCCTTCAAAATCAATAGTGTCTTGACTATAATCTACACCAGACATGAGGTTGTTGTTTTGCCTAATTTTATGCTTAGTGTTTCTCTTCTGTCTTCAGAGGTAAACAAGGGTAGTACATGTAGTGATGGCTCATCAAACTCAAGACATATTCCAAACAATGGTTTTTGCGTAAAAACGGAACATGTATTAAGCTGAATATATTTCAAAGCCAAAGTACCAATGCCCACCAAAGTACCAATGCATCTGAAGAAGTAGACAATAAGCTTCCAATAAGAAGGTTTGGTAAACATTGACTCATTTAGTGTTTGACTTAATTTTGAATGTTACCTATAGTTTGCAAATTTTATCATTATTATTATGTGAAGTGTTAGAGAAGTACTCGCACTATCAGCATTATGCAATTCTTCTTACATAATCATGCAAGAAGGATTAATTTTGAAGTGGCACATTTTGCGAAGATTTATTATAAGCATGTTAACATTTTGTTTGGATAAAAAGGGAGAAATAATCAAGTTAAAAAGATTATTGCAAATCAAAAGCAATCTATCTTATCCACTTTTCTTTAAAAAAAAAATTGAGGGGAGAGGTAAAGGATCAATAGTTACCTTCCTTTATATTGCGTCCAAAATTTATCAGTGCAGGAAAGATCAAAAGTTTTTGTTCGTTTTCGTGGTCTTGCTCCTAAGTGAGTTGTTTTCTCTGTTGTTTCATCCATAGTTACACGATTCAGCTGCAGATCCTAAAATATATATATACACATATAGTCCAATAAATAAAGATTAGGATTTAATTTAGTATCATAAAGTCAATTTTGTACTCTCTATCTAACCCTGCTTTCTGCAAAGTTGTCAATCATTGGTGACTAATCTTTTGTCAACCAAAAATCACCTAATAGAACAATGAATTAATTAAAAATGCATAAAGAAACACTGAAAATTACGAGGCGTATTCGGAAACTAAGTACCGTTTTGAAAAAAAAAATAGTAAAACAATTTTTTCGAATCCAATTTTATTTTTACATGAAAATACATGCCTTAAACTATTTTTCACCATAGTTTCCGCCAATGATCAAACACTTGTCATAGCGGGTTACCAGTTTTTGTATACCATCGTCAAAGAAACTTCCCGCCAGTTTTGATAACCATGACTCCACAGCATTTTTTGTGTCATCGTCAGATACAAAGCGCTTGCCACCAAGCTCGCGCTTCATGTGCAGGAACAAGTGATAGTTGGACGGCGCCAAGTCCGGGCTGTACGGCGGGTGATCAAACTGCTCCCAATGAAACTGTCGAATTAACGATTGATTGACACCAGCAGTATGGGGCCGAGCATTATCATGGAGCAACACAACTCCTTTACTGAGCATTCCTCTTCGTTTGTTTTGAATGGCACGCCTTAGTTTTGTTAAAGTCTCACAATACCGTGCCACATTAATGGTTTCAAATCTGGGAAGAAATTCAGTAAGCAAAACGCCTTTCCTATCCCAGAAGACAGCGCACATGATTTTTTGTGATGACATTGTCACTTTGAACTTTTGTTTTTTCGGAGAATGAGTGTGTCTCCACTCCATCGATTGTTGTTTCGATTCTGGTGTGAAATGACACACCCAAGTTTCATCACCTGTCACAATTTGGTTTTAAAAAGTTTTCTCCCTCATCACTGTACCGCATGAGAAATGTCAGGGCACTACCAAGTCGCTTTGTTTTGTGAACATCAGTGAGCATTTTTAAAACCCATCGGGAACACAGTTTGCGATAATTCAAAGCGGTCAGACACAATTTCGAACAAAACAGTACGTGAAATTTGTGGAAATTGCCTCTGAAAGAGTTGTCCATTGTGAAGCGTCTGTTCTCATGAATTGCTTCATCAACTTTTCTTACCAAATCATCGGTGACAACAGAAGGCCGACCCACTCCGATCCTCGGCGTGGGACATTTGTTCGACCTGCATTAAACATTCTTACCCACTTTCTCACCATTCCATCACTTATCGCGTATTCACCGTAAACTTCTGTCACTTGACGATAAATTTTGGCCGGTTTAACATTTCTCGCGTTCAAAAATTTAATCACGGCACGAATCTCACAGTCAGCGGGAGAACTAATTGTCTTAAACATTTTGAATGTGCACAACAAACTGAAAACACAACATAGAGCAACCAAAATGGCGACAATTGTCAGTGAACGAGAAAGACTAATGCGCATGCGCGGGACACCTACCACAGCGCTGCGACGGCGCTAGAATGAAATGATATTTAGTTTCTGAATATGCTACGTACATTAAAAAGAAACATATTAACTAAATTAAAAATGTAAGAAACAGCCATAATGAAACACTTTATTTTTTCACAGTCTGTGTTCCCAATTTCCTATCTGTGTGCACAGCAATCTGTTTCAACTTTTTTTTAAAAAATTAAATAGAGAACTGCAGAATTCTTGGCATTGCAGAGCCACTTGGCACAACTCTCCAAGTACACATCAACTTGTTTTAACTTAAAAAAATCAGGGAATTGCAAAATTCAGAAAAGGCTACTCTTACTAAAAAACATCAGAGCAGAAACCACAAATATGATCCTTGAATTTCAAAACAGCACACAATGCTTCAGCTGACAGTTTTGTGGCTTAAAACATAAAAATCAATAAGTCCATTCACACCTGTTTAACACGGTTTAAGCCATACCCAGTTAGAAAACGGGACAGTTATGTAAGCATAAATGCTGTACCTGACTCAGGAAAGCCATCAACCAATGTTTGCTTTGCACTGATTGATGGTTCTTATGAAAAAATACAATTTTTAGGAAAAATCCCTAAATCAGTTTTTGTGACACAGCAAGTCTTGCTTAGAAACGAAGTTCAGCTTATACCTCTTATGATTTAAAGCCACCATGTGAACAAATCTTAATGTGCACACGACAACTGCCAGATAAATATATTTTCATGAAAATTTGCATTGCCTATTTTGGCAACGTAGCACGTTGTCTACTGATTCTTGTCAGGGTTGGGCAGAAATTTTGTTTTTTACATAAATTAAACAGATTTATTGAGAATTAATCGGGCTTTTATAACGGCAAAAAATTTATGTCATGTTTAGCCATTATTGGTAGTAAATCGCATTGTCTTACAACAGCTTTTGTTTCATTCTAATCATAATCCTATATATATTGGAATTACAAATTCTTATTTGCTTAGTTTTACATTAAAAAAAGTTTTTAAAATTAATATTCCAGTTAAATAAGATTTCCAGTTAGTGAAATGCTGGATAATTGGGTTTTTACTGCACTTTTATCATTGGACCTTATAAAAATTCATACGCAAAAATTAGATGCTACATACAAGGAAGCAACTTAAAAAACTATTATTACAGGAATTGATTTATTAATCATTGTTGGATTTCGAAACGTTCAATAATCATTGTGAACTAAACAGTATGAAACAATTACTGTTTAGTTTTTTTTAACTTTACACTAGCAAGGACAATTTAAATATTAATTATAAATAAAAATTCAGCAAGAAATTCTGAAATTTCCATACATATTAAAAACTAAACACCAATATTTTATACAGCTTGAATTTCAATTCTGTAATATAAAAATGTGCATTTTACCAATATGTCAGGTAAAATTAGAATTCTTGTGGCTAGTATGTGAAAACAGATGGTTAAATTTGCATTTGAATTTATAATTCCAAAAAAAAATTTCATATTGATGCTTCCAATATATTTGAACACTCAATAATTTTATGCTCAAATACCTTTATTAAAAATAAAGCTTCATTTATTATTACATTGAAATCAAATATTGATGTACGAGATCAAAAATAGCATATTAAGCTATCACATATACAAAACTGCAAAATTCTCTTTCTTTAAAGTTAGAATGTAATTCCTTTTCTCCCATATTAGAGTATAGTAATCCTACGTTATAATTTTATAATAATAATAATAAACATTTATTATAAGTAATAGTTTACAGAAAATATTTAAATTTAGTTATTTCATTCAATACACATATGTTTTTAACTACGTTTACCTTGAATAAAATAATTAGATTACTTTATAAGAGTTTATTAATTCCTCACTCCTAATTTTTTTTAATTCCAAAAAATTCTGCTTTTGATTTACATTAAGATTACATTAATTTATGACAAATTTTGTGCCAAAATACAGAATCTGCCAGATGGGTGAAACTAATAAATTCATTCAATGTCTAACATTCACAATAAATAAATACCAAAACATCATGTGCAAGTGCCTGGTATGTCCATGTGTGATGTAAAGGTGTTGCCATATCCTGATTTCTGTCTAGCACTACTAAAAGTGGTCTCTGGAATCTGAAAAACATTCTCAAAATAAGCAAATATTTCCTCTGTATAAAGTATACTTATATTTTCATATAAATAGAAGTTGAATACTTACGCAAATGAACTAGGCATACCATCTGGAGCAAACAAGCTGTTTCTTGAATCCCGAAGATTTTCTCGAATTTTTTTATCTAGTTTCTAATATTACAAAGTAAAAAACTATGTTAGTATTCACAAATTCTAAACTTCATATATATATATATATATATATATCACATAAATGAAGATACATTAAAAATCAGGCATGGAATTCCACTACAAATAAAATTTTATTAATTTGTTGTCATGCATTTCTTCAGCTAAAAACATATATAGAGATCCGGACTTTGGAATTTTCTGGATATTAGATCATCAGTTTAAATCTAATATGAAGAAATTATAAAATTAAAAAATGTAAAACACTGATTTACGAAATAATGAAGAATATATGACCTTAAGAGAACTGTACTTAATATTTATTTGTTTTATTAAACATTTCTTTTAATATAAGTTGTTTACTTCATTTTCACTACTACACTCTTTTTAATTCTTCTGATAGACATAATTCCTTGTTCTATTACAAAGTTCCATTTTTCAAATTCTGTAATTCCTGCGTTGAGAATTCCCACTAAACTAACAGTTGAAATTTTTTTGTTCTCTAATTCTCTCTCTCATTTTCTTCATTATCAGTAGTGATTTTCTGGATTTACTACAGATTTTGACATCCATTTGTTGACTGATGATTTGAGACTTTGGTAGAGACTTTCGTAGAATATATTTACTAGTTTCGCGTAAAATCAATACATTTTGTAAGTTTTAGTTTGTTTTTTGTTTTTTTGCACTGAATAATATAGTTTAGAATTACATGTATTGATTAACATTTTTAATTTATACATAAAAATAATTTTTGTTGGCTATTTGTTTATCACACAAATTCACAATTCACATTCATTTTTTTAAAATAAAAATAATTTAATTATTAATAAAAAATATTTAAAAATACATAAATCTTAATATATTAAACAAATCTCCTTTCATTTTTGTGACAATAGTTGTCCTCTTTTTTCATTTTAGTATTGTCATCTAGTTTTTAAGAAAAACATTTAATTGATTTTTCCCCCCTTTGCATTGTAGCAAATATTTCCACATTCCACTATTGAGGGAAAACCAAATGGAATTTATGAAACTGTATAGTTGTAAGTAGTGCAAATGTCATCAGACATGGGGCAGGAAAGGTCAATGGACAATGACTATTCCCAAGGTTGAAGGGTAAGACCAGTAGAATTTTTCTGGTTGATATTTAGATTAGAGCCACCTTTTTAAGACATTGCATCTTTAACCTTTATTCCAGTCACTGTCTTCATCAAAGAATGACATTTAAAAGAAAACTTGAAAAATCACTCAGTTGAAATTTATCTATAAATGTTGATTTCAACCTTTTAGGCATAGCTTTCTGTTTTCAGATTGATGATCTTACCTTGTGAAGCCTCATCTTTTCACTTGGTAAACTGTTGTTTTACCCTTCCAAGTAACTGAGATGGATTTAATAATAAGAAATCAAAGAAATTTATTTTTGTAGAGTTGATTTAACTTTAGAATTGAAAAGCTCTTGTAAATAATTCAGCAATGTATATATATATTCAAGATTATGAATACTTATGGATGAAAACAAATCCTAAAGACACAGAGGGTGTTCACACATTTTTAGAACAATTTCAGGGCTACCTAATTAATGTTTAAAATGTAAAAAATATTTTTCTAAACATTTGATATGATAACATTTGTTCTGGACTACTACTATTGCATCATGATTTCAAGATAGAAAGGTTTTATGTAAAATTTCCATTCCTCTTCCACAAATCCATGAATCATGGTGGGTTTGTGCTTAGAAAGAGCTCTTTCCGAGAGACCAAAGGCACAACTGAAATTTTGTGGCACATTTTGCCACAAATAACATTATAGGTACAAATTTCAGGGGACTTCACAGGAATACATTGAAAAGGTAATATATATTCAATACCTATACCTGACAAGACAGAAGTGAAAATTAGACACAGAGTTTCTGAAAAAATTACCCAAAAATTGGTGAATTGGATTTTCTTGAAGCTTTTTACATTCACAAAGATTTATCTTGTTTCATTACTAACTTTCCTTCCAATCCAATCCTTCATTTTATTAACTTTTTCAGTTTTTTTTTTTTTTTTTTTTGTTACTATTTTTGTCAACAGATGGCAATACAGTGAGTATGGCTTTCCCTTCGTAGCAGATTTTTTTTGCTTCTGATGAAGAGGGGCCTGTACCTTTTTGCCTTCAAAATTGATAGAGCCTAGACTAAAGTCTACACTAAACACAAAGTTGTTGCTTTGTTAATTTTATCTGTTTCAGTCTTCATTTCTTTTCAAAATGCAATGGTACTTTTCGAAGTATGACTTGTTGCATTGTCTTGGTGAAATTTCACTCTTTGAAAGTGATTGGGACAAAGAAATACCATTTCTTCTGTAAATGTAAGATACAAAAACTTTCTTTTGATAGGATGTTGAGCTTTCTTTTGATAGAATGAGATCAACTTTTTTTCACTCTTCTTATTTTTAATTAGAGAATTCTGCGGCCAATTCTAAACCCCTTACACAAACTTCTTTTGCATTGAGAGAATTAGGTTCGTCCAAAGCCTATGCTCCAGGGTTTCCATTTAGGATATAATATATTTTTCCATTTATCTCCTAAATAGTTATCCTACAGGATTCTATAAATTGCTCAGCATTGGGCCAAATGCCTCAGCTAAGGCTGGTGAACATTATATTTTAGCTTTTTTAAGTTTTAAATTTTGATTTATTGTTTTATTTATTGTTGCTATGGGTGTATTTAAAGACTTTGCAATTGATTTCTAAACCGTTGGATTTTCTTTTTATAAACAACTTAACTTTAGAAACTGTACGTACTTTTATCAGGTATTCATTTGAAGCAGAAGTAAGAATTGATGGTTTTTACTTTTTCTGATTAATAATTTGCGTATTTTGCACTTAGAAATTTTAATATCTTTCATTTCACAATTTTAATTATGGAATAGGAATAATTTTCTTCGAAAAGCATAAGAACATATACTTTAATCCACAGCTTGTTTACATGTGACATTTTGAAAGAAGAAGAATTTAAAAGTAGCAAATGTCATTTCTCATTTCGAATAATAATCTGTTGCCAGAAATTTCTATTCCAAAAATTTGTCTTTTTTTTTAATTCTTTACCAAAATCATTCTATTAATGCATACACACCCTCTGTAATAACATCACCCATTAACACTACTGTTATTCAAGATTTTTTCCCCTTTTTTATAAACAATTTTGTTTTATATTGATGATATGTGACAGTAATTTTGCAATTTTTTTTTTTTTTTTTTGTCATTTCTTAATAAGAATACTTTTTAAAGATAGACTCAGTTAGTCACAAGTCTACTGTACTTACTAAAAGCCAAAAAGAAAAGTACAACATATTACCTCAGCAACCATTTCTGCAGCATTGCCTCTAGGACTACGAATTATAGGTACAACACCTGAAAAATGTAGTTTTAATTACTATATATAAATCACTTCTAAAATTTCATCTTATTTTTTAAACTTTAACCGTAAATAAATACACAAATTATTGTTAGAATTTCATCTGGGAAACATTTCAGATATGTTATCATAAATATATAAATAAAATAAATTACAAAATATGCAAAAATTCATAAACAGGACAAAAAGGGAAAACTTTGCAACGTTTTTTAAAATTTGGATAAACTATATAACAGGTCTAGATTTTTTTGTTTAACTTTTATTGAAAAAATATAATAAATTATTAAATTCATAGAACTGTTAAGTCTAAATTTGTTTTGGACATCAATACAAATAAATTCTTGGGCCTCATACAAACATAATAATTATTATTATTATTTTTTTACAAATGGCGGGCATTTGCCTATAACGGCCACTACTAAGGGCAGAAGCGGTGACCATTTTATTGTGCAAGCACCTAATAGGCAGCCACTGTTACCTCCTATGAAGGGACAGACAATTTTACATCCATGCCTTCTCCGAGATTCGAACCCGGATTCGGGCCCTTTGGTATCACAGTCAGGTTACCCTAACCACTATACGGTTTGGACGGCTCATACATACATAATAAGGAAGGAATTATGAAACTATTTCAATGATCTTTATTTCTGTTGTGTTTCTTTAAAAAGTTGTGTAATCTAACTTTTTTTTTTTTTTTTTTTACAAAAATACATTTTCATTATAAGAAACTTTCCATTATTTCTCTTACAAACTGCAATTGTGTTTCTTCTATAAAAGTTGCATGAAAAGAATAGCAAAAATTATCAAAATAAGCAAATAAAATTATTTTCTGATCAGAATAGCAGTTTAACCACTTAACTAAAACTTTATTTTTCACTTTCCATGCAAAAATTATCCCTTTTTTTTTTTTTAAAGTATGTACTTTCAATTAGTGCAATGAGATACAAAAGATTTAACAAATATTTTTCCAAAATTTCATATTTTTTAATATTTTATGACACACGATAAGTGCTAAATAATTATCCCAAGTTAATTCATGTTTTAGTTAGAATGAACATAAAAAATAATTTAAAAATATCTTTGAATTTTAATACAGTCGATTCCGGTTAATTGGACCACATCGGGAAGTGATCATTTTGGTCCTAATAACTGGCTGGTCCAATGACATGAACATGTTCTATGTTGTAAGACGGGACGTGCTATATGTAGCAAACAGTAAATGTACATGTAAATCATGTACTAAAATGTAATTATTATCTTTATTGTGCGGTATACATTGCAGCGCCAGCGCCAAACAGGCGATACGGACTTAAAAACTGTACAGAAAAGCGCCAATTGGCGAAACAGTAAACCCGTTTGGCAAACCTACAGGCTGACGGGGAGAGAAGAATTTTCCCCGGCAGTCAAGTGAACTACTTCAACAAATGTGTGCATCTCTGCTTCGCCGAGATATGTGAACTTGTGTACTTGCATCTGTACTGTGCTCTGAATTTCTTAAGCCGTTATAATGTACCCGGCAACTGTTACTTTTCCTTATTAAATTTGATTATTAATTGTAACATGTCTATCTTAACTAAGATTTCGGCTTTCCTAGTTAATGTTAGGGATATTTTCGTATGCACGTGTTACTCACACGTACATCATTGGTGACCCTGTCCCTCGCTCCTTCTGTTTCGATCCCTAATGACTATCTGTCTCAATCTTTGTTAAAAAACTAAAAATATGCCTTATTTTGATGCCAATGCTCTTCCTTATGACTGATAAAGGCTCCACCCTATTTATTTCCTCCTCATTTTATCGTACGGATTACACGTGGTTTATCACACTTAAGGAGGATTTACAGGTATGTGGTCAAATTTTTTTAATTATCTGTGATTGGTCTTAATTATGTTTTTGTGATATGTTTTGCTCTAAAATTATAGTTTTAATTTAATTATTGATTGTTTAAAATTGATCTTTGAGGTAATATTTGTGCTCACACTTTTATTGAGATATTGAATGTCTTCGTTATTTTATTCTAAATTGATACTGTTTTGATAAGGTATAGTGCAAAACATTAAGTTTACGATTTACGATATATTTATAATTGGCAACCATGCCAGGATCGGAAGGCCAAACCAACGAGGAATCGAATATGGCGGTTCAGGAGCCACAAATCTCACACGTGGCAGTTAAAATTCCCCCTTTATGGAAAAAAATGTTAAACTTTGGTTTATTCAAGTTGAAAGTAACTTTGCTTTAGCGAAGATTAGTAGCGATAGTACAAAATACAACCACGTGGTTTCTTCGATAGACCCTGAAACTCTTTCCGCAGTATCAGATATTTTATTTAATCCCCCAGCGACGGCTAAATATGATGCCCTTAAAGCTAGGTTAATAGTAGAATTCTCAGATTCGGAAAGCGAGCAAATACGCAGACTTATTTCTGAATTGCATTTAGGGGACGACAAACCATCTCACTTATTGAGAAAAATGAGAGAATTAGGTGGAAACTGTATAACTGACGAATTTTTAAAATCATTATGGCTGCAAAGGTTACCTTCCGAGGTGCATGCCATTTTATCAATAAGTTTGGAATCCTTAGACAATTTAGCAAAAATGGCTGATAAGATAGCTGAAGTGCGCACGCCAACGAACAACAGCGTGTTCGCGGTCCAGGCAGCTTCGGCGAGTTCCCCCAGAAACCCTAACGATTCTGGTGCCCCCCTCGAGGAGCTTAAGGCCTTAAGGAGTGAAATCTCTGCCCTAAGTAAACAAGTCGAGCGACTCTCCCGCGGTAAAAACGAGGAATAATTTCCCCCGGGATCAACATAACAAAGCACGTAGTTTTTCGCGTGGGCATTCCCGAGAGCGTGTGAACAATTATTGTTATTTTCATTCGCGATTCGGTAATAATGCACGAAAATGTCGAGCACCTTGTTCCTTTTCTCAGAACACTACGGCCCAGGAAAACTAGTAGTAGCGGCTGTCGATCGAAATTCATCGGCAGTCGCGCATTCATGTCGTTTACATGTTTACGATAACAGATTAAATTTAAACTTTTTGATTGATTCGGGCTCGGATGTTTCACAACCGACTTCTAAGTTTAAAAATGCATCCTGATTCGCTTCAATTATTTGCCGCGAATAATTCCAGAATTTCTACGTATGGAACAAAATTGTTAACTGTGAGTTTAGGACTTAGACGAAACTTTTCTTGGAAGTTTTTAATCACCGATGTACCAGTGCCTATAATAGGAGCCGACTTTTTAAGGCATTTTGATCTTTTAATCGATTTAAAACGAGGTAGGCTTATCGATAATACTACGAAATTAACTCGTATTGGTTCTCTTTCCGATTCTAAAAATTATTTTTCGGTAAAGTTAATATCTGGTGATTCACCATATCACAGAATCTTGAAAGACTTTCCGGAAAGTACTGAAGTTAAAATCCGATTCGGGTGTAGAGTAAAACAAGCATAGTACGGTTCATTACATCGAAACAAACGGTCCTCCTGTGCACAGTAAACCGCGTAGGTTAAGCCCTAAGTTATACGAAGCAGTAAAAAAAGAATTTCAATTTATGATAGATCAAGGTATTTGTAGACCATCAAAATCAGCATGGTCATCACCTCTTCATGTAGTTTCTAAAAGTTCGGGCGACATACGGCCAGTAGGAGACTACCGAAAACTAAACGCGTGCACCGAACCCGACAGATACCCTATCCCGCATTTACAAGACTTTAATAATACGCTTAGCGGAAAGACAATTTTTTCAAAAATTGATATCGTTCGGGCATATCATCATATACCAGTCCATCCAGATCATATACCGAAAACTGCAGTTTGCACCCCATTTGGTCTTTTCGAATTTCCGTTTTTAAATTTCGGACTGTGCGGAGCAGCTCAAACCTTTCAAAGGTTTATGAACGAAATTCTTGGAGATCTAAAATTCGCCTACGTCTACTTAGATGATATTTTGATATTTAGTGATACGGAAGATGAGCATAAATCTCACCTACGTACTGTTTTTGAAAGATTAACTTCATATGGATTGACAATTAACGCTTCGAAATGTGTTTTCGGCGTTCCGGAAATATCTTTTTTAGGCCATATAATCAATAAAGATGGTACCAAGCCTCTGACGAACAAAGTGGAACCGATACTTAACTACCCACTTCCTAAAACGGTAAAAGATTTGCAGAGATTTTTAGGATTTTTAAATTTTTACCGTCGATTTTTACCCAACGTAGCCCAGAATCAAATACATTTAACTTCGTATTTAAAAGGGGCTAAGAAAAATGATAAGACAATCCTGAATTTGTCTGAGGAAGCGCGGAGTGAATTTCAAAAGTGCAAACAGCTAATCGCTAATGCTGTTCTTTTGGCACACCCGAAGAAAGATGCCCAGTTGGTTTTACAGGTTGATGCGTCAGACTTCGCGATCGGTGGAACGCTATCACAAATAGTTGATAGAAATTTACAGCCTCTCGCATTTTTCTCACGAAAGCTTTCGCAGGCGGAAAGGAACTATAGTGCGTATGATCGAGAGCTATTGGCAGCTTATGCTGCTATTAGGCATTTTAAGCATATGTTGGAAGCACGGAACTTTTCTTTAATCACCGATCACAAACCGCTCACGTATGCATTCCGACAGCGTTTGGATAAGTGTTCACCTCATCAGTCGGCAGGCTAGGCAGTTAGACTTATCTCACAATTCACCACTGAAATTCGCCATATAAAAGGTTCGGAGAATATCGCTGCCGACGTACTTTCGCGTATAGAAGCAATAAGCATGCCTAACCCTATCGACTATGAGGAAATCGCTAAAATGCAAGAAATCGACCCAGAATTACAAACATTGCTTAAAGAGTCAAAAGTTCTACATCTCAAAAAAGTTACCTTACCGAATTGTAGCTTACCGATATATTGCGATGTGTCAACAGGTAACGCCCGCCCCTTACATTCCTCCGGCATTCCGTGAGAAAGTTTTTGCCACCTTGCACAATTTGTCTCACCCCGGCATTCGCGCATCAACAAAGTTAGTATGTTCACGGTTTGTTTGGTCTTCCATCCGCAAAGATTGCGCGAAATGGGCACGGCAGTGCATTCCGTGCCAGAAAGCAAAAGTAAGCAGGCATACTAGAACCCCGTTAATGAAGTTTCCAGACCAATCACAGAGGTTTGATCACGTCCACCTTGACCTTGTTGGTCCCCTACCTCCTTCTCAAAATAATTATTACTGTCTAACTATGATAGATAGATTTACTAGATGGCCCGAAGCAGTACCCATACCAGACATAACAGCACGCACAGTAGCACAGGCTTTCTATGACCACTGGATTACTCGATTTGGTTGTCCGACTGTTATTACTACCGACCAAGGGCGACAGTTTGAAAGCGGCTTATTTCGAGCCCTTTCCCAATTATTGGGAATCAAGAGGATCAGGACGTCTCCGTACCACCCACAGGCGAATGGACTGATCGAGGAATTCCACCGTCCTTTGAAAGCTGCCTTAAAAGCGCACGATACCAGTGACTGGGTGGCTGCCCTTCCAACGCTGCTGATGGGTTTCCGCGCCGCTCTCAAAGAGGACATAGGAGCAACCACTTCTGAACTGGTGTATGGAAAGACTATCCGTCTCCCAGGAGAATTTTTCAATCCGACACCTCCGGATGCGTTCCCCCAAACAGTTTGTGGAGGATTTAAAATCTCACTTTGCCAGTGTCCGCCCGACCACGACTTCTAGCCACGGCCAGCGAACATGTTTCATTCATCCACGCCTTCACAAGTCCACATATGTGTTTGTTCGACACGACGGAGTTAGAAAACCACTTCAAACTCCTTATGATGGACCATTTAAGTGCTAGAAAGAAAGACGAGATAAAACGTTTGATCTCGAAATAAAAGGGACTAAGCAAACGATCTCCATAGATAGACTGAAACCCGCTTTTGTAACCATGGACTCTTCTCAAGTTGCTTCCAAGAGTGTGAAAAAAACTTCGGACATTTGTATCACCCGTTCTGGACGATTAATCCGACCCCCGCATCGGTATGTCACATTTCGTTGACACTGCGGAGGGAGTATGCAGCGGCAGCGCCAAACAGGCGATACAGACTTAAAAACTGTACAGAAAAGCGCCAATTGGCGAAACAGTAAACCCGTTTGGCAAACCTACAGGCTGACGGGGAGAGAAGAATTTTCCCCGGCAGTCAAGGGGAACTACTTCAACAAATATGTGCGTCTCTGTTTCGCCGAGATATGTGAACTTGTGTACTCGCATCTGTACTGTGCTCTGAATTTCTTAAGCCGTTATAATGTACCCGGCAACTGTTACTTTTCCTTATTAAATTTGATTATTAATTGTAACATGTCTATCTTAACTAAGATTTCGGCTTTCTTAGTTAATGTTAGGGATATTTTCGTATGCACGTGTTACTCACACGTACATCAACATGTATGGTGAACATACATGTACAAACAAGAACTACAAGTCGAAAGTTTTTATTAAGAAAATCAATTTAGAAGCAAATTCTAAGAAAAGATCTCCACGATACTCAGCATGCGAAGCACAATATAAACAAGTTTTCACCAAGTTCCAGTCAACATTTCAAGAACTTATCCAAAGTGATGTGACGCGTTCTCTTGACAGATTGCATGTGAATGAAATCGCCACAAACATCTAACACAGTAATGGGACTGTCTTCATTTTCTTCCTGCATGAAATACTGACGCAAAGTTTCAATGCATTTCCTTGCATCCTGTATTGTCACTTGCACCAACTTATTAGCGGCATCATCATCACTTACTTGGTCTTCAGATGCAGTTGTGTGTTTTGCTATAACTCAAGCAACGATTGCTGCGTCGTAATCTCCATTTTCATCGTAGCATTGAAGCTCTTTGTCGATGGATAAAAATTGTTTGCAATTTTTTACCTGTGGAAGTTCCACATGTCCATCATCATTTTCACTTTCAATGAGCATGTCCACATCCATCTCCAAAACCAAGTGCTTAAAGCCACAGTGAGAAAAACAGTTCTGAATTGTCTCATTGCTCACTTTTCGTCTGCTGTCGGCCACAAATGTAACTGCTTGTAAGATGGTGACCTTTACACTGACTTCGCTGGATTTTGACACCGAGGTCAGCAAACTTTCTTCAATTGCTTCAAGGATGTAATTAACTAACCTTTCAAGATAAAGGGTCTTAAAATGATTTTGATGATATCCATGTCCACTGGCTGGAACAAAGCTGGGAGATAGAAATTCCAGTTGAATGTTTTTTAAGCAATCTAAATGAGGATGGGCTGCACAATTGTCAAGAAGAAGCAGCACTTTTCTCGACCGGCATTGTAACTCTCTGTCCCAATCCTTCAGGCATTCTTTAATAAGTTCAGATGTCATCCACGCATTTCTGTTCGCACGAATACACAACCTGGTAAACTGTCCATCCTAAGTCCTTTAAAAGCAGTGACGGCTTAGGGCTTTTTCCTATAACCAACACAACAGCTTCCTCTTGTCCGTTCCTGACATGTTTAAGCAGCACAAGACAGTTTCGTGATCCATCGGTTTTTTGGAGTCAGAGAGTGCAACATGTTTGTAACTTAATGAGCCGTTCAGTATAGCACGATAATACAGCCTGGTTTCATCAGCACTGTAGATGTCATCTGCTGAAAAATTTTCAAGAAGCTTGGGCAGTTTTCTTGGTTTCCATTCTTCAGCATCTGCATTATCAGCACTTTCTTTCTCGGCATGTGCTCTTTTGAATTTGATGTCATATCTAGATTTCCATCGAGACAACCAACCGTCCATAGCTTTAAAATCATTGTGGCCCAGCTTTTTAGCGAGTTCTTCTGCTTCGCATTTTAACATTATTCGCACAGCTCATCCAGTAACAATGACAAACCATTCATTAAGGGCCTCATCGACATCTGGATCCTTTACTTCATACTTTCATTTTTTTGGAATTTCATATTTTTCGTCCTTCACATTGTGCCCATTCATTTTGCAGCTCATTCTCTTGTTTTATCAAGCGCGAAATTGTAGTCTTTGCCAATCTGGTAATTTCCACCAACCGATACCGACCAGTGTTTCGTGGTTGTTGTTTGATCTTATCCAGGAAACCAATTTTTTTGAGCTAATGTTAAGTCCTGTCATGGCATTTTGGCAGGGAAGACAAGACACATGCACAGTTCACTGACTAAAAGTGGTCTGAAGAAACCCTGGTGTTTCGGGGTCAAGATGTTGAGGTCAAGAGAGAGATAAAATGCTCTCCAATCAAATCATCCCAAAAGAGTGGTGAAATGATAGCTTTCTCGTGTAAACTGTAATCATGATTGACAGGCGGGAGAGCTGGACACTCTATCGTTTATTTCTCCAAAAATCGGAGACGCAGTGGGACCAATAACCTCGCTGGCGGCTACTGGTGGCTCTGTTTTAAGAAAGGTAAAAAAAAATGGTGAGCATGTTCACCTCCCACTGGTTTTGTTCTTGTCATACACTTTAAGGAATTCCTGACCTTTGATAAAGCATTCTCATGGGGAGCGCAGCTACAGATCCTCCCATATGTCGCGGACTACTTGTACATTCGCTGCAAGCAGCCGACTTGTGGCTTCTGTTTCTTATTTGCTTTTATGTTTCTTGGTCCGATTAAATGGAATTTTGATCCAAATAAGCGAATAATATTTGGTTTATGTACAAATGATTTGTTTTGGTTCTTTAGGATTCGGTCCAAAAAAGCGGCTGGTCTGATTATCCGGTGGTCCAATTAACCGGATTCAACTGTAATCATAAATTAAATATCTATCTGTATACAGAAAATGTAAAAGATATGATTGAGAAGATATAGAATGTGAAAAATACACAACAATTTTAGTTTGAATTAGAAACAGTGCAGTAGACCTTGAAGCATGGCACAACAAACAAAGGCACATTACAATCTGGGCAAAAATGGAGTGTTTCTACAAGAATTTTGAACAAAGCCCTGAAAGAATGAATTTACAAGTTCTAATTCATATACCTTCTGCTAAATTGCAAAACTGGCTTAATTACTAACCTAACACACTTGACACAGAAAATAGCCTACAGGCACCAGGATGCTGAGTGGAAAGAAGCATGGCATAAAACTCACATATTCTCATAACAAAATGTCGTCAAGGTCACTAGCATGACCGCAAAACCACATCCAGAGTTTGTTAGGAATAAATAAGTCTTTTATGAAGCACGAATCATGAGTTAACTCGTGATAATTATTTTCCACAAATTTTTGACATTTAAGTTAAGTCAACTAGATAAGTGGTTAATGGGTAATTCAGCCCTAAATGCTCTCTTCTGATAAGTTGGGATGCCATCCGAGTATTAAGATCAGGGTTAAAGCACCGGTCAAAGATGTTATGTATTAAAGATGTTATGTATGTAATCACATTAAACAACACCTACCTAGTATTTCCAGCCCTCCCCAACCTTAGTTTGCTAATTCAATTTACACATACTTCTATACACACTCCTGAAACTGCCATATGATAAATATTCGTTTCCTTAAATTTCACTGACTAGCAACTTGATGCAGCAATTTTTCCCCCTCTCAGAGTAGAAATTTAAGAAGATTTAAATGTGCAAGCAATGTTTCTATAAAGCATAAAACAGGGGTCTGTCCAGTGTATCATGAACCATGAATCACAAGTTAACTCGTTAAATTTGTTTGACAACCGAGTTATCTCAGAATAATTAGTAAAGTGGTGAAAGGTCAGTAAAAAAACTCTTCACATATAAGTGTATTCCCAAACAAAGCGATTATTCCCTAGTGCAAAATTCTATTGATTGAGCTTACTTATTTTCTGAAAAGTATCAATAAAATTTAGGAGGAAATTAAAGTTTATGCCCATTAAAACCTTGAAAAAATGTTATAAGAAATAAAACATTGAAGAGGATCACATAACTTACCTAATGTAACAAATACAGAAAATAGGCTATCGACAATATTATCTATGATCTGTTCTATTTCTGTGTCTTTAACATCACCTCTATTTACAGCTGAAAAAATTAAATACATACATAAATATAACAATTGAAAAAAATCTATAGTAGCTTTAACATCAGTTTATAAAGTAATAAAATTTGTCTCTCTTTTTACGGAGAAAGAACCTCCTGGAAATCTATACTATTAAAATCTGTGCGCATCTGTCTGTTTGTTTGTGGCATTATAGCCTCCAGAATGGCGGGGAGTTGAACTTTGAGAGAGGTACTCTCCCGGATTCCAAAACTCATGGGAAGCCATTTCGACCATTCTCATCTTCAAATGACTTTAATTAGATATTAATTAAAAACTTTGAAAATGCTAATTTTTGCCCTTATTTTTCCAAGTGATAACACTCTCGCATGCTGGAGATGAAAATCTGCTTTATTTTGAGAAGTGTTGCCAGTGCTTGCTTTCAAATTGCAGAGTTTCTTAATAAAAAAAAAATTTAATAAAAATAACATTGCCAAACAAATATATTATTTCTCATTTCAAAAATTCATGGGAAGACATTTCGACTGCTCCCATCTTTGAACGTATTTAATCAGCCGAGATATTTATTAAAAACTCTAAAAATGCTAATTTTCACACTTATTTGGCAACAGTGTTGCGCTCTAGAGATAAAAATTGCCTATTTCTAAAAGTGTTGCCACTGCTCGCTTTCAAATCATAGACTTTGTTAATAAAAAAATTGAAAGTTTTACAAAATATGAAATAAAAATAACATTGCCAAACTTGAAACATATTATTATATAAGGTCATATTCTGACTTTGAAGAAAGAACACAATTGCATGTGACGTCATTCTATGTCAAAAATTTTTCATTAATGTCAGCATTTTACATAAACAGCTGCTGCTGGCAACTTTTTTGTTTCAAGTGATACAATATATTAATGCCACATTAATTCTTTTATCGATATTGAGAAGTTTTTATATTATATTATATTTAAATTATGACATCATACATATTAACCTGAAGTGTCAAAAGTTTTTATTTCCTGATTTGGAAATAAAAAAGTACCGTAATTTCCAGAAGAAACGCCGCTGTGTTTACGCGTTTAAAACTTAAATTTTCAGTGGGTGTGGCGTTTAGGTGCACTAAAAATAAAATATTTCCTATGATGGACATTGCACATAGTTTGGATGGCCTAGTCATTGTTCATAGACTGGTGCTGTTTCCACATAAAAGACCACTCAGTTGCTTTTTGCGAAAGTTATTTTGTTTACATTCTTTCCCTTGAACAGACCTACATGCCTTATTCACCCTAAATGAGATCTCAGAACAATAACATTCTTCCCCCTTTCAAATCAACATTCTCATCAGTTTGAATAGTCTCTCTCCTCTGCCATTCGATGAATCTTCCAGGATCCATCCTCTCCCACCCCTGCCTTTTCTGCAATTTTTTCAAAGGCGGACGACTCCACCTGCCTCACAATAACGAACTCTGACATATTTCCCCTTCAGCAAGAATCGATTTTTCTTGGTATTCTGCCAGATACAGATCCCATCAGTTTGGGTACAAGTACTTGTTGGATAGTTTTTAAGTAACAAGGGAGCAGAAATTTTTTGAAAATGTCACCTAAACGGCACAGAAGCTATACTGCTGGTTTTAAGCTTAATGTAATTTCATGTGCTGAACAAATTGGAAATAGAGCAGAAACTCAAGAGTTTGAAGTGGACGAGAGATGTATTTGACATTGGAGAACTGAAAAAGAACTTCTTAAATATATGCCACAACAGAAATGAGCCAAAAGAAGTAGTACTATAAGGTGGCCGAATCTAGGGGACGACCGTGCAAACTGGATAAAGGAGCAATGAGGAAAGGGAATAGCAATTTCAACTGTAAAAATTCGCTTACAAGCAAAATTTATAGCAAAACAAATGAACCTAAATGATTTCAGGGCCTTGCTGGTGTAGCAGATTTTTTGAAAAGAAAAAATATTTCTGTGCGTACTAGAACAACAGTCGGGCAACAATTACCAATGGACTGGCAGGATAAAAAGGCATCTTTTCTAAAATATGTGACAGATATTATTGACAAAAAAAAAAAAAAAAAAAAAAAAAAAATCTTCGGTCACAGATAATAAATATGGATGAAACACCATTAGCTTTCGACTCTCCTGCAAACAGAACTGTTGATGAAACTGGTGCAAAAACTGTATCTGTGCTTACAATGGGGCATGAAAGAATGTCATTTACATGTGTGTTAGCTTGTGCCGCAAATGGTGACAAGCTAAAGCCGATGATCATTTTTAAACGAAAGACTATTCTGAAGGGAGATTTTCCTAATGGCGTAATTATTTGTGCAAACGAGAACGACTGGATGTGCGAAACAATCATGCATGAGTGGCTACAAAAAATTTGGCAGTGTCGTATGGGATCTTTTTTCCAACCAAAAGGGTTATTGATAATGGATTCCATGCGTGCTCATTTACTTGAGTCATTGAAAACCAGATGTCAAAAATTGTCTATGACTGTAGCAATAATTCCTGGTGGTTTGACAAAAATCTTACAACCATTAGATTTGTCAGGTAATAAATCCTTCAAAGCTGAAGTCCGAAAGCGGTGGGAGTGTTGGATGAGTGAAGGATTGCATACGTATACCAAAAGCAGTAAAATGCATAGAGCATCTTATTAAGAAGTTGCAAAGTGGGTAGGAATTGCATGGAAATAGGTAAAAACATTGTCAATAATAGCAGGGTTCAAAGAAGCTGAAATTATATACTTAGATAAACAGACTGTAAACCAAGAGGATGAATGTGACGATCTGGAAGACTTGGAATTAGATCAGGATTTACTAAATCTTTTTAATTCAGATAATGAAGAATCAGATTTTGATGGCTTCATGTGATGTATAGTTTATTGTAATTCCTTTTGTAAGTAAAATTTAAAATTTCCTTTTGTCATCCAAACTTAATATTTCGTTGTTGCAACATTTTTTATATGTACATATAAGTATATATGTGAACGTAAATATATTTTCTACAGTTCTTACCTTTACTTTATTTTTGAGTTATGGTTTCATTTCATGCATTTTATTTAACTGATATGTCATAGGACTTAGGTTGAGATTTTGCATCTATACAGCTCACGACGACGTCACGCACAATTTAATCTATTGCGGTGTTTCTGTGTAATTTTAATTTTTTCCCCGCCATTTTTCTTGAGTGCAGCGTTTATGCTGATGCAACCTTTCTTCCGGAAATTACGGTATTTACGAATTAGTTGTTGCTTGGAAAGAATGAACTGCTTTCATTCATACTGAAATGTTTCTACACATTTGCTTTTCAGGAGTACATAGAACTTATAAATGTTGCTTTGGCTGAGGCCTGCTAGTACAATTTATAAAATTCAAGCTCAATAATGCAAACCTTGAGCAAGTTTCATTGATGTTCAATATGTTCTCACTGATTCCTCAATTCAAATGTATACACTTTTCTTGCACATAAATAAAATTCAATTGTGCATAATCTGTAACTTCCATTATAATAGGAAAATTATAATAAAGATAGTGTCAGGTCTCAAATAAAATTACTGGTGATAAATGCTTTTTATATGTCGAGGAAAAATTTAGAATACTTTGTTAAAAAAATCTGAAAGCTTTCAGATTTTATATTATGCTCAAAGGGACGTTTTTTAACATTTTGTGCGTTACCCTTACTTATTAAATATCATGTTCTTTGCACTTAAACTATAAAAATCAGTTCAACAGCACTACCACAAAATATTAAAAGATCATATCTTTAGAATTTCCGATACACAGTCTCATGTGCTGGAGACAAAATGCTTTTTTCATAGTGATGCCATTACTCGCTTTGAAATCGTTGAGTTTGCTAATGAAAAATTTTTTAATGCTTGATAAAATATGAAACAGGTAATAAAACAAATTCCAAATTTGGGCTTCCAGATGCCCATATTCGAATGAAGGACTACATTATTCAAAATTTGATGTCTCTAGGTACTGCTGTTTTTCACACTGCAAGAAACCTACACACATTCATGCAGATTCTTCATTATTTAATTTCTCTACATATAATGTAGGTGGCAACAATATGAAAAGTGAACCGATATTTATAATGAACCAACGCAAAATGCTAAAATGAAATTAATAGCCCTTCTGGGCAAATTTTCCCTTTGGGCTAAAAATTTATAACTGTGTACTGAGGGAAGGAATAGTGGTATAACATGAAATTATGGAGTATAATATATGAAATTGTCAAAATAAATAAAAATATCTGCCACCATATTATAATAAAGAAAAATTTTAAAATTTGTGATCCCTGACATCTCATATTCAATTTCTCTTGAAAGGTTGGTTAAATAAATAAAAGTAACTCAAGGTTGATTTTTCCCCCTTAAATAACATTCTATGATACTTTGTGATTTGTGAATTTATAATTTTCTTACACTTGTTATGATGAAAGAATTTTCACACAGAAAGTTTAAAATACATTATTAATATTTTTATGAAGTTTTATTACTTTAAAATCATAATCTGGTAATCATATGAAAAATTCATTAATGTATAAATATTTTTCCTTTTAAATTTATGCAAGTAATACCATGAGTTGGCTGCACATGAATACTGAATAAACCATATTATGATGGATGCTAGTGTTAAAAGCATGAATTTTTTAAGATTCTGTGAATAAGATAGCCATATTGAGGAAATCTATACTGATCAATATTTTTCATGACAATCAACACAGAAATTTCATCCCTCAATTACCATCAGGAATATTAAACTGATATTTTATTTTTAGTTACATACACATGCAAGCATTTTACTCTTCAGTTTGTGCATGGTCTTTAGACATGATCTCTGATTTTAATACCAAATATATGGGCCAGTTTTTGTCACGTGGAGTAATACTTTTTGTACTTTATCTTTTTTTTATACTGAGTACAAAATTTTTCTGAATGAGTTAGGTTAGGAAAAACATATCAAAATTTAAATTTTGTAATTTCTACAAAACTGATTTCTTTAAATTTAAAAACACCAAAGCATAAATGTTGCCATCATTTATAACATTTTTGTATCTGGATATATATGTATACTTCTAATTGCAAAGGTTAGGTTACCAGGGTTAGGACTTTTGTAGATACAGCATATAGTGTGATATTTCTACAATGAGCAGCGAAGTCAAACTGATAAAACAATCACTATTAGATACACAAATTATTTACAGCATGTTAGGATTAAGTTTGAATAAAAATAAAAGATGAAAACATTCTTAGCTTTCAATATACAGTCCTTGTTAAGTCTACAGAACATTTGACATGTTCCCACAGCTGCTCAATTTCTTCAATAAACTAATCGGTGTTTAAGTCTCTGGTTACAATTTTCTGAATCACTTTAGTACAATCAGAATGATTTTCGAGGTGGTGAGAAATTGTGTGCAGGTGCCAAACCCTGTGAAAAGAATTGCAGAATTGTGGCCTGTTTCATTGCCAGAAACTGCTTGACAAGAATAGAATTGCATGGCAATGTAGTTTTGCACAGCAGGAATCAGTTATTTGATTGAGTTTTGTAAACTGAATTTACTAAATTTTATTTAAAAATCTAATTTCCTTTAGAATTTTTTAAAAATAAATTCTGCTAAATGTTCTTTAGAAATCTATCTTAATAAAATATAGAATTCTCTATCTGTTTTTAGGAACAAATTCCTTGCAAATAATTAAAAAAAAAAAAAAAAAAAAAAAAAAAAAAAAACTCACAAATATGGTTTTTATTTGAGATTTCTGAAACCAAAGTTTTTTGGTTGTGGTAAACCTTCTCCAACTAAAGCAAATAATTGCTGTGCTGTATCAGAATCATAAGCAAATGTCAAGTTTTATCTCCAGTCACAAACTGCTTGGGGGGTTTATAAAAAAAAAATTAATTCCTGCTATTTGGATTAAATTACGATATGGAAAAATTCAATCCTTTTTCTATCCACAGTCAACAAGTGAAAGGTCAAAATAAAAATAATTTTTTGTTTTCAATTTCTTCCAAAATGATTTTGACAGCAATGTCTTTACTAATATTAAGTTGATCAGCAGTACTTACGTATTATCCCATCAGCTGTAAAAGAAAGCTATGGAACTTGGCTCTGCCAAAGTTGCACTAATCATTCCTTCAATAATTCTGAATGAACTGACTCCTCTTTTTTTAGTAAACAAACAAAATTTGCCCCGCTTTGTTTTGCATCTCGTAAAAAAATTTTCATTGATTTCTACCATTTTGTTACTACCTTTAGATTTTATTCCAAGATGCATTTACAATGCCATGGGTATAAACTTCCTGCAGGTAATTTTTAAAATCTATTATTGTTTTGCCAGACATATTCAGCTAACCACATCATGCCCATTAATACAGACTTTTTCCGTAGGAAGGATACTATAACTTTGAAATCAATCCACTGATTATGTTCCGTAGAATGCTATTTCCATATTTTAATACTTTTCTCAAAACAGAAGGAAAAATACAGCAATAACAGTTAAAAACAGAACATGGCTTACTGAGAATCAATGAGGTTTACATCAAATGAAGAAGCAGATATTATTAGTGTGTTATGTCTTGTTTATCCTAAATTGTCTCTAAATCCCACTGTTATTAAACAGATTTTGAATCGACAATTTGCCAAATATAGAATTTTCATTAAAACATTCTGAATAACTAACCACTGAAGAAAGAATTATTTAGTCTTCAATAATCTTCGAGATTCTGCATTAAGGCGGAGCGAGGTACCTTCGTAAATGTGGCAAGTACATATACCATTTATTTTCATTATAACATTAGCAAAATTTTTATAGATAGTATGTAGTAATCTGCTACAAGTTAATATGGGCTATTTGACATAGATGCCACACAAGAATGCACGTGTTTTCGTCACTTAAAACAACCAAGTTTTTTGTAGCAGATCTGTTAATAATTCGGCCCTCACCCCCTTACACATGAAACAAGGTTTCAAAGCCTTTTTAAGTTATGTTCTTTCAAAGTTATACTTTTCATTTTTGAGGGAAAATGGAAAGTATTTAACACTTTCTACAATATTTTATCAAAATGAAAATTTACAAGGAAACTTAGAATCCTAGTTAATATCGATTAAACAGTAATAACTATGCAAAGCTTTAGCATTAAGAATAATCCTGTACAAAAACATACAGGTTTAAATTCTAACTTTACAAAAACCAATCTGCACTTATTCCACTTACCAAATTTTTTTCAAGTGTTCAACTTGAAAACCAAAAAAATTCATCATCACATAATCCATTGAAGATGAAACTTATTAAGTTGGTCAAAATACTGAAAATATTTAAATCAAGTTTTTTTCCTCTCTAGTTCTTCAGCAACTGAGCTGAAAATCAACATTAAACATCGAGAGAACAATAAATGTCACAGTGGTTATCAATAAGCACAGTGGTTTCTATAGAACTATCATCAACTAGAAACAGTTTGAATGAATGTCATAAATCCTACTATTTGGTGACAGCTTCATCGCCGATGAGATAATACATAAATACCTTATCACTTATCATCCAGAGAGATAAGTGGCAATTTGTTAACAACCACAGAACCTTTTTAATTTTCTAATTTGTTCGAGACAGTAAAGGACAATCACTCTTTGGTTCATCATCAACAATTTTGTACCCATCATGAAATCATCCATAACTGACAAAAAACACCGACTGGATCATGTTAATGCTTGTAAATAACATTTCAGATATCTCTGGTGTAGTCGTCCCCATTTTACAGCAAAATTTTATTGCTTTGCTTACTTTTGCTATTCTAAATAATCAAGTGGTCTGCTTGAGAAATGGAAACTTAAGGGATTTTTAATTTTGAAATAAAGGACATTTGACATTTTTTCTTAATTAAAAAAAGAGAAAGAGAGAATTATTAATTAATTGTGTTATGCAACCCTAACTCTATAACACATTTACAGTCAATTTTTTTCTCTCTTTTAAGTATGACTGAAAAAGGTTGTTAATTTGGCCTAATCTTCAAGAGAACTATGAGTATATTATTTTCATTACTGTATAGCATATTTTCAAAATATATCTGAATAGTAAAATATCCATCTTTTCCATCAATAATAACACAAGCATTAAAACATTACTCCAAGTTGCACAACTTTCTTGTACTGATAGTCAGAATAACTCTGAAAGACAGTGTTGGATATATCTTGGTTACTGTATTTAATATTACAGCCTGTTACGATTTGGAATATATATATATAGCATAAAATATATAGGGGACATACCTATACTTAATAAAGTTACATGATTAAAGTTCTAATATGTGCTCTTATATGCATAAATAATAATTGAACATTTAAAAAAATAAAAAACTTCAAAGCAAAACACGTATAGTTTTAAAATTGTATTGAAGGAAAATAAATGTAGCAATAATTCCAATTAGTGTATTAAAATTTTTTCACCAGAGATCGTTTATCTGTTTATGTAAAATTCACCCTTTAAAAAAGTTTAAAAATATACTTTTTAATGGAAATTTGTTCTGTGTATTATAATGTTATTTAGCTCTATTTTAAAACAGTGTTCTTAATCTTACGCCACAATATTTTATAGTCATTCTTCATAAATTTATTTATAAACCTATGCTCTGTTGATGTTAGTTAAAAGAATTTTATAATTATTTCTGTCAACTGAGTAAAAACACTTCTTTTCTTACCAAAGTAGTTTAAAGAACTTCGATCATGGTGCCGTAATATGTACATATCATCTTCAATGGTTATAAAATTTAGATATTGGTCAAATACCTGAAAACAGATATTAAGAATAAACTGTAAAGTAGAACTTAATTTTTAATTAGAATAAAGTAGAACATAATAGAACTTAATTTTTTAAAACTTAAATTATTTTATAGAAAAAAGTTAAGAAATCATATAAAAAACAGAGGTTAAGCTATTCAAACACTTATTTTATACAAACAAAATAAATGAAACTAACTGAATTTATTGAGGATACACATCCAGCTAGTATTGAAGCACTCGCCAGATCTTCAAGTTTGTGTCGGGAAATCGGTGAGATGAAATTCAAATAATAAATATCATATAGTTGATCCCGAAAATCCTGTATATAAATACATATAAAATAAGAGGAAAATATTTAAAATCAGTGTAATAAACTATATAAATCAGTAAATACCATGTATTGCCATGTATAAGCCAAGAATTTTTTTAACTTTTTCTAAAGCAAAACTATGGGTGTCTTCTCTAATCACAGAAAAAACATAGGCACTTTTCTGTTAAACAGGCAAAAGAGTAACGTGCTAAATACTATACTTTTCTTTTTTACATTTTTGTAAGTTTATGAAAAGATTAATTTAGATGAAATGAGTTATTTGTTTTATGAATATGAATTTTTTACTTTCAAAATTTATAAGTTGGTTTGTTGCATCATAGACAAAAGGAAAGATCTGTTGCCAAAATATGCACTCAGCTTTCTCCACTCATGAACTTGTTTTTCATTTACGGAGAAATGCTGAGCAGCCATACTGTTTTTAGAAATTTTAGCAAATACAACTGCCTGCCTTTTGAAATTTGCAGTATCAGAATTTCTCTTTCAGATAAAAAAAAAGGGTACAGAATATATGACAAGCAGAGATAGCACAGATAACGTACAAGACAATGAATTAATAGAATAAATATGCTAACTTTAGATAGAATTACTAGAGTTAATTAAACTATCATTATTGGCATCTGGCATTTTTACTTAACAATGATTTGATTGGAAAATATTCCATTTGTTTTACTTGCTTGACAACATTTTCAAGTACACAGCCCACCTACAAACGTAAAACAGAAATTAGTATAAGTAGCAATTTTCCCACCTGATGCAACAACAGTATTAAAGCCTTCGAACTGTATAATTAGAAGTTTTACGGTTCATTACAGAAAACTGCATTACAGCCTGTTCTTCTTTGACAAGCTGCTTGCAGAAACAGCAGTCGGCTTTCAAAATGTGTTAAGATACTGAATGGCATTCAGTGATTAAGACAAAATAACACGCCGAATAAATACTAATTCAGAAGTCAAACAACAAAAATCAGCGTTATACCTACAAAATTTTCACAGGACTAGTTTCGATGGTTTTACTGAACCATCATCTTCAGCTGCAAAACCGCAAATGAACAAGATAGGAAATAATGATTAGATAAGATAAGAAAGCCTGGACAAGAATAAGCAAGTGGCGCCATCTGTTGGCGAAACCCGAACTAAAACATAATTTCTCTAAAAGCCGAAGGCAAATTTGGATTGGAATTAGGATCGTTAACTAGAACAGAAAGATTTTTATGAATGTGAAATGCCTCTAGAAAATCCAGTTCTCCAATGGAAGATGTTTTTTGAATAATTTTGGCAGCAGAAAAATTGAAAGTGTGATTTTCGGACCAACAATGTTGAGCAACAGAAGACCTCTGTGTTTCCTTTTTTCTAACATATGCCTCATGTTCTTTGACGCGAAATTTTAAGGCTCTCTTAGTTTGGCCAATGTAAATTAAACCACACTGGCAAGGAATCCTATAAATACCCCAGGAATTCATATCCGGAATGGTTTTACTGAACCATCATCTTCAGCTGCAAAACTGCAAATGAACAAGATAGGAAATAATGATTAGATAAGATAAGAAAGCCTGGACAAGAATAAGCAAGTGGCGCCATCTGTTGGCGAAACCCGAACTAAAACATAATTTCTCTAAAAGCCGAAGGCAAATTTGGATTGGAATTAGGATCGTTAACTAGAACAGAAAGATTTTTATGAATGTGAAATGCCTCTAGAAAATCCAGTTCTCCAATGGAAGATGTTTTTTGAATAATTTTGGCAGCAGAAAAATTGAAAGTGTGATTTTCGGACCAACAATGTTGAGCAACAGAAGACCTCTGTGTTTCCTTTTTTCTAACATATGCCTCATGTTCTTTGACGCGAAATTTTAAGGTTCTCTTAGTTTGGCCAATGTAAATTAAACCACACTGGCAAGGAATCCTATAAATACCTCAGGAATTCATATCCGGAATGGGGTCCTTGAGTATAGAAGTTGGAATTTTATTGATGCGAGAAAAAACAACCCGAAAGTTAAATTTCTGCAAAATATGTGCAACTTTATAGCTAATTGATGGAAAGAAGGGAATGACAACAGAATTTTTATAATCTCCTAAAATAAGAGTGTGGCTTTTAGTGTGTTGAGATGAGAATTTTTTAACTGCTTGATTAATAATGTTGGGTGAAAAGCCCCTGTCAATAGCTATTGCTTTTAAATAATTTAGTTCTTCATCAAGGGCTAGTTTGGAGGAGCAAACTTGAAGAGCACGGAAAACATAGGAATAAAATGAAGCTAACTTTTGTTTAGTCGGATGACATGATTTAAAGTGTGGTGGAAGGCAAACCGATGAAGGTTTAAGGTAAACTGTAGTACTGAAGTTGGATGTGTTACGTGTGACCAGAATGTCGAGAAACGGAAGAGAATTGCAAGTCTCAAGTTCAAAAGTGAACTGAATAGCAGGAGATGAATTCTATTGATCCTGATCTTGTTTACAGTGGTTCTCCCTTGCAGTATAATGGTGTTTCAACTTATGTGGGTTGCATCTTTGATAACAAATTGAAATAGGCTAAGCATGTCGAATATGTCATCTCAAAAGGCAGGAAGAGACTCCCCATTCTTAAGAGACAAGCTGGTGCTAAATGGGGATGTGGCAGAGCTACCCTTAACACTACTTATAAGACTTATGTCCAGCCGGTTTTAATTTATTGCAATGAAGTGCTGGTCTCTGGCTCGGATAGAGTATTGGGTGTGCTTGATATTTTCCAAAACCAGGCTTTATGCTTTATCACTGGAGGTGTTAAAACTACTCCTGTACTTGCTATGCATTTGCTTTGTGACCTACAGCCAATGACTAACCTGGTTTGGAGGAATGCAGCTACCCTTTATAATAGACTTACTACACTCCCAAATATTTCTTTTTGGCATGAATACGATTGTAAGAGTACGTAATCTAAAGACGCAGGAGGGCTTCATAAAATACTCAGGATGTCAATATAATGCCATTAATGAAAAAGGCCTATGAACTGTTAACTCATATAAATCGATTGGAGTTTATGGTTCTCGATGTCAGATTGGACTTGCTTTTGAATGTGAGGAAAAACGACCTATGCACAACTGCTCTTCGTGAAATTCCTTTGGAAACCATTAATACTTGCTACCCTCCTGGTTAGTGGCTTCATATTTACACTGATGGTTCCCTTTTGAATTTTATCCAGGGTGCTGGTGCTGGCATCTTCTATGATCTGTTTTCCATTTACCTACATGTTGGCTCTCATACAACCTATTTTGACGGTGTGATGACCTTACGGATGAATAAGGCACCATAAGGAAAACGACACAAACATTTATTAAAAATTAACGTTCCAAGAATAATGATAAAAAAAAAATTAACGTTCACAGAATAATGATAAACTCGGAGCACTACCTCGCTCCTACAACATAGTTAATCTACCACCTGCCTCCTCTGAGGCTAACATGCAACTGTTGTCTCTCCCACTTACTGGACACTGCCAGGCAGCTGATTAGCTCACCGCTGCCAGATACATGACAGACGGTGAAGTCGAGGCCATCCGCTTTGCCATTCAACAGCTTTCTGCCAGTCTCTCTCATCTTGAAAAGGCTATAATTTTATTGGACTCAAGTTCTGTTCATCAGGCTTTAGCAAGTAACCTAGGAAAACAAAGTGCTTGTGTCCGGAGCTGCAGGGAGCTGTTGAGCAGCACTCAGACAAAGGTTGCTTTCCAGTGGGTGCCATCACATTGTGGCCTTTGGGGAAATGACATGGCAGACCTTTTAGAATAAAAAGGTATGGATATTCTCCAAAGGTCTCCCAGAGACCTATCTCTTCCTTCTGCTAAATTTGAAATTAATAGGATTTAGAAAAAATCCTTTTGTAATGCTGCCGTTAGTGCTACTGAAAATAAATTATAGAGTGTCCTATTAAAAGCCAACTGTGTCTACCTTGTGCTACTGCTGTGGCCAAGTTTTGATTATTGACTGAATATGACTGCCTTGATGCTCATTTGTTTCATTTTAATCTGACTGTCTCACCTTTATGTGCTTTGTGCGATTCTGGACAAGTAACGAATGCTGTTCGTCTCGACATGTACTCTGCACTTAAGAGTTCGGACTGTATTGTAAAGAAGTACTGGAAAGCTTGCTGCCTGATGCCCTGATGGTCAATGGCTAGGCATTTGATAAATAATATATAAAAATGATAATTGTTGGTGATTGTGAAGGACTTAAAATTATCTGCCATTTTAATATCCCCATGGAAAAAAAAAAATGCTTTCAATTAATTAATGTACATAATGTTTAGTTAGTGTGAATAAACTTAGTAATACACCACACATTAAAATAAAATAAAATAAAACACAAATGTTAAATGATTAAACACTGCTCGAATATTCATATAAAAATCCGTAAATATCTACAACAGATTAAAACAGCTCAGGTCAAATGACATTTAATAAGACAAAAATCTGCCAGTAAGCCAAAAAAAAAAAAAAAAAAAAAAAAAAAAAAAAAATGAGATGAAATAAAATTTAAACAAAATCTAAAAGCTTTCAGATTTTATATTATGCCCAAAGGGACATTTTTATTGTTTCACATGTTACCTTTATTTATTAAATATCATGTTCTTCACTTAAACCATATAAAATTCAATTCAACAACAATATCACAAAATATTAAAAAAAAGCATAGCTTTAGAATTTCCAATAGACAATCTCATGCCAAAGAGATAAAAATGTTTCCCCCCCCCCCCGTACAGCGTTGCACGCTTTGAATTCGTTAAATTTGTGAACCAAAAATGAGTTAAAGTTTTACAAAATATGAAACAAATAATAAAACAAATTAAAAATTTGGGCTTTCAAGTGCCCATGTTCTGGTGAAAAATTGCATTATTCGAAATCTGATGGTTCTAGGTACTTTTGATTTTTCACAATGCAAGAAACACACATACATTCATGCAGATTCTTCATTATTTAATTTCTTTAAATATAATATAGGCAATAAAATCTGGCGGCAAAAGCTTAAAAGTGATTTGCTGTATATAGTGGAATGCCACAAAAATGTCATTTTGAGACTAACAGCCCTTCTGGGCTACTGTCTCTTTGGGCTGATAAGAAAAATTATTTTAAAAGTCATTAGAGGTGGGAGAATGCAATTTGCCTATTTGAAGTTTCATTACCTCAATAAATTTCATTTATTAACTGGCAAATATTTTTATTATTAAAGGTTAAAAATTAAAAACTGGGAGATTTGGTAACAGACCAAGAATTGAAAATAAAAAAAAAAAAAAAAAAAAAAAAAAAAAAAAAAAAAAAATTGGGAATCCCAATAATACCTAGAGAATATATTAATTCATAAATTTAATCCAACTCAAATACTATTTGTATAAAGGGAGTGATGCATTTGTGGTGGACTTTTTCGGAAAATTGACTTTCCACACTACACATGGGAAAATCCATGAAAATTGACCATGCAGCTAGCCTGTTCAAAAAGATTCAATCCCAGGTCAAACTACTAGTATTCACGAATTTTACACTTCCGTAACTGGTGGGCACCCTATTAAAAGGTATGCTTTTAAATTTAGTGAAATGAACATTATGAAATGCTACAAAGGTGTTTTTATACAGATATTTTCATATTAAATGTTATTCAAATCCTTTTTTACATGTATAAAAAGGAATGGTTAATGTTCTGTTATCACAACTGAATTCAGAAATGTATGAACGTGTATTTGTATGTATGTGCATACACACACAAACATTTGTACTTACATATATATATATATATATATATATATATGCATACATACATTTTCTGAACCCAGTCCTGATAACAGAACAGTACTAAGGAATAAAATTATCTACCTATTTAACCCTCTGTGCGCCACGACCAGCTTTTTCCGGTCATGAGATTTTTTGTCACTTGTTACATATTAGCTTATAATTTAAGATACTTTGCTTTTTTACTTTCACTAATAATATAAATGCTATTTTAATCAATTAAGTTTACGAACATAGAGACTAAAATAGGTAAATATACATATTTAGTTAATAAAGGTTCTTTAAATACAGGTCTTCATGACAGATTCAAAAACCCAGGCAGCTCAAAGAGTTAAAAGTGTATAATATATAGGGTAAGGTTGTATAAGTCGAACCACTTATGAAAAAACAGGTATAAATTGTAAGATCCATGAAAAAATAAAAATTATGAGTGGTAATAATATCTTGTGTTGCCATTGCTGGTATTTATTGCAATAAAATTCCATACAGTCTACTCTCTATGATAAAATTTTAAAAATTTATGAACACACTCTTAATGCGACTTAGACAACCCATATTTTAACAGGGTTGCCACTCAAATAGGAGAATGAAATTCTCTGACTTTTCCAGGTTTTCCAGGTGTGTTTCAAGAAAATTCCAGTCTATCCGCGTAATGTACGTTGGCTGTGCTAAGAGGTAAATTAATTATGGTATTACTTGTATTGTGTAGCAAATTCACTTTATTATTCAATAAGTCCCAGAGGACATTTATTCTTAATTATTCTTGGTATACTTTGTTTGATAATTTTGTTTAGTTTTCACTTAAGAAACTTAATAAAATTTAAGATATATATATTGGATAACAAATGTATGTTTTATTTAATTATTACTCATGATCATCACCAGTTCAACATGAGGCTAATCCGGTCCCACAACGCAATGCTAAATATTTAGGTTAGATTTTAGGTAAATTTAATTTGCGTGAGGTATGTTCTTAAAAGGCACCTTAACACTTGAAAACACAAATATAATTATAATAGTTGTTGTTTTCTCCACTGAAGATTGAGATTAGAATCTTCCCAATCTGGAATAAAATAAGGCTTTTTTTTGCAGACATTCTGCAGCTAAACGAAAGAAAGAAATCTATTTTAATAAATTGAGGTATTTTATATTTATTTCGCAGCACATACATAAGGAAAAAATATGTGCATTAAATTTCGTGAATGGTATGTCATCATACTGCTAGAATTAATTTCAGGATTTATGCCAGAGAAAATTTCCTGAAATTTGGAAATATTATTTACTAATAAAAAATAAATTTAGAGGGCAAGAAGCCACATTAAATGGTATATGAATAACATAAAAATAATTACTTAAAAATTGAATTAGAATAATTAACGATATTTTAGCGAATATAGTTTATATTACATGGCTAGCCTAGATGACTGATTACTATTTTTTTATTTTACTGCAAAATGGCAAGGTATTTATTAAAAAGAAAAGATTTTGCGGTAAAATTCTAGTATACGGTAAGGCTTTGGCACGATTTTGAAAATTGTCGCCAAGACCAAAATGACCCGTTTACTGCGCATCAAGATGTCGCCAAATCCCATTATTATTCTAACCAAAGAACGTCTATGTAAAGAAGAAAAGGTTCCATACAAGTAAAATGCTATTACGCCGCTAGAATGCGGAGGGAAAATTTGCCAAGGGATTTGGCGACGGAACCTGGCGGCCAGAATTTCCCTCTCCGCGATGTGTACAGGAAATTGAGACACATGTGTTAAGAAGAAACGCTCTTTAACAAAAAGAAAACTACGAAAATCCGTTTTTAAATTATTGCGAAAAATCCAAGAAGAAACGTTTTATCAAAGGACGTTTCTTCTTGGATTTTTCGCAATAATTTTAAAAACGGATTTTCGTAGTTTTTTTTTTTTTTTTTTCCTGAAAATAACTAATCCATGAATTAATTTACTTGCGCCAAAAAATATTTTCTTTTCCTTTAGAGTTTAACCACTTGCGCTAAGACTAAACTTCACAGTTCAATATAACAAGCCGTAAAGTGTCTCATTTACGCCGCTCCGCATCTGCGAGTGCAATCCAGAGCTGTAACTCGAGAAATAAACAATCTCGTTGTTAAGCGACGTTTGCACCACGTTATTTTCATTTTTGTGATAAATGCTTGTCGACGTGGTGTTCACGTCGCTCGCGGTTTGAGACAAAAGCATCCTGACGTGCGTGGCACGTCTTTTTAGCGCAAGTGGTTAAAGAAATTTTAAACGATATTCATTTTATGAACTCTTGATAACGTGACCTTCGAACTTCGACCAGGGTTTCGAGCTTTGGCGACAGATATATCAGACATGCACAGCTGTTTTCCCTCTATGATGGAACGGAGCCACAGCCACGTCTGTTGCAGAGAGGTTTTCCTTCTTTACAATACATATTCTTTGATTCTAACCTCCATGGTACCGTATACTAGGATTAAACCCATTTTGTTTTATACGAGAACAGGTACTTTCTTTAGTTCATGCACTGCACATGCGATTCTCGAGAATATTGGAAACCAAAGGTTGCGGGAAAGTTGCTTTGCCTTTCTAAAAGACAATCAAATTGGAGCTGCGAAAATTGGCTCTATGCCAGCTACCCGAATGACACTCATGTGATACATAATTCGCCAAAAAAGTTACCTCTTCCGACGTCGGCGCAAAAATCGCTTTTTTTGGCGGGATCGTTGTATGAACTTCTCTGACTTTTCCAGATTTTGACAAAAATACTTAAATTCCCTGAATATTTTGGTCAATTTTCGAATTCCCTGACTTTTCCCGGTTTTCCAGGTAGCGGGGCAACCCTGTTTAAAGTCTACCACCTATAGCTTAAGTTGTACTGTATTTAAAAATGGATAATTATAATAAAACTTCCTTTTTCTCAGTTTATTTATATAGTTACAACAATGATCACAAAGATATTTTTTCATTTTCATGTCAACTCCAAAACATAAGTCCTGTACACATCTTTTGCATTTTAGGTATTGAAACATAGTCTCTTCATGATCTTCCTCAAAAATACTACAGGTAGATGAACTTAATGTGAAATAATATGGTTCACTAGTAAACTCATTCTGCCAGAAACAGTTTAATGCATATTACCCCTAATATTTAAAAGGTATGATTTGTGCAACCTTACTCTAATTATACTAAAAACTCAAACTGAATAGACATACCTACAAATGAATCAGAAAAAAATTTAGAAGTTAAACAGCTCTGCAGAATATACAAACCTGAGCAATTCTGTTGATATTTTCTTCATTTGGCATAACAAAGTATACAATAGGTACATCTGGAATGGGCTCTCTGTCAGAATGCAGGAGGCTGAAAAAAGTACAAACAAAAATAGAATGAAAATTGTTCCTTTCATAGAACACCTCTTATTAATTAACTGCCCTTCTTGTTAAGTATAAAAAAGTGCTATTTACCCATATTACAATTCATTACTTGACTAAGAAACTTCTGGTACTTACATACAAGAGCAATTCAGAAACTAACCTCCATTTCACTGTAAATAAAAAAGCTGCATAGACTCTACAAATGTTTTTATTTACAACTGAAAGTTACAGCTGTCCTCTATTTTTTTAAAAAGTGATCATGTACATTCAAGCACTTGTCATAGCATTTTACCAATCCCTTCTTCCCTTCTAAAGTGCATATCAATCCCTTCTCCATAAAACTCAGCTGCCTGCGTCTTCAACCAAACTTGTCACAGAGGTTTGAAGTTCCTGACTGTCAGCAAAGCGCTGTGTCTCAAGCCAATTCTTCATTGCAGGAATCAGATTGTAATCAGAAGCAGCCAAGTACGAGCTGTATGAAGATGTTGAAACACATCCCATTCGAATTGGTGCAAAAGACCTTGATTCGCTGTGATTTTGTTAGTGAGGCGAGCATTATCTTGCATGAATACAACCCCATATGTCAGTAGGCCATAACATTTGTTCTGGAAGGTTCTTTTTCAGTTTTTTCAAAGTGTTACAGTACACTTCAGAACTAATTGCCGCACCACAAATTCGAGAAGCAAGATTCTATCAGCTTCCGAAAACACAACCATAACCTTCCTCGTTGATAAAGTTTGATAGGCTTTCCTTAGCCAGGTTGGAGAACCAGTACGATCCCCTGGCACATTCTGTTGTTTTGTCTCAGCATTTACATGCACTACAAGTCTTGCTGCCAGTCACTATTCTGTTCAAAAACATCTCCCCTTCCCTGTGGTACCAGGTAAATAAATCTCAAGCAGTGTCTTTTTGATTTTATTTGTGCATATCTGTGAGAATTTTCAGTACCCATTGAGCACAGAGCTTCTTGTAGCCTAATTTTCCAGTGACTACCTCATACAAAACAGTCCAAGAGATGTTTGGAAATTGTTGCGAAAATTCCAAGATTGTGAAGCGATGTATCTGACAGATTTTGTCACCAATTTGTTTGATGATATCATCACTCACTATAAATGCCCTCCCACTACTGGATTCATCAATAATGTTTGTTCTTCCTTCTTTGAAAAATCTCACCCATTGATGCATTACACATTCACTCATAATGTTTGAGCCATACACAATTCATGAAGAATATCTGCAACTGACTGCTTTTTTGGTCCAAAGAAATCATATTACTCATTCATTATCATAGCAGCGCACATTTTGTGACAGAGATTCATCGATGATGAATGTCAGTTTGTGACAGAGATCTTGTCAAACTTGTTCCAGAAGTTAACCAGTAGTAGGAAGTTTACTGAATCATACATTGCTTGATGTAAAAATGGTTGTGATCTGCCCTCTACTACTAGCACCTCAATGGAGCCATCATCATACATAAAGCCTCAATGAAGTTCTGAATTGTCATCATATTTGCGCAACCACCCTGATATTTGGCGGTTTTTAACAGAAGAAAAAAATGACTTATAATTGCAAAAGTTTATTTACAGTAAAAGCTTGCCAATCTGGAAACCTCAGGAGATGTCAAATTTTGGATAATAGAATGTATAAAAAATGCAATTCATGGTCTAAAAGCCAAATGAGTGAAAAAAAAAAAAAACGTCTGGTCTAAAAAAAAAAAAAAAAAAAAAAAAAAAAAAAAAAAAAAAATTACTTGAATATCATATGCTTATTTTTAAATTATGTGAGATTTCAAAAGTAAAAAGAGCATTTCAGACACAAACGCCACAGTAAAACATCATATTCGACTATGAAATTTCGATCATGAAAGTGACAGAGACCTTGTCCAACTCGAGCCAGAAGTTTTAAAGACCAGATCATTTTTTATTTAGTTAATCAATAAATACAAGTTACAGACATAATGTAAAAAAACTTAAATTGCATGTCATAATTTTTCACACTGCACAGCTAGTGCTTATAGACTTCCAAAATGCACTTTTCTTGATGCTGGGGTTCTATAAATTTGAAAATTCTCTACTATACTATGTATAGTTTACTGGACTTAACCAAGGCTTTTGACAGGGTATAGTTTATTCATTTTTTGAAAATGCAGTCAAAAAGCAGATAAATAATAGTTAATTCTCATTGTTTTTTACAAAAAATTAAACTGACTTATTGATAATTAACCAGGCTTACATAAATACAAAACATAATGCCATGCTTTGCATTTATATACACTGGCACTACATTGATTTGTTTGGTGCTAAACTGATCGTTTGGCATCAGATTTTATTCAATTTGAATTGTAATGCTGTTCATGGTTTATACTGGCATCACAAATCTCATATTTGCTTACTTGAAAAAATAATTTCTAAATTTTGAAAATATTCTAGTTACTTGAGCTTTCTAGTTAGTTGAATGCTGAATAGTTGAGCTTTTACTGTAACATACATACATATTTTATCTTAGATATTTATTCCTCCCCCTCAAATCCTGCTTTGCTGCCTTTTCATGGCGATGGGGTGTCAGTGGGTGGAATGGGTGAAGTTTTAAATTATGCTCCTGGTGCCTTTCTCCTGGTATGGTCATCCTAGGCCTGAAGTCCATTCCATTAAAACCCAGCTAAAGCATACAGCCAAATCTATGGAGAATAGTCAGACTTCTATCTCAGGTTCTAAAGGTCTTACGGTGCACAGAAACAAAGAAGCTGTAACACTTCCCCCTTTATCATGAGTCTAGTTTATTCCGGGTTTAACTATGAATTGAATGCTGTCTTGAGAGATGTTGACCAGAAGAAAACCTTCCCCCCCCCAGGGAATGGTAATATATATGGTCAAAGACACTTCCATCTTGGCCATGGTAGACTTAGACTGTTGGATATCTTTTATTGGTCATGGAGGAGTGGTCATGTACCACTTGATTGGAAAAGAGCTATTGTTGTTCTGATTAGGAAGACAAAAGTCATTAGCTCACCTGAGAGTTACTGTCCTATCTCCTTGACCTATATTTCATGTAAAATTATGGGGAAAAAAATGCTGATAAATATATTTAATTGCTATCTTGAATCAAATAAACTGCTTCCAAAGGAACAATATGGTTATAGGAAAGGACATTGTACCATTGATCAAATATTATATTTTTTGCCAGAGCGTTAGAAATGCCCACAATTTATGACCTACTAATCACACAGTGGCTGTCCTGCTGGAATTAACCAAGGCTTTTGACAGGGTATAGTGTAATACACTTAGTGTAAAACATTTTGATGAATATGGTGTGAGGGGCAATGCACTGGATTTATAATTTTTTGAAAGCGAGAACTGTCAGGGTTAAATTTAATAAGACCCTGTCTAAAGACTTCAGACTAGGGCATACAACGTTCCAATTTTCATTACTTTTTCTACCAACAGACAACACCACTTCTCTTTTGCTTAATTCCTTTTGAGTATAAATGCAATTGTGGCTTTCCCTTTGTATCAGATTTCTTTGCACCTGATGAAAAAGGTACATGTATCTGTTTGCCCTAAAAACCAATAGCTTAATTAAAATCTATGCCAAACACAAGACTGTTGCTTTAACTAATTTTATGTTTTACTTTGATAAGTTTCTATTCTCCCTTCTCCTGCAGCTTTTTCTATTACAAAAATTCTGTATTGTAAAATTGTAAAAATTCTGCTGCAGCTTTTTCTATTGCAAATCTCAATGGTGCTTAATTTAAAATAGAGTTCAAGACAAGAAATATCACAACTAGTTTATGAGTTGTGATACTGCTTTCTAAAGCTGAAGAATTGATCTGCATACAGTTGCTTGAACAGTTGTTATACAAATGGTTTCCAAAGTTTGGCATATTCTGAAAATTTGGCAACTTCTATTAAGGTGATTGTGTTAATAAGTATTGAAATTCCTTCAAAAATCAGCAGTATAATAATAAAGCTGGTACATCTCTTTCAATTCTGTTATTTAAAATGGTAAAATACAATTACACAAAATTATTATTACTCAAAACATTTATGTTCCTTTAATGATTAAACTTTATATCTTATGGAATTTGCAGCATTTTAAAGACTTTCCCAAAATATCAAATTATGAATTAATTTTTATTTTATGTACAAAAACACCTGAATTACTAAGAAATTTATACTTACAGATGCAGAGTTACTCCCATTTCTCGAAGTTCTTTCACAGAAAGCAAAGGGGAAATAATATCTTGACCATACCGATCATATACTAATACCTAAATTAAAAAATCAGTAAGAAAAATTTCAGAAAAAAATATAAATTAGTTTCATCCGTTTAATTCTTTCACTTATTAGCAATAAATAAAATATACACAGGCAAAGGAAATCAATATAATGCATATAAAATCAGAATAAGTATATAACTATGTGAAAGAAGGTTATTTCAGATGGGTTCAAATAGCATAATCATAGGTGTTGAGAAAATGTTTATTTGTTAAGGAAAAAGGGATGAAGGGTACATGGCTTGGTAAAAGTTACATTAAAAAGAAGTTACTCTTTTGTTTTCTTAACATATTAAGATTGTAACTTTGATGAGATAAATATAAGTATTTAAGACAAAATTTCTGATGATGTCATGCTTATTAATTTGACATTATCAATATTTCTTACTTGTAAACTTATTTTACTTGCTTAGAGTGTGTAAAAGTTTTATATCTGAGCCTCTTTTAATCTGTAAATATTGCTTCCTGCATATCCTGTACTTTATGAAATATTTGACATCAGTTCTCAGCATAAGTTAATTTATTTAACTAAATCACATGTATACAGCTGACATTAATTTATGATACAGTTTAATGTATTTAACTTTATTATGCATTTTGCTAATTTCAAATACTTCACTATAATTGAGTAGTATGTAGGTAAGTTCAAAAATTTAAAATAAAATATATTCTTGTAAATCTTAAGATTCCTGGAAATACTAATTCAGAAGTCAAACAACAAAAATCAGCGTTATACCTACAAAATTTTCACAGGACTAGTTTCGATGGTTTTACCGAACCATCATCTTCAGCTGCAAAACCGCAAAATGCATTTTGCGGTTTTGCAGTAGGTATAACGCTGATTTTTGTTGTTTGACTTCTGAATTAGTATTTATTCGGCGTGTTATTGTGTCTTAATTCCTGGAAATATTTTGAAGTTACAAGTTTCACAGTTTCCTTCTTCTTCCTTTTTTTTTTATTTATTTATTTATTTTTATAACACTTTTCTGTTAATGGGAAGCTGATCAGCAAACATGAGAGTCTGCATATATCATGCTAAGAATAACTTTACAATGATATGAGAAGAATGAACACTAATCCAGGTCATTCTGCTCGTAGATTTTCTAGTGCTTAAGCAGATGAAATGGCAACTGCTAGACAAGTGATGCTGGAAGGGGACACCTGCTAGCTAATAGAGGCTAGCAGGTATTTGTCCCACACCCTCCTCTTATTTAGAGGCATCAACTCCTTGGAGCCATAAAACGCTGCCTTGGAAGTTAATTGGAAACTACATGGCCTTACAAGGGCTGAGTACATCTGAGTCACTTAATAAAACTTATTATACACGAATATAACGCAGAATTGTTGCTATGAGTATACTACATAGAAATATTGTGCTATGGGAGCCATGAACATCTGCATGTTAACCGTAAATACAATGTTATTGATCACGATAGAAGATGCTATGTACAACATTGTGAAACAAATTTCAGCACAGTACTGCCCAGCACTGGTAGATTTCTACTTTATTGAATTTATGCAGCAGCAACTGCATGGAAAGATGCAGATTAGCATTATTTCAGTCATTTCTACCGCTGAGCTCGAAGAGACTAGGTCAGATTTTCTTGCTGTCTTGGTAGTGTCTTGGGGATTACTCGAGAAGTTTACCTGGATATTTTATTCGTGGGAAGATTGGTAAGTTCTTTTCTCTTGTTCATCTTGCAGTATGCATTACCGAGCCAACGGTTAGGTTTTAGCAGCCTGTAATGAGCATAGATGATAGGATAGCAGCATTCGTTAAGCAGATATGTGCAAAGTTGCGCCAAGCAAAAACCCCTAAAAATGATCCATCGTATTTACAAGTGTTAAAAACAATGGAACTGTTTAACATAGAAATTAATAAACGTAAAATTGATGAGGATAACTCAATGAATGAACAAGCTAGCAGTTCACAATCAAATTATGATAAAAATCATTTTTTAAAACCTAATAACCCAGATAAGGAAGAAAACAAAGCTAAAAACTTAAAACGCACATCTAGCGGAAAAAGAAAATCATTGATAATGAGGGATTTACCTCACCTAGAAAACACATAAAAGAAATTATTCTCAACTTGAAATTGAATACCCAACCCAAAAGAACATTTTCGAGCCTCTCAACAATGAAGTCAATATGGCTGAGGGAAATCAAAACGAAGCCCCATTCGAAACACCTAAAAAGACAGCCGGACACATACCGCCCATAGTATTAGCCGGCTTCAATGGGAATTGGGATAAAATGAAGGATGAATTCGAAGAAGTTTTAGGAATCAAAAATTACAGAGGAGATTTAAAGGGAGGGAGACTAACAATAAGAGTCTTCGACTCCGACCACTATAGAGCCATTACTACGTGTTTACAAAAAAAGGAAATTCCATATCTTACCTTCCAAATGAACTTGAAAAACCTATTAAGGCAGTGATTAAAAAACTGCCAGCCACCACTAATATTGAAACTCTCCAAAAGGCAATTAAAGACATAGGAATTCCAGGTGAGAAGATAAAACAAATTACCACTATCAGAAATGGAGAAATAGTCAAATTACCAGTTTTTCTGGTCGACGTGAAACGGAACAAAGACGGTAAAAAGATTTTCAATGTCTCAAAACTTAGAGGATTAAATATCCTAATTGCTAAATACAAATCCCGACCAGGTCCCATTCAATGTCATAAATGCCAAAGGTATGGGCATACAAGGGACATGTGTCATTACACACCTTCCTAAAAACATTCTAAATTTAATCCAGGAAAGGAATAGATGCAGAAAAAATTGGCACATGACCAGAGACCCGAATTACAAGACCCATGTTAATTACTTAACAAGAAAGATCTCCAAAGAAATTATTACTTATCGCTCCAATAAATGGGACACTCTCCTAGAAAATATTGATTTACGACCCAACATTATTTGGAAAATTTCAAGCTCTATCAGATCAAAATGCCCTAACCAACTTTACCCTATTATGCACAGGGGGCATACACATAACTCTGAACAGGAAATTGCAGAAGTAATGGCGAATAGTTTAGAATAAATTTTCGAGCCATACTCAGAAGACAGCCCTTTCGATTGCACAATAAATAATGAAATTGAAGAAATAAGACTTAGAAGAAATAGAAATTTTGTAAACTTTACCTTCCCCAGAGAAGTGCGTGATATTATCATGAAACTCAAGAAAAAAAAAGCCCAAGGTCATCATAAAATTGATAAGGAAGCCCTACAAGCACTCCCTAAGAACTGTATCATTCTTCTTTGCCATATTTTTAATGCATGCATCAGACTCTCTTATTTCCCAAGAAATTGGAAACACTCCATAGTCATTTTGCTTCTAAAGCTGGGGAAAAACCCTCGTTAATGTTACTAGTTATTGCTCTATTAGTCTGCTCCCTGCTATTAGCAAAGTTTTTAAACGTATCATTGCAGCAAGACTCAGCACCTTTACGGATAAATTAAAAGATACCGATGACCAGCAATTCGGTTTTAAAAGAGTCCATTCAACTACACATCAGATACTAAATTTAATTGAGTTCATCACACTAGAATTTCAAAAGAAGAATGAAATCGCGGCATGCTACCTCGATTTTGAAAAAGCATTCGTTCTGAGTGTGGCATGCCAGCTTCATTTATAAATTGTCTAAATTAAAGCCTCCAGACAGCTTCCTTAAACTTAATATCTCTTATTTGGAAGATCGCACTTTTCAGGTAAGATGCGGAGATGCCCTTTCAAATAAGAAAAATATCTTCACGGGCCTTCCTCAAGGCTCGGTTATCTCCCCGACAAATTTTAATTTGTATGCCAGCGACATACCAAAACCCCAGAATGCAAAAATTTTGAAGTATGCCGATGACACGGTTATTTTATCTAACTCAATGAACCCTCAACATGCAATGGACAAGCTTAAAAATCAAGTAAAAATCATCGAAATATGGTGTAAAAGATGGAAAATTAACCTTAACCCTGAAAAATGCTGCATTGTAATGTATCGAAGATACAGAAGATACCTCCCCGTCAACATTGACATTAGAATTGATAATGCTCTCATTCCTATCGCAAGCTCCTACAAATATCTAGGAGTCTTCATTGATTCTCAGCTTACCTTTAAAGAGCACATTAATTATGTGACTAATAAGGCTAATGCCACTTTTATGGCTTTGTATCCACTCCTAGAAAGAAAATCTAAATTAAATCTACAGACTAAACAGACTCTGTACTTAACGCTAATTCGCCCGATACTTCTCTATGCTGTGCCAGCTTGGGCTACTGCCTGCAAAACTCACAGAAAAAGATTAAGTGTTTTACAAAATAAAATACTTCATTCTATGATTAATGCAAGATGGTTCATTAAAAATATTCAAGTCTATCAGAAATTGAAGATACCTGAAATCCAAGAACAAATCTTAATTTTCTCTCACAAATTTTTCAACAATGTCATTAATTCGCCGCATAATGCCATAAAAAACTTAGCGAACTATGACCCAGCAGAGGAAAATACGGTTAAGCGACCACGGTCTAATCACCACAATCCAAAGTGGTGAAGTGTAAAAATACTTTGTATATACTTCTTCAATCTCATGACTTAATTGCATTTACTCATATAACAAAGTTCACCTTTGTGTTGTGTTTTGTGTACGTTATTTTTCATCTTATTTGCTTTGGCAAAGCTTCGGACTATTATGAACTAAAAGACTGTTCAGATGAATATAGACTTAGCACTATTTTATAAAAATTGTGTTTTCTTAACTCAGTGTATCGTTAACTGACTCTGCTTTAAAAATGCTTCTCTGCGATTGGCCCACGTGACTTCAGGCCCACTTCTGACATTTATGAAGATTTACCAAGTTTTTAAAGTAATATTCCAGTTTTAAAAATAATTATGCTCAAGAAATGCTTATACAAGTGACTCTTTCATGTATTAAATTGCTGTGAAGGGGTTATGGACTCTAGTGATTTGTTTAAAAATTGATTTACTACTTTTGTATGATTGATCATTCCGAACAAGACTCTCTGTCACGTGAACTTTAGCTACTCTCACGTATATATGCTCATTTTCAGTCGACGCAGTTCCTCGTTATGATACACTGCTCCAGCATCTATGCATAATTTTTATGATCGTTTACTGATGTTTCAATATGAATTAATTTAACAATTACAAATTTCTTCCCTGTATGACGTGCCACCTCTTCGATTTCACCTGCGGGCGCGGTGCTACGGCGCCCTAACTAAACTTTAAATTAAAAATGTGAGTGGCCTCCGGCCTTACCTGATCTATAGGCTAAAACTCTTCTGTAGTTGTTACCTAGTGTTTGAAAGGATGATTTTCATTTTCATTTTTGGAAGCATGTATTTTCAGTGAAGTTAAATGAAACTGGCAGTTTTGTCTCTTGTGCAATCAGAAATAAATCTGAGAAAATCTATTTTGTACTTTTATATTTGTCTTTATTTTTTTACATTTATTCTGGAATTAAAATAATCATTGTTTTCATTCAAGCTTTGTGTATTATTAGAGTTGCTGCCATCTAGATAGACTGTGCACCATTTACATTTAGAATTAAATGGTGGTGTGTTAATAGAAACATAAAAAGTTTTCCATTTCAGTTATGGATAACCACTTAAACTCCAGTTCATAAAGTGGGCAAGCTGTTCATGAAATCTGTGACAAAACTGCATAATCTAACAGAATTTAGTCTTGTGACTGATATTCAAATTTCAGTTTGACATTCATATTACATGCAGAGCTGGTACTGTTTAAAGTGATCATTTTCATCCATGATTATTTTGATTACATTAGAGGAAAAAATGCCCATTAAAATAACAATGAAATTAAACTAATTTATCATAAATATGAACAAAAATATATAAATAGGTAAATTCACAGCATTTTAATTATGGAAAGGTAAAAAATTGTTTACGAACTGCTCACAATACCTTGAAGGCAAATGTCCCTTCATGAACTGCTCATAATTAAGTAAAACTAACACACTGAGTAATAATTATTAGCAATGATTGGGTTCTATGATAATGATATATTTGCTTTATTTGCATAACAAAAAATATCTAAGTTCTCTCAATACGGAATTCTCTTAATCCTGCTATTCAATTCACTTTCAAAGCTGATATAATCAAATCCTTCCGTTCCTTGATATCTTGGTCACATGAAATACATCTAATTTCACTACTATTGTATACTGTAATAGTCCTCTGTTTGCCTTCTGTCATCCAACTAAACATAAGTTAGCTTCCTTTTATTCCTTCATTTCCTAAGTACTCTAAGTTAGCTCTTGATCAAGAATTAAACTACGTAAAAGCAATTGTTACTGTTTTCCATCTAATATTATTGACCAACCAATCAGAAAATTTTCATCATCACATCTCTATGATGAAAAAAATCATAGATGTTTCTTGCATTTTCAATTTTTGCTGTTTTATGTAATTCTTAGTGCACTGCTATTTTTAAAATGGGTGTTGTCTTTTGTATTTTAGCTGGGGGAAAACACTAAAAGTTGGCAATTTTTCAGGAAATAAAAGGTCTGATAATGTGTGCAGAAAGTACCTTAATATTTCTTTATGCTTTCAGGAACATGGATATTTTTTCAGAAATATCTGAGGGCAGCAACTGATGGGAAAGAATTTATTGTATCTGTACCTATGCATATTATCTTATTTACCACATTTTATTCCTCTATGAATGAATACCATATTTGTACAACATACAATAATCAAAGAGAAAGGAAAAAATAAAGAGTTTGAACTGGAAATTTTATGCTGATTAAAATCAGATTTTATTTGTTGCTTAGTGCAGAAAAACATAATAATAGAAATATATATTCATAAAGTTAGAAATTTTTTTAAAAATAAAGATACAAAATAAAATTATTCAAGAAACATAATTACCTTCCAAACTGGTTCAGCAACAGCTACTTTGCTAATATTTGCATTAAAATTCAACATTCGCCTCAAAGCACCTAAAAAAAAAAAATTTTGTTAAGTTGTAGATTTCATAATTATAAATTATATGCAAACATAAAGAAAATCACATTCACCAGTGATCATATATGGTCATCAATTGGTTGCATCGCTATTTGGAACCTCAGTACAAAAGAATTCATTAGTTTCGCAGCATAACCTGCCAAATATGCAAAATTGTGAAAGAATGCAGGCAGCTTTGTTTTTTTAGTAATGCAAACAGACTTTTGTTTATGTCCACAATATTTTCAGGACCACCTACTCGCTGATTTGATTGTCAGATTACATGCAGATAATACATCTCTCTCATAAAACTGCTCAAGTTGATGGATATATTTTCATAAATGTCTTTGTTTAGCTGCTTCTTTCACCGCTTAATCAACACCAGTTCCTCTGCCCGAAGCCAAATAAATCACCGTATTATTACAAACAATATTATGAAATTGCTGAACTTGTTTATTTTAGCTAAATCACTAAACTAGTTTTATTACATGCTAGTCTACATTTTAGGGTACCCCTTGGATTATCGCCAAATTGTTGTTTTATTTATGGTAACCTGAGTATTTTACGGCAAATGTTTTGGAAACCCTATTATGACATGATTGGTTGTAATGCACGATTGCAGTGAATTTGATTCTTGGGAAAATATTTCTCAGGGCTTATTTCTGTGTTGAATGTTGTTTGGGAAGTTGGTTATTTTGTGCACACAATGGCTGCCGGTGGTAAGATTAACCTGGTTTCTGTACGTTTTCTGTACTGAAAGGGAAAGAAATCATTGACTGACAGTTGTGTAAATGAAGATTTAAATGGCTTCGTTCACCTCTCAGTAAATGACGCAGTCACATTTATAAGGATTCGAAAAGCAGAGCTCATATGAACACTGTGGAAGGTATGTGGGGTGTGCTAAAATAAGATTTTTGAAAGAAATGCCACCGAAATTTCGGCAGTACGGAGCATATTTTTTTATTTTTCCTTGTGAATTTATGTGGCGATGGCAGTATACAGATTCTAGTTGAGATAATTTTACATAGTTTTTGGATGCTTTTAAGGATTTCTTTGTGATACACACTGAAGATATAGAAATTCTGGTTAGAGTATATTTAAGGGTGCCCCGTTGGATTATCGCTAAGTTGTCATTTCATTTATCGCCAAGTTGTTGTTTCATTTATAGTAACCTGAGTAGTTGAGTGTTATGGAAACCCTATTGTGACATAATTTGTTGCGTGATTGCGGTGAATTTGCCTGATGGGAAAAGGTTTGTAAGGGGTTGTTTGTGTGTTGGATGTTGGTTAGGACATACGTTGCTTATTTTGTGGTTTACATGTTAAGATGGCTGAATGTGGCATGATTAATTTAAAGTTTCTGCATGACTTGGAAAGAAAGGGGAAAAAAGCATTAATTGACTGGTGTGCAAATGAAGGTTTATTTAGTAGCCATTATAACTGTCCTGCTTGTGCAAAGGAAATGCATATCGTCAAACGTTGGAGGATACCAACACATTTGGTGGACATTTTTTACTCTTATTTTTGTGAACTAATGTGGTGACGAACAGGGCCGACTTATTTAAATTGTGGGCTGGGGCAAAAACTTCTTTGCCCCCCTCTGCTTCACTACTTAAGTAATGAAGAACTGAACTTTATGGAGGTATTTAAAATTTTCACCTCATTAAAGATATACAACAAGAAAACTGACTAAATCTAAAATAGCTATAAAGTCCCTTCCCTCCAATGATCAGATGAAATATCGTTCTGTCCATTTTATTGATTTTCTGACAATTCTATATCCATCATGAAAAGGATATAGAACATCTGAAGAGCCAAAATTTGGCTAAAATGCTATTTAAATTTATAATTAGAAAATTTAAAAATTCAGGCTTTTGATTGGCCAAAAATTTGTTCATCGTAATTTTGAAAATTTAGGGTTTTACGAAATAAACATTTTTTATGTTGAAACTATAGACTAATGAAGAAGCTAACATAAAACTGACAGATTTTACACAGTATTGATATTTTGTTTAAAAAACGTTAATTAACGAAGGAAGCCAATTCTATTCGATTTGGGGGCCCGGGGCAACTGCCATGTATGCCTTTGTCAGGCTCTGGTGACGACAGTATAAATATTCTAGTTCAGATAATTTTAAGAAGCTTTTGGATGCTGTTAAGGAATTTTGTTTGGCTGAAAAAGGAAATTTCTAAACAAGATAAATGGATTTTTGTGTATTACTTAGATGCTATAAGGAATTTCTTTTTATGTTATTTCATTGTTTGTTTTAAAATGTAGTTTATTAAGATTATATTTTTTTTTTTGGCTCTAGCGTAGAATTGGCTGTTCCTCTGACTTTTCAAATGAAAATAGATCAATATGTACATGCGCAAAGTCGAGGGAGTGTACAATACCATTTTTTTTAAAGTGAAAATAGGTTGATATGTACATGGATATTGAGTTTGTGCAATTCTTTGCCTTGTTATTTTGGCTTTGTGTATCAGTGATTTTTGGCTACACAAAGCTAAAATAACAAGAATAACAAGTCAAAGAATTGCACAAACTCAGGGTCTGTACTGCCAAAAATCGCCAATCGGCACCCGTAAATATATTTTTACCGAAATTCTAAATGAGGTTAATCGATGTTTCCTTTTTATGCTATTTCCTTGTTTTATTTTGATTTAAAATGCAGGTTATTGAGATTATAATTTTTATATGCTTTAATTATGTTTTATTGCATTATGCTTGGGATGCTATTTTATTTGGAATGGTGCCAATAAATCGCCAAGGGGTACCCTGAAATATATTTTTCCTATGATAACACATGGTTTACTCAGAACTCTTCTCATCAAAAGGAACTTTAAATGACTGTTGTTAGGACTGCCAGTTATCTGAATATGGATTGTGCTGGCAATTTATTGATGATTTTGTCACAGTTTAAAAAACAGGAGCTGTAATAATAAGGATATAAAGTTTAATTTATATAAGGTGTCAAATGTACTGATCATTTAGGGTGCTGAAACTGCTACAGATTGGCCAGCATTTTGTAGAATTCGTATGTTTGGGTCTGTGAATACAGGCACCTGTTTCCTGAATAACAAAATTGTACTTACGGTTTAACTTTGAAATACGAAAACTCAGTTTTTACAAATTTAATGCTCTTGTAGGTTATTCTAGGAATCAGAATAAACTATTGACCTCTCTTTAATATCCTACTTAATAACAGTTAACATTATTCCTGCTGCTATTAGGGATGATAACTGAAAAACTTCCTCTCAACAATGTCCAAAAATGCATTATGACAAAAGCATACCACTAGCATTATTACATTTTTTTTTTTTTTTTTTTGCTTACTAAATAAATTTTTGGTAGCTTCAAATACACTCCCTATTTGATTCTTTTACCATCCTTCTCCATATGTAAATATTTTTTTTATCAACTTTAACAATGTGTCTTATTTTATCCAGCTTTAATTTCCTATCTCATTAATGCTAACTTCTTGAAGATCTATTGAATGCTACACTGAGATTTTACAAACATATTTACCTGATGTCAATATTCATACTAGAATAAAATATAGTATGTGGCTATAACAAATGAAATCCTGCTTTGTTGAAACTAATTTCTTACTCTTATAGCAGCTATGAATAGTACACTTCTAAAACTGATCATTCAATATAGCCAGCCATTTGCACAGAGAGCCATCTAAAATAGTTACCGTAAAAGAGAAAAAATATATATAATAATTTTAATCAATCCTGTTAGTGTCATTTCATAAAAATATTTAATATTTCTAATTAGATATCTCAAGATTTAAATGTATGTTTATTTAAATCAATCAGATTAAAATAGAGAAAAAATATTAATAACTGTCCTTATTGCATTTCAATTGCTTGGTTTGCTACTCAATAACAAGAAGATTCAATTTGAAAGTTAAATATCTTAAACATTACTGAACCACAACACACTGGTGCAAGCAGATAATTAAATATTCTATTTGAGACAGTGACACTAGATGGCTTTTAAACCAAAATAAATATCTAATATTTTAACAAATGGCAACAGTTTGGCACACTAGAGATAAAAATGATTAATTTTGAACAGTGTTGTAACTAACTGCTTTTATATTGCTAAGTTTGACAATAAAATGATCATTAAATTCATACAAAATATGAAAAAAAATTGAAATTCAAAATTTAGACTTGAAGTGCACATGTTCAGGTGTTGGACTACGTATATTCAAAATATGGTGTCTTTAGGTATCACAGTTTTTCTACAGTGCAAGAAGTACACATACATACATATTCTTCACTATTTAATAACGAAGATGCATATGCATGCTAAGCAAAATGGAATATTCTTAACTTTTTGGCCACAATTCTACATGGATTTTATGAATTCTGTTTGACTAACTAATAAATCCTGTAGACACTTAACAAAAGCAATGATTTCTAAGTATTCAAATGAATTTAACATCAATATAAATAAATCCAAAAGGTTTTCTGCAGTCAAAATTATTCAAAAAACTTTTTCCATTGGTGAATTAGATTTTCTAGAGGCATTTCACATTCAAAAAAACTTTCAATTCTAGTTAACAACCCCAATTTCAATTAGTCTTTACCCTTAGCTTTTAAGGACATTATTTCATAGTTGTTTTTATTTTTCATTGATAGTTGGAGCCAGTATACTTCCTCTTATCCTTATCACAGGCTTACCTTTCGTTTTTTTGCACTTCTGCAGCTGAAGAAGCAGATTCCATGTTTAAATCTCCAAAACTAGCCCTGCATATTTATGAATATTATACTGATTCTTGTTATTTTAATTCCTCCAAAATCATTATTCAGTATGTTATTTTAACTCAACCTCTGAAATTATTTTATGACATCAGCTGCTTGTGTCACAATTCTAGGGTCTTGAATAGTTTGTCTACCATATTCTTTGGGATAATATATTTTCATATGATTGAAAATATATTATCCCAAAGAATCTGGCAGGTAGATCAACTTCGTATATTCTCATTTGTATAAGCATGAAATATTATACATCATTCCAAAATGGAATATTGTACAATTTCAAAATGATTAACAAAAAACAAACTGTTCTATGAGGCCCGAACTCTTTATACGATAAAATGATTTTAATTAATTATTATGACATCCATCACATTAAAAAATATTTATTATCATGATATGATCACTTTGATGTCCCTCTTTACTCAATTTTCTTAAATTTATCAGAGCATATTAAACATTACTGTACTCATTAGTTTTCATATTCAGGCTACGATAAACACTAAAATTAGGCAAAACAATAATTTTGTGTTTGGCATAAATTTTAGTCACGACTATTAATTTCCAGGAAGAACAGGTACAAGTCCCTCTTTAGTAGCAGCAAGAAAATCTGTCCTGTTTGCCCTCGAAATTCATACACTCATGCCAAACATGAGACTGTTGCTTTGTCGAATTTTTATGCTATAATTGACACTTTTTTCTTCTGTCTACAACTCTCCCCTAGTGTTGTGTAGACTAGCTTAGTATTTTACTATGAGAGTAGTGGCTCTGGAGACACAATAACATAGATCCTATGGCCAGAAAAGGCAACTATGCTGTAATGGATGATTGTGACATAGGCCATCCTAGCGGGCTAGTACAATGACCAGAAACACATATATATAGTCCTCCCCTCTTGGTGGTCTCCAAGACCCAAGGTGTGGACAAGCATCCTATGGCTTAGTTCAGCCTTGGAGATTGCAAAAATATAATTCTTCTCAAAACTCTGCATTGTGAGATTGAGGTCCCCATAGCATAGCAAGTGATTTTGTTATATCCCTCTTTTGAGTTTTTTCTGTGGCCACTGCCCTCTCACCTAATATGTGATTTTGTTCTTGAGGGTGTTGCCTCAGCTGCAGCAGAGGTTAGACAAAATTTGACTGATTCTGTCTATAATAAGCCCTTTCAGGATGACTACCTCACAACTATACATGTGATTAAAAAATACAAAGCCTCAGTGACTGTTTAATAAAAGCATTGTTTCCAAAAGATATTAAACAACAATTTGTCTCTTTAAAAAGTACCACCTGGAGGCAAACTTAAATAAATATACTATTTCTATTACCATATAATTACCTGTTGCTTATTATACTATATTAGACGTTTGTTTACATTTGGAAACTTATACGTAAATTTTCAAAATGAACGCACATCAATTTTGCATACATATTACAGGAATAATATGTATTTTGTTCTGGCTATAAAACCAAAACAAGTTACGGATAGCAAAATTTAAAAACTTCAGTAGTGAGCAACATAATTATATAAAATTCATGACTATCACAAGGCTATAATTTATGTAAAATATAAGTAATTTCATAGCCAAGAAACAGAAAATTCCAATGAAAGAAAACTGGAAGTTCTGCAATTATATTTATTTCATTCATTATAACTAAAAAAAAAAAAAAAAAAAAAAAAAAAAAATTACTAAAGCCATCATTTGTTGCATGAATAAACTAATTGACTCATACGATCAATCGGTATACATAAATAAAGTACAAATGAATACATCATGACAAACTTGCTGAAAACATTAATCAGGAAAATCCAATATGTAGCGGTTTCGGAAAGGAAAATTTGAAATGTAACAACAAAAGTAGCGTACTTATTTGCTTTTCCCGCAGCACGGAACCCATGTTTCTATTCACAGATTTTTAATATAATTTTATTCAATAAAATATTAACTGAAAATTTTTATTTAGCCGACTTGCGTTCATGTCACTAACAATATTTACGTGTCCCTAGAAGTTTACACAATTAGGAAAGTAAAATTTGAGACTGATAGTGTTGCCAGATTCAGGCAATATGGGACAGAGTTTTTGTTTACTTTTCAGAAAATTGGAAGTCGGAAATAAAATAAATTTTAAAGTAATCATTCTATCCAATTTTCAGTTTAGTTTCGCTTTTATATTCTCTTATTTCAGATTTTTAAAATTTTTAATCTGTTTATTATAATATGTTTAAATAAATTTGCTTTAAGTATCTGTTCTACTATCATTTCTACTTCACTATGATTTATGTAGTTGTTTCGTGTGTCATGTTGATTTTTGTGTATAGACAGAAATCAGATTTGGTATAGGGTACTGTTAAATAATTGAATTATATACATGTAAGATAAACTGGAATGTGTAAAGAATAACGTTTTAAATTTTGACGAAGATTGTTAATGATTCATTACTTTACGGCTTTAATGCCGACTTTAAATGCCAGGTAAGAGAGAGTTGAATTATACTGAATTGTAAGTCAATAATTCGTGGAATAATTAATTTTTCATCATGATTGTAATGAAAATCATCACTAAACCATTTTGTTTATTTTTTATTTGTTTTTCGAATAAAGTAAAGAATTTCCAGAAATTTAATGGGCGTTTTTAAAATAATTCGTAATATTATTATACAGTGTATTCATTTTCAGTGGAAAAGCTTTTCTTTCTCGAAACAAAAAAATGTGTTGATTAATTTTTTTTTTTTGGGGGGGGGATGATTTATAATAATCATCGTCTATTTTAGAAAAAGATCACGTTTATTTTAAACTTGAGTAATACGTACATATTTTTTAATTTTATTTTTTGTATTTTGTATAGTGAATTTGTCATTTGTGAAATTTCTGATCCCATTACTTTGTGGAACAAAAACCCTGGCTATTACTATATTACTAAGTATATGTTAATTTATAATATAATATGTAATATATTAAATATTATTGTATGTACTTTGGTTGTATAGCATGTACTGTAAATACTATGTTTTCAAATAGTAATATATAGTAAAACAATAACTTGTTAAGCGCTCTTCATTTTAAGATGTAAACATAGTATTAGTATGCTTTTCAATCTACAATAACTTTATTGTGGGGTTTTTATTGCTAAGCATGTAATGTCACCATTAAAAATTTTAATCTGAAGTGTAAATAAATTGTTTAACTTTATGTGGATGATTATAAAATGATAACATCACACTTCTCAAGAGAGTAAGAAATTATGTTATTTGTAGTATAACAATGTTCTTCAACAATATACATCATAATTAAACAATGCTGCATAATTTGTAACATTGAGATTTATATGATATCATGTCTAATCTTTATTTGGTAATTTTTTTGTAGTTGCTTATCATAATGATCACAGTCTAATTTTTTTTTTTTTTTTTTTTTAATTTAAAAATGAGAATTTCAAGTAGGATGTTTAAAATTTAAATCTTATTACTTCATCCATAACCTCTTCACTAAAGTCTGCACCCACTTTCCCATTTTCTTTAAATTAATAGGGCAATATTTTTAATGAGTGTGGCAAAATGTGATACGTTCTTTGAGTTTTATTAGTGGAACATTTTACGTAATTGATTCATTGGTTCTTTTATTGAATATCAGCTTGAAAGTTCATCTTAAACAGCTGTCAAGTTGTTCTGAATAAACTAAATTTTATAAAACATATTTTATCTTTTTAAAATCATATCCGTTGTTTAACTTTGATTATAAGTGAAAAGTAGGTGTAATGGTTTGTGTCTATTTTGTTTCTTGTATTGTAAATACATTCAAGCCTTTAATAATAATCAGGCTAATTTCATTTAATAATATTGAACTCCATATTAAAGTTTGTTTCTCTAAGTCAGGGTTTTGGCTAATCTTTGGAATATGGTAACAGGCAGGCAGTTTGGCGACATTTTGGTAGGCGATAAAGACCTAGGACTTTGGAAATAATGCAAGAAGTACCGAGTTCCAATTACACATTATTTTGGGTGAGAGAAATAAGAGATCATGAGATATGTCATGTGACATTTATGGACGAATCAAAGTTGTTTAATCGGAAAAGGGGGAAAATTTGGAAAAATATCTGCAGTTCTTTAATAGCATTTTATATTTAGGTTCATTGTGTGTTGTGTGAAAGAGTGTTTCTTAATTTTTGGATCCCATGGCCCTATGTAAAGTGAATTTGAAATTTTTATTGCATTTAGCATTTGGTATTTAGCTTCATTGTGTGTTGTGTGAAACAGTGTTGATTAATTTTTGGATCTCATGGCCCTATGTAAAGTGAATTCGAGGAAGGATATTACTGATAAGTTTGAATGGCGGTGCAAGAAATCTGGTGAAAATGGACATACGAATACGATTGAGGGCACGTGGGGTGCTATAAAAAGTGCTATTCAGAAGTATTATGATAGGAGAATTTTGCTTTTTATTTAGCAGAGGAAGTATGGTGGAAAAATTACCAGAAAAAATCATTCAGTGATTTTATTGAATCCATAAAAAACGTTTATCCGCTATGCACTCAAGATTCTGAAGAAGATTAGGTAAGTTAGTCTTTTTAATCATTTGAGGATATTATTTTTATGCATTGTTCTAAATGTAAGGAAATAAATTAATATGGTATTATTGGAAAATTGTTATTAGCAATGAATTAGTTTAAAGTAATTAAGATTTGAAGCTAATTTTTATTAGTTTAATGTATGTGTTTATTTATATTTTAAGTACAGTCAAAAGCCGTTAATCCGGACTCGTCGGGACTTCAGAGATTCCGGATTATAGATCATCAGTTTAAATCTCGTAAGATGGCCTGCAGAAATTCTAAAATTAAAAATATGAAACCGTAATTTATGAAATAAAGAACAATTATGATCTAAAGGGTATCAAAATTTACAAAAAAAAAAAAAAAAAAAAAAAAAAAAAGCTTAATATTATTTGTTTACTTTATTAAACATTTCTTTCAATGTAAGTTGTTTAAGTTGCTTCGTTTTATTGTGATAATACTTTCTCTTTAATTCTATAAACAGACATAATTTCTTGTTCAGTTACAAAGTTCCGCTGTTCAAGTCGCGTTAATTGCTGTGCCGAGAATACAGACTAACTTGTCAATCGAAATTTTTTCGTTTTCACTAACCTTGTCATATTTTTCATGTCTTTATCCATTTTTTGCAGCAATTCCACTTTTTGTTTGATGGACATCGAAACATACTTTCGTTTTGTGTGATCCTTTGGGAGCTCCAGAATCGGAAATTCTTTTTGACATAATCGAAAGTTCAAGTTTACTTTTATAGTATTGCTCTTACAGTAAAGTAAAGGCATGTTTTTTTTAACTCAACATTTTCCCAACAATCTGCTAGCCGAATTACACTTATACTAGAACTTTTATGGAACAAAAATGTTTAATCATGACGAAATTGGGAGAAAGTGCAGAATCGCAAACTGCTTGCTACATTTTTAAGAATTGCGCATACACGGTATCCATGTACACGGCAACCTATTTTCACTTAAAAAAAATCCCAGAATTGCACAAAAATGGTATTGCGCACACTCTTGACTTTATCTATGTATACATCGACCTATTTTCACTTAAAAAGTCAAAGAAAATTGACAAAAATCCATTTCTTCTTACTCTTGTAAAAAGCGCCAAACAAATAAGTATGCAATTCTGCACTTTAGGCAGCGAAATTGTTTCTAAGTACTTATTAGCTAAAATCACGATCGGAATTTTCCGGAAAATGTCACATTACATGTCTCGCGGTCTCTCATTTCTCTGAGACAAAAGAATCTGTGATTCGAGCTGTGTTGTTCTCAGATTATTGCTAAAGTCCTAGCTAGTAATTTTTATCGCCTTACCAAAATATCACCAAACTACCTGTTACCATATTCTAAAGATTAGCCTAAAGAATTTCCGATTCTGGAACTACCAAAGGATCTACAAAGCGAAAGCATGTTTCGATGTCCATCAAACAAAAAGTGGAATTGCTGCAAAAAATGGATAAAGGCATATCCTTTGATTCTCTAACCATTCCGAAATATGTTTATCAATTTCACGCTGCTTTGCGGGGGGGGGGGGGAGACGCGGCGCGCAATAAACTAGAAGTTGATCTGTCAGCATTACCCTTATCTTCAAGGCAGATGTTTTTATTTTATTCGGCTTATAATTCCTTACTAAATGTATTATTTCATCTCGATGTACTCACTCTTTGATACCGGCACTTTTTTTAAAAAATAAAATTTAGGAATGAAGTATACAATACATCAGAAAAAGCAGTTGTGACATAAAAGTAATTTTCTTCCAACTAACTGAGACTCCAGTATGTCGGAATTGGACCATTAAGGCTGTACCTGCCTGGGAATCACATCAGCAAGACCAGTGGCATTGATTAGGGTTAACCATGACTATGCTTTTGGCCGTTGACAATGATGTAGCTAGAGAGCATCTGTTCCTGGGTACAGCATTCAGGGGACACCAAATTGATGTTACAAAATATTAAAATGAAATGCTTTTCATTCTTGCAAACTAGAGGGGGCATGAAATCTTCAATTGTTCTGAGTGCTAAAAACCCTCGGAACGATTCTGGCCCTTAAGTGATTGTGGAAATGGTTAGGGTGTAATTTTTTTTCTATCTGATCTAAGCTTAGAAGGTATTTCTCCCACCTTCTTAGCATGCTTTCGTGGTGTAGTGGTCAACACATTCAGCGCATATTCAAGAGGTTAGAGTCCTGGTAAGGGCATTGCTCATTTTTTATGTCTCCTGCTTCTAAATAACCTAATGTCTCTACACTTGCACCTGAATTAAAAAGGGTGGTGGATGATGATTCTCCACATCCAGGATTTAGCAATTGGCTCTCATAAACCCCAGTCACATTTTAAAAGGGGATGTATATAAGGTATTTCTTCTGCCTTCGTAGAGTAGTGGACAGCATTCTGGGCGCGTATTCCAGAAGTCCATGGTTCGATTTCCGGCAAAGGCGTTGCTCATTTTTCAAAAAATACCTAATGTCTCTGACAGGCATATTTGGAGTGCAATATTGCTGGTTTTCTTTTGTTAGTGTACCAGCAGGAAGAGAAAGCATTAGATTTGGAATAAATTAAATTAACATAACAAATTGGGTTCTTCCTTAAGTAATTTGATCCAGGTTATTATTTTTGCCAGCTAAAATTATTATAGCTCCCTTGTCAAAATTAAAGTTTGAATTCTTAATTATGTTGAAAAGGCATTGTAGTTCTGAAACCGTAGCAGGATTTACAAAGCAAAAACATATTTGTTTCTTGCCTTCTATAGTGGGCTTAGTGGGAAAAATGGTGTTGTACAATTTGGGCTTAAGAATGTACTATTTTAAAATTACACAAAACAGCAACCTTAATTTGGTATACATTTTAAATGATGTAGAAAGTAAAATTTTCTAATTAACAGAAATAGTAAAAAAAATGTGGGAAAATGATAATAAATAATGACATAATAGAATTTTTTTATTGCGATAACAATGCCCCAATGAGCAGTCAATTAATAAACAGCAAAATATGTTGTATGGATTTAAATCCAGAAAACATAGCTACTGATAATGACAAAAGTCACATTTTATTGAGAATTGAACAGATTTAGATTCACAGTTTTTTGGGAATTCTTAACACAAAATTACAGCAGTTGAAGTGGCAGTTGAAGTGAACCAGTGGCGGCTTATTACAAGCCGCCACTGGTTCTAGAATATTGTTGGTCACTGCTATCAGATTTATGTAGTCTAGGGGGCAGGAGCTGATGTCCATTAAATAATGTGACAAATATGTGAAAATTCTGCAATTCGTTGGAACAATTACATGCAATTGGAAGAAGAAATTTTAATTGCTAAAAAGATGATGTGATGTGTTTGAAATTTAACATGTTTTGCCAAATTCTTCTGTATTTTTTTGGGGGGGGGGGTTACTGTTCTTCCCATGTACACAGCATTTTAATTTCATTTAAAAGAACATTGGAGAACTGCACAAATTCACCATCTTTCACAACATTAGTATTTTGCATTGGTTATCTAGCAGACACTTCTCATCATTATTCTCTTTAGCGATTTTGCGGCGAAATACTGTATTACTGCTGAAATTTTATTCACAGTTTCTTCCATTGCTGGCAAATTCAGAAATGCATAATTTAAAATTGTATTTAAAGCAGAACATAAATTATCAGTGATGTAATCAATGCTGTTTTGCAATATTTATGTGGCATTTTATCTACTATAGAATGTATAGCCCACCAGGGCTGAACGGTTAAGCCACTGAACACTAGTAGTTTGTATTCCAGTGAATAAACTGCCTGCATGAGCATTTTCATGTTTTTCTTATGTGTAATATGGATATGAGTTAGTTTCCCTTAGCCTCTTTAAGTGCTGCTCTTGAGGAATCCCTGCATAAAGGAATCCCTCCTATTAGGCAGATAATCATTGTATGCTTTGCCTTAATCTAATAAACAAAAGAAAAGGAATTACAGACTGTGCAATCACATTGCTATATAACTTTTTATAAATTTTAACCGTACTAAAACTTATTTAATAACTCAGGGTTTGTACGGTCTTAGGTTTTTCGGAATCGATTAAAAGTCCTTCATTTCAGCTAAAATCGGGAGAAGGTCCTCAATTTTTAATCATCTGAAATCATTTTTAATTTTTAATCATCTGTTTTTACAGCTGCATTTTTGAATGTAAATTTTGAAGCTATATTTTTAGCCATTCACTGACAAATGTGGCTATCTTTTGAATGGGTTCATGGGTTATAAATTTGTTCCTCATTCTAATACAAACAGTACAATACTGGAGTTTCTGTGCAAGAAGTGAAACATAAGCGTTTCAAAATTATTTAATATTTTGCTATGAAGAGCTGTTAAATAACTTTTCGCTTTTTATTATTTTTATTTTTGCTCTGGGTGAGACTCTGGCAACCATGATGACATTAAGAAAAATTTTCAGATTATTAAATATTTATTTGTAGATTTGAGAGCTATATTTGTTTTGGTATTCAGTTTATCTTTTAGTATTATATTTCAAAATTCTTTGATCAGGAAAAATATGCCGATAGCTACCATTAATATTGTAATTTTATCAAGTCGGCAGTTTCTGTACTTGAGTTTTATTATTTACTAGTGGAAGTATCTGATGCCAGTTAAATTAGATTGAGGTTAATGCATCTAATAACAGAGAAAATAATACCGCTGTAACCTTTCTCTAAAAATGTTGCAAGAAATATGATTTGTAGTCATACATTTTTTCAGTCTGATGCGATAGGAAACCCATATAAAAATTTTCAATAGAAAAGCTAATTCTCTCTTGTTATATCAACAACATTAGCATGCAGTTTTTAATGGTTTTTGTTTTTCTAATCAAATGGTAGTAAAAACTTAAGTTCCATCCAGTATTTCACCTATATTCAATTTTAGTCGATTAAATGTGGCAAAAATTCATCAGAAATCAATAATGTGAATAAACAAACAAATGCACAATCACACAGGCATTCTTCTTTATGTGTATAAATTTTGTAAAAATCACAAATTTTTTATTAACAAACTCTACGATTTAAAAGTGAGCAGTTGCAACACTTTTCGAAATAAAGCATTTTAACCTCCAACGCACTAGACTGTTGCCTCTCAGATAAATGAGTGCAAAAATTAGTGCTTTCAGAGTTTTCGATTAATATTTCGGCCAGTTAAAGTCGTACGAAGATGGGAATAGTCGAAATGCTTCCTACGAATTTTTGGAATCGGGAATAATATATTTAATGTTTGGCAATGCTATTTTTATTTCATTATAAAACTTAGAAATTTTTTATTTACAAACTCTAGAATTTGAAGGCGAGCAGTGGCAACAACTTTCGAAATAAAGCAGATTTTCATCCCCAGCTTGTGAGACTGTTGCCACTAAGAAGAATGAGAGCAAAAATTATTGTTTTTCTGAGATTTTAATTAATATCTCTGAATTTAGCTTTTGTGAAAAAGTGGACGTGGACCTTTTCGGAAAAGAATTGTAGAAAGTTTGGTGATGATAGCTACAGTAGTGATTGAGTTATTAGAGGACAAACAAACACACTTTCTTCTTTGTATATATAAATTTATAAAGATAAATCTTTTTTTTTTTTTTCAATTGAAATTTTTTTTATATGAATGAAAAATATTTCCTTTAGTGTACTTATTATAAAATTTAAAGTCATTTAAAAGATTGTTATTTATTTGCAGTGAAGTTTTATGTTTTTTTATGATACTGAATGTTATTTTTCTCAGGGCAGTGTCATCTGTAGTGTATTGTGATCGAATGAAATAATGGACACCTTCCCTGGAAGTTGGAGCGAAATTCTTGAAGAAATGCTTCCCCGAAATGAGTGTGATATTTGTAGCCCACCATTGGACATTGGTCCTCCTCCCCCACTGCCTGCAAACTTTCAAGATAAGGCTATATTATCTGGCAGCTGCAATGTTTGCAGTTTATTATCTGAAGTTGAAATGAAACCTATGCGTATGTAGTACAAGTTTCGTTTGTTAATTATAGTCTTTTATTTAGTACCATTATGAATTTTGTTTTATGTGTAAATTATAGTATCTCCTGTATAATGTAATATGAAAGACCTAAAAGTGAGAAGCATCATTGGAAAAACAGGATTACTGGGTTAAGTTCATTTAACATTGAGGTAAGTGGCTATCTCGTCAAATTGCTGAGATAGTGCCAAGCTGGCAACTAATTTTTGTTGCCAAATTTGGCAAGAAATCACCAAAAGATGCCAAACTTGGCTATAATTGGTGACATTTTGGTGGGATCCCTATGTAAATGTAATTGTGTGTGCCTTCCAGTAATTTCAAAAAGCCAGAAGTACTGGAAATTTCTCGATGGATGGAGGAAACTGGAGAGGACATCAGTTTTCAGTTTAGCTCAGAGTATTGAAAGATCGCTGTGCGAGCTTGCGCATTTGAGGCTTTTACTAATGCCTTGTGTTTAACATTCTTTATAGTTTGAAGTGTTAAGTGCTATGTCATAATGAGAAGAGCTATACAAGTACTTTTATGTGAAAAGTTCCAGAACCAGGAACCAGTTGATTTCCAGGGACAGATTCATCATGAGTCAGTCCTTTGTAATAAAAATATGCATCTCAGTATCGTCTTAGTCTTTGATTCTAGTATCCATGCTTTTTTTTCATGTGGGAGAAGACAGTCCTTTCCATTGTATACTGTGGAATGCTTAAATCTTAAAAATCTCTGTTGCTCCATCAAGGAGGCACCAGCGGCCAAGTCGCTGAACACTGGTAGTTTGGTCTGAGGTTTGAATCTTGGGAGTGGGTTGGTTGCACAGGCATTTTTATGGTTTTCTCATGTGTAATGTATATACGAGAAAGTTTCCAAAAGAAAGTCTTCCACAAAGGCATCCTTCTCCTTAGGCAGATAGCCCTCAAGGTTTTGCCGTAATCATATAAACCAAACCTCATACAATACAAGGTCTTTTAGCATTGTATATATAAAAAATTAATTTGTATTCACTTTTTATAGTCATAAAATTCTTTATAGTGAGTGCATTCTGAAAAAAAATAAATGTACAAAAATTTAAATTCAAGTTAAGATGAATAACTTATATAATCAAGTTATGTTTCAGAAATTTAATAGACATAATTTTACATTACCCCACCATAATATTTTTGAGAAACAAAATCTTTGTTATAAAAGAAGCCATAAAAATCTTTGTTATAAAAGAAAACTCAAATTTGAAAGTAAATTATCGTAATTAAATTTAGAATCTTGGAACTGTCATCTTAGGCCTCCAGACTTCTAGGATCAGATTAAATATCTTACGCCAATGAACACTTTGAAGTCAACATTCAGTATAAAATTATGACACTACAAACTCAAAATCTTACATTTTGTAATGATGTGCCTGTGGTAGGAAAGCCTTCACAAAGCCCTTATTCATCAAACCAGGACTATAATCTTTGGTACTTATATACTATCGCAACCATCTTGGCACAGTTTGGCAGTTTTTTACAGGTAAAAATGTAAAAAAGGTACTTTTCCGTTTCGCCGGCGCAAATCTCGCCAGGCAGACATTATTGGCGAAAACACATAGTATACACATAAAAAATGTTGACAAATGTTCTAAGAATTTTCTATTTTGAAGGTATAAGCATTTTTATGTTGTTTAAAATTTTGTAAAAAAGCCAATAAATAAAGACATTAATTTAAGAATTTACTATGCTTTCATTGTACAACATCCTGATTCGCCAGTTCATATCACATGACCCCAAGTGATCTCATCTCCCGTAAACTATGCTACAAAAATCTAATTCTCTCAGAAGTTATCTACATTAATTTCAAGTTAAATCTTAATTTGGAATACAAGTTTAAATGCAAGAATTATTTCAATTCGTACGAATAGCTTGCTCAAAAATTTTGTAAAACCGCAGTGCTTTACTTTGCTAGTGCATTCTCATTAGAATTGATGAATTGAACTCTTGACTTTGCCTTTTCTATATGTTCATCATCAGGTGAGTGGTGTGATTGCATTCTAATTGACTTAATTACCACTCGTGAATGGCCTTGCATAAAATTGAACTATCTGGTAAAAATTCTATGTAATTGTATGCCAGTATTGAAAGAAACAATCAATCTGATAAGAAATGGCTGTGACTCGTTTTTAAAATGTGAAAGTTAAAGTAAAATGTTACCAGCGAGGATATTTTGTTTGGCACTGGTTGTACCATTACTGGCGATTTTAATTGCTTGCGCCGGCAAAACGGAAAAGTACTGTGAAAAACCAATTAGCATGTGCAAGTTGGTGGTTTTTATGCATTCCTTTTTAGAAAGATTCACAAACTACCCACATTTATAGTGACTTTAGTAAACAATATCAACATAGGAAAAGCAAACATACTTTCAGCAATTTAAAATATATATTTGAATTATTAAATAAAGATTGTCATACATTAAAAAAAAATTCTCTTCTATGAATTTTTTTGTAATATCCCCCGTATAAAAGAAAGAAAAAAGGTTGCCATTATTTATTTTCAAGTTTTGTCCCTCATGGGAAGCTTTCATATATTTCTTTTTAGTTTAAAGTAAGTTACATAGTAGGTCAGTATATTACAATTAGTTGAATAAATGCCAATTTGAAAATTTTAAAATTTAGCTTTCTGTTTGAATTCCAAATTGCGACCAACAGAAATTTCTTGCAGCTACCAACTTTTAGATTTCAGAGAAAATATAAGTATTTGATATTTTGCTCTGTTATTTTTAATATGTTTTTACAAATAGTTAGCAAAATAAAATAATTTTTTAAGTAATTATTGCATGTCAACTACTTTCAAATTGTTCATTGACCTGTGTTCAATGTAAGTTTGAGACCAATGTCGTAAAGTATGGTTTATGTAATACATCTTCTTATGTTGTGAAGTGCCATAAAATTCATGGAAATGAGAAAGGTAGTGATATCGTTTTTCATATTTTTCCAAAGGACAAATTGTTTTTGGCGAAAAAAATTCATACATGCATCAAAGACAGGATTCTACGTATTAGTGAAGAACGCAAAAATTATCAGCAAACATTTTCTGTGTAGCAGTTGTGAAGATGACAGGAAAAGTCATTTGCTTGGATTGCCGCAAAAGATACTGTTAAAATCTGATACTGTGCTAAGAAAAATAGTGCAGAGTGCTTTTGAAAGACTACATGAAATTAAATTTGAAGAAAATTCATTTTGAGGCCGATAAAGAAAATTGTGATAGGAATAATAAATCAGATACAAATGATTTTAACCTGGCATTACTCGCGCAAAACAAACGAATGGGATTGCCGGCGCTGGGTTTGATATAACCAGGGCGGTTTCTTCCTCTCTTTTACCATTAAATCTGCACAAAATATAAAAGAATGAAAACAGAGAAGAGAAAACATAATTTTAAAAATTTTACCTTTCATTTGCACATTTCTGGCAAATGCATGCCATGCATACATGTTTTTCTTATTTTTCACAGATAAACTTAGTTTTTCTGTCTTTTTTGGCCCCGCATGTAGCACATCTTTTATTATGTCATCTTTACCTTCTTAGCAGGAGGTATATCGACCTCATTGTTGCCTACTTTTACTTTAGGCTTTAGTGGGAGCATTGCTTGTTGACTTTGTATTTTCTTTTAGTTGAAATACCAGTGTTTTTAGAAATGAAGGTCGGGTTCGATGCCTAGTAGGAGGTTTCTTTGTTGATAACAAAATTATATGTGTATTTATTACAGCAACATTCAACATGGAATAAAAAATAGCCATAGGTCAACGATTTTTTTTTTTTTCTTTTAACCATTGAATACGTTGCAGCCATTTCATCCACAACATAGACGGCTCTATAATTGACCAGCGCAAAAATTTTGATTCCGTATTTGGAATTTTTTTTTTTTTTTTTTGCGTATATTGCCGAAATGTGCATCGACCTCTGAAAGGTTCCAGTTTTTTGTCTATTGTGACATATTCTCCCACATTGTACAATTTTTGGCAATTTTCTACAAACACTTCAGAAAAATAATGTATTGTTGAATGTAATTGTTGAATTCTTTCCTGCTCTGGCGGGTTTGTGCATCATCAAAGTGAAGGCATCTCAATAAAAAATAAAAATGTGTTGATGACGTAGTTGCATGAAATATTTCAGTTCCAGTACCATCTGTTGTCCAAAGATCTCGTGTATATATATATATATGAGATAATTTGTGCAAACCAATGGAGATATAATAATTCAATAAATGCTTTAATTTCAGATCATTTGCATATCTCGAGAAAAGTGCTCTTTAATCGAGCGAATAAAAATATTAGTACATTGCACTAATTTTTATCAAATTATTTGTTATATTATCCTTTCTTATAAACTAGTCACTTTCATTTTAATCAGAAAGATCGCTCTCTAAGTCAGATTCTATTTCAGTCGAAGATTCGTGTTCACTGTAAATTTCTTTATCATCTGCCTTTTCATTATCGGAAAACTCATTACCTTAAGACTTTCTTCATCCGAAGAAATGGTATCAAGTAAATTTCTTAAATGTCACATTTCTTCATCATAACTTCAAAAACGTACCATAATGAGAGAACAATTTCATTGCATCTACCAGTGTTCAGAATTGTAACAGAAATGCTCGTGCTGGATGTGACATACTCTGGAGTGGCGTTTCAAAATATCTATTATTAGAACTCTTTCCCCTATTCTTCCCTTCTAAGATTATGACATTGGGGGCAGCTACAAGAAGAATCACCCATTTTTTAAAAAAAAAGTTGGAGAGAAATAGCAAAAAAACGGAGGGGGTGGGTATGACATATCCAGTGCAATCCAACTCAAGTTAAAATGGATCTGACAAATGGTGATATAAATATTGTTGAATTTCCTAACTGTAAAAATAAGCAAAAATGAATTGATAATTAAAAAAAAAGGGAGTAGCTCGGCATTTTAAGTAATTTATAATAGTATAAAACATCAACGTAATTTCACATAAGAAAGATCTTCCTCCTTTGTCCCTCTTTTGAAAGATTGAGCAATTCTTTTTAGATGCTGTGAGCAAAGTTGTTTCGTCAAACTCTTAAGGCAACGATCTTGTATTTATTTAAATGTAATATATGTGTATAAATGTGAGTATAATTTAGACAGTTATTTTTAAAATATCTGTTATTATATCAAATCTGAAGAGAAAATATGCTAAATATAAAATTTAGAATAAGGTCAAAAAGGCAATCTTAGATTAGATTAAATTTTGAATAAAACTACCGATTTTAAGAGGTCAAACATAACTTTCTCTTCTTTAGCTGCAGAAAAAAAAAAAAAAAATTGACATATATATTCTCAAAGCTGTGCCAGACTAAGGAGTTCACCCCCTCCCCAACTTTAAAACACTATTATTATAGTTATCTTGGAAACAGTAATAGAATTCTCTCACTGAGTATGCAGATGAAGGAAAGATAATCAATGCCATAGTTTTTTCCTTCGTGATTGAATAATAAATGCATAGGGGGGAACCTACTGCATTTAAGAAAATGTAGCGTATTTTATCTATTATTTTTAAATTAATAAATTTAACATTTAAAAAGTTAATTATTAACTTTTTTTAATGTATAAATGCTTACAGTAATAACATCTTTTCTAATTTAAAGCTGTTTTTTTTTTTTTTTTTTTTTTTTTTTTTCCCAAATGTAAATGTTTATTTCTTTGTTGTGAATTGCATTTTTGCAGTCAGTGTCAAACATAACTATGTCATCACCCCTCACTTCCTGTTTCAAGGGAAAAAAGTTTTGTGAACTAGCTTTTCTGTTCTGAGTCCTGCTCACATTATCCTCAAATGCTGCTAAAGGCCATTAGGCTATAGAATGGGCTATTAAAAAACTAATGATGAAGTTCAAGAATTTACTCGTTAAACTGTGAAAGGCATGGATGAATTAACGGTGAGAACTAAAAAATGTATTTCTGTAATGAATGATTTTGCATCTTGAGCAAAGATAGGAATGTACAATTTGAACCATTTTGCCAAAGGCAAACTCCACTTCCAAAAAGTGATATGTAATTACTGCAGTTGCATTTATAGCTCAGAAAGTCTTCGTTTAATCCTAAGTCTGAAAATGCAGAGAAAGAGTGACGCAAAATGGTGCGAAGCATATCCTTGAAGCAGAGATGTCTTTAATTAAAATTATGAATTTCAAGGTCTGTTGCCAGTTGGTTCCAATTAAGTTTAATAATTTTGTTTCATATTCTATACATCAATTATTTTCAGGTTTTCATTTCTGTTTATTAATAAATAGAAATTGTAAAAAACTATTGCACTTTCTTGAATACACATACTATTATCTAAAAATTAGTAAATGTGCTGTTTTATATGTACATAGCTTTTAATAAGTGATTTTATTACAAATAAATTTATATATTTAGAAGTCACGGATGCATCTTTACTGCCTGTTGCTGCAACCTTTGTTGTTGGGATCATTTTCGTAATAATAACACTGATTGTGCTTCTTCTAAAGATCAAAAAGTAAGATTAATTTTAAAATATTTGTATGTATTTTCTTTCTAATGCATTTTTAATGATTAAGAATATTTATTGTATTTCAAAATAATTCTTGTTGATTTTTTCAGCACAAGTTTGTTTAATCATGTTAAGTTTTATTCATAACTTTTATTATTTAGTTTAATTTTTAGGTAAGCATCTTGCGTTCTTCAGTGAAGTTACCGACTTGTTTAAGAAATAATAATTAAAATAAAAATTAGTTGTTTCTTAAAATTAGGTGTGATCATAATTATATAATCATGAAATATATCAAACCGAGGGATGGTAGATATTCTGAAAAAATTAGTTTAGAATAAAATCTTTTTCAAAATAAAAAATTAAAATGTAAATGTACAGTGCCTAACAGTTGTATTCACCTTATTGTTCAGAGCGTGGAGTAGTTTATCAGGTAGGATACAGAGCAAATTTGGTATCCCGAATCACTCTTAATTCTTACTTGCATTCAAATCATAAAACTCATTTTGTATTTTCATCAATGTAATTCTTTCTTTAATAAGCAGTTTTTTTAGCCTAATAAATATTCTATAAATCAGTAATTTTTAACTGTCTTGCATACAGTTTTGTACTTTCATACTGATTTTCTTACTTTCCGGTTCTGAATACAGGACGATCTTTTTATATTTTCTCTGGTTACATTTATTGCTATTCACATCTTTATTGAGAATTTTAGTTCCTTTTTGTGGCTTCAAAATATATACAATATGGCATGTGGTTTTATCAGGCATTATTTGCAAGTTAAAAAAACGCTTGTGATATTTTTATTTTTTGATAAATTTAATTTTTAACTAAACTAATTTTTTTGATAAATTTAATTTTTTTGATAAATTTAATTTTTTCGCTGCTAAAACTTTTCAAGAAATTTTGGTGGTATATGGTTGGCAAAATATCTTTCAACTGCGAGAATATACCCCATGCTAGCATCACTGGAACATTTTTGTTGAACAGATTTAAAGCTTATTCGCAAATTCTCTACAGTGAAATGGATCCTTATGACTGCTAACTCTCCTGTTTTTTCATCACATTTGTCAGTCCCCCAGTAAATCACTGAATCTCTTGGTTTTTAATTTCTATCATTTAAGAAACAGAAAGTATTTCCCAGTAATAAGTGAAATTTATTGAATTAATGCCAATTAAATTCGAAAAATTCCATTGCTCATCTCTAAGGATTTTCAGAATAGTTTTTCTATTAAATTTTTTTAATTGCATTTTATCGATCTGTGTCTTAATTTTCTATTAAATTCTTATTATTAAACTTCATTCATCCAAGTTTTCTTAATTTGGAAACATTTGTAGATTTTATATGAAGATTCAAGGAATATTTAATCAGTTATATTCATATTTAATATTGTCTTGCATCAATATGCAATGTGTTACTAAATTTATTATCGTGTAAATGTATATTATTTTCAATTTTTATTTATTAATTTTTGTTTATTAATTTTGTTATTATTTATTTATGTCTAAAGTCAATAAAAACTTTGCTTCACTACTTAAAATTTTCTCAGTATAAAAGTGTAAGAAAATAATAATAAAAAAAAAAAATGAAATTAGCATGCGTACGGTAATAATGGATTGAAATTGAAAATCCTGCTCGAATCGCAGAACTTGAATGTGGAGGGTTAATTAGAATACAAAGCATGTTTCATATCTTGTATCATCTTACTTAGACTCATATTGTGAAACTCATTTTATATATTTAAAGAATAATGTAATTATTTCTTTTCTTTTAAACATTAGTATCTACTTTGCATAGTACTTAATGAGTTGCATTTTGGTGTATTTATACTTTTGTGTATTATGATGAATGCATTTGTCTAAAATGTTATTTTCATGCTCCATTTATTTATTTTTTTATTTTAAAGGTGTCAAGCATTTGTGCCACATGGTAAGTTTCTGCATATATATATATACATATAATCATACATATAGAACAAATATCAATATATTTATATATATTTTATGCTCATTAAAGGTAACTATTTCAAGTGAAAATACAGTAATATTTATTTATAACTTTGTATATTCTACAAAGTGAAACATATATAATGATTAACAAGTCTGAAATAGAAAACATTAAAAATAGGCTTTTTGGAAAATGGCAAATAATATTAAGTACACTACTCAAAAGTGAAATTGCAACATCAAGAAAGAGTGCTCGTAGTGTCATGCAAAAGCAGGATCGAGAGTTGTGAGATGGATATGCAAATGATTAAAAAACCAGACACATAAAATCATTATAAACCAATTTATTCAGTATCTAGTGTGCCCACCTTGGGCAGCGATACAAGCCGCAATCCGGCAAGGCATGCTATCGATGAGTTCATTGATGGCTGCCTCAGGTAACCTTTGCCAAGCCACATCAACTGCTGTACACACATCATCCAGTGTTTGTGGCCATGGTCCTTGGTTAATGTCATGTCCAAAGACATACCACAGGTGTTTGATGGGATTCAGATTTTGAGAGGTTGCTGGCCAGGGTAGGATGTCAAATCTGATCAGGCTGTTAAGAGTATGTCGTGTGACATGCAGCTTACCATAGTCTTGCTGGAATACTGTGTTAGGTGCGCCCTAACCAGAGCAGAACAACAGGCTTCACAACTTGCGTGACGTAGCGTCCGCTGTCAAACTGCCATTAATGTGTACCAGGGGCATGCTTGGTGCCGGACCGGTGTGACGCTCGCCGAAATGGGCTGTTTCGTTGAGTCGTCTGGGTCACCCGGCCAGCGGCTGTTATTCTTCCACAGACAGAAACGAGATTCATCCATGAACAGAACTCGATGCCCTACGATGGTCCATGCACTATGGCGCTGACACTTTACCAGGCGTCTACTCTTGTGTTCAGCCGTCAATGGTACCGCTGTGGCTGGTACCTGTGAACGTAAGTGCACTTCATGCAATCTGTTGCAAATAGTTTGGGTGGACAAAGACCCACCTACTCCTGGAGGCTTTGTATGTCATGTGATGTGGAGAAAGGGTCTCCAGTAGTTGACCGCCGAATATGCCAGTCTGTGCGTTCTGACTTGCACCTATGAAGAGTAAGTGGTGTGTGCACGACTTACTCTTCAACATGCATGTACATACCACCTTCCTGAATCCATCGTGTGACCCAACGTTGGATGGTACTCACATTGTGCCCAACACGGACGGCTATTGTGCGTAGCAACAAACCAAGCTCGTGGAGTTCGATAATACGGTAGTGTTCCCTGGTCGTCAACTGATGGTATTGAGCTCGCTGACGTCTCAGAGGCATTTTCTGTGCTTCTTCTAAAGTCTCCAATGTCCGGATGCTGTTCATGAGAAGAGAAAGTGGCTAACCATTATAGCCTGCATATGCGTACCACATGAACCAATGTGTGAGCAACTTTTATCATTTGTATATCCACCTCACAACTCTCGCTCCTGCAGTTTGCATAACGTTACGCACATTCTTTCTTGGTGTTTCAATTTCGCTTTTGAGAAGTGTAGTAGGATGCAGTTCCAAAAGGCGTTTATAAAATTGCAAAACTCAGCAGTTATGTTGCCGTCTATGTTCAGTTAGTGGACTTTGGCAAGTTTGTCATGACCAAGTAAAGACCTTAAGTCAAACTAATGAGAGACAGCAAAGAACAACTAATGTCAGCAGTATAATATTTTTTATGAAGGTTTGGTCTGTACAATTCGTTACACAAAGTGTAATTAGTTCCTTAAAGCTACTTTCAATAACAAATTTTAATGTTAGAAAGTATTATATCCACTATTGTGGTGAAAGCTCATGTCTTTTGAAAATAAATTAATGCTATTAGTTTTTCTTTTTCTTTTTTTAGCTGGATTGTTCTTTTAATATTTATTGATGTATTCTGAAATTTAAAATTAAAAATCATAAGTTTTAAAAATAAATTTCTGAATTTTTGATTGAATAGCTAATTTGGTGTCCCTTCTATTTGTTCACCTGAGGCAAGTGCCTCAGCCTTGTCCCGGCCCTAGTTCGAAAGCTTTGTTGCTTTTAAAAGTGATATAAAAGAACTATGTTGCCACTTATGGTGTCTTTTGAATTTAATTGCATTGTAGAAAAACAGGAGCACCTATAGCCATTATATTTTGAGCATTTAGTTCTTCATATGAACATATGCACCTCAAAGTTGAAATTTTGCTTTTGTTTGTTTATTCATGTTTCAAATTTAATTAGAAAACTCTGCAATATAAAAGAAGTCTGTTGCTACACAACAAAGCATGAGATACTTGTCTTTCAAATTTAGTAAAAGAACTCAGCGGTTTTTTTAAAAAAGTGTTGCCACTGCCTAATAGTAAATATTCTTAGCTTCCTCATGTTAGTTTTTTACTTTTTGTCGAAGTGTAAGAAAGTTAATTTTTCTCTAAAATTTATTTTATTATTAATTAAGAAACTAAGTGATTTAATAACTATAAATTTGCATTCATTTTAATTACTGTTAACTACGTTACCATTTGCTCCAAAAGAGACTTGCTGATTTGAAATTTGTTTTTAGCTGTTAGCAATGGCACATGCTTGTCAGGGTTTATTATGGCCTGAACCATTACTCCCAAAATAGATTTGTCCCGACATGTATTTTCAACTTCGTAGAATGAGTCAAAAATGAAAAGAGGTTATTGATGGCTTAATTGATCATGCTGTCTCCACGGCTGGGTTGTGTCAAGAAAGCAAAGGATGAGGGATCGCTTTCTTGGCATAGATCCCCCCTTTTACACATGCCATGAGATCCACACTTAATGATTGATACCAACATTCCTTTAATGATTTTCAGAATAATTTTTCTTATTAAATTTTATTTAAACTGAATTGTATTTTTCTTATTAAATTTCATTTGACCAGAGTTGTATTAATCTGCTGTAGACATTTGTATATTTTTATATGAAGATTCAAGCAAGATATAACCAGTTAATATTTGTATTTAATTTTATCTTACTACAGTACATGGTGTATTACTAAGTTTATCCATGCTAATTTTTTATTTATTAATTACTAATTTTATTTTTGTCATTTTTAAAAGTACTTGGATAAAAAGAAACTTCTTCCCTACTCAGAAATTTTGTCAGTGTGAAAGAGTAAGAAAATTTTAAAAGTGAAAATAGTGAAAGAAATGAGATTATCATATAGATATTAAATCTATTAGTAGATCAAATCTATTAGTTATAGATTAATATTGTGTCTATTAGATATAATATCTCTAATAGATGTTATTAAATATCAAATAGAATACCAAACTAAATACGAATATATTTTTAGTCAGAATTGTATTAGTTTAATAACTTGAATCATGCATTATAAAGTGAGTTTTAGTCTTTAATAAACAGAAGCTGTCCTTCCCTACATTTTCTGAATTTGCTTTATATAAAATTGTCAGAAAAAGTACAAATAATTAATATATTTAACATCATAATTGTAATATTAATAGTTGAATATACTGAATTATGTATTATGAAGCAAATTTTAATCAATTTTGAGTTTCTTTCAAATGGTGCCATTGTACCTCCTAGAAATGTGTTTTTTCATGTACAAAGCTTGGTACCTATGGTATTTCATACTTTGCCAGTGCTTTCTGTGAAATGTCTTAAGTAGCCTATAGCAGTGGACTCAAACTCAAGGGCAGCATGCAGGCTACCAACAAATTTCAGTTATGTATTTATTTTTATACACTATTCGTAAATTTCAATATAGCATAAATTCATTAGCCAGTGAATTGAAATAAGTGTTTATCAGGAAAATAGAAAAGCGCTAGTAAATATTTCAGCAGTCATTACTTTCCAGTTCAGTTCCAAGCTAGTGCTGGCTCATAGCCAAGGGTACATATGTTGTTGTTGTATCTCATTTGTCTGACATATTCAGAATAAGCCCATGAATAATATTATAGAATGGAGTGCAGTTTTTGCAACTGTTATTTAGTATGTGCCTGTCAATTCCTCCCCAATTTTCAGAGAGAGTACACTGTTTGGTCAGGTCTGAGGGTTTCCTAACCCTCTTCCACTAACACCAAACCATATAAAAGGATTTTTTGTTCACTATGTATGTAGAGTGCCCTCTTGCCACAAAGACAGTTTACCTTTAGAATATCCATTCCTTTTCCAAGATTCAGACCCAGGCTTTTCAGTTCGGTAGTCGGTATGTTGCTGCAATCAGTAACTTTATTTGCTAGCCAAAAGTTTGTAAAACATTTATATTTTGGTAATATCCTCACCCCCCCCAATGAGTTGGTACTTGAGTCAGTATTGCTTGAAAATTAACAAGTCTAATGAAAAGGCCTAATTGGCCTATGATCCAAGATGAACATATTTTCCAGCAATTTTTCTTTAAGGGTATAAATGTTACCAAACTTGAAGCACCATCAGGTATCAAATACTTATTTACATACGATCATATGTATTTTTCCTGCAAATGAATAAAAAATTTAATATATTAAGGAAAGAGAATAGGTTGTCAGTATTTATTCTCAAGTTTTGTTCCACCGAGTAAGTTTTCTGTGAAAATTTGGTAAGCTTTTATTTATTTCTTTATTTTTTTTTTCATGTTAAAAATAAATTATTTAGTCATTGATTCAACATATTAGAATTATTTGAAATAAATTTTAATCCCAGAATTTAATATTTAGCTAATTATTTGAATTGCAAAATGTAACCAACAGAAATTTGTTACAGATAAAAAAATACACACGATAAATTTGAATTTTTTCTGTCGCATTATTATTGTTATTATTTGTATACATGTGTTTTGATAAAATTGAGTAAGCGAAATTAAGTTAAAATGTAGTTTACTTATTTGAAATTTAGTTTTAAAACATCTGGCTACTCAACTGCTTTCAGGTCACGCATGCAGCACATCAGCTGCTTTCTGCGCCCTGTGTGCTATTTGAGTTTGAGACCACTGTTCTATAGAATGTTGGCTTTCTTGCGCTGGCAATAACATATAACTAAATAAAGTACTTTGTTTCAGCAGTTTGTTGGATATTCCCGAGAAATGTTCTTCCTCACACAGAACTTGCTCCTAGTTCTCTCCCAAGTCCTTCGCCGAGTATGGAAAAGTTGAAGGACTCTGATGGTAAACGGCAGTGGCACACTTCATCACGTTCATTACAGTCTGAGAATATCTATGAAGTCTGCTCTCCTCCATCACCAGATTCCCTTTATGAGGAAGTTGGTCCTGGCCCCAAGTCAGAATGTTCACCATACGGAGTAGTTATGGTGGAAAATTCATTCAATGCTCTGAATAAAAATGGGTTGTCCAGATCTGCTTATACTTCAGAGATAAGCCAAGATTGTATGGCTGGTTCTCACTTTCAGCCGTGTTTGATGCGCAACATCTCACTGCCTAGTTCTCGATTTTCTACCTTTGGTGGAAGTGCTCATGGGTTTGTGAATCCAGTGATACGTGATTCGCATGTAACTGGCTCACAAACCTTGCGTTCGAGTTTTCGACCAAGAAATGCACCAGGATCTGGAGGATATGTACAAAAACGAGAATTGCCACCAGTTCCTGGAGATAATAATTATTAATTGAATAAAAATTGTAATTTGAAGCTTTGTACTTCGAAAAATCATTCCACCTTTTTTAAGAGCCTGTAAGGAAATGCAGATGTACAAAATTATATTGAATTTATTTGGACTTATATTACTACAAACTTTGCTTTTTATTTTTACTCATTTTATAGATTTATTGTTTATTTTTAAATTTTGTTTGATAATAATGTACTTTTGATGGTATTTTTTGTTTAAAAATTGCATAATATTATGCTGCATTTTGTAGGCTATTATTGGCATTAGTTTCCAGCAGATGTGCAGAAAATATAGTATTCTCAATTGAATGAACATCTGAAAAATATAGTTGCTTTCTTTCTGCTTTAAGATTAGTTTAATTTTCTTTTTGTTTCTCTCTTTTCTCAATTAAATTTATATATCATTTAGTAAAGATTTGAATTTATTCATATGTTGATTTTTATTATATTTTGATAATTAAAAAAATGAGAAATATAATTTTTAAGGATCATTTCAAAAGCCATTTTTTAAAAAACTGATTGTCTTTTACATGATTAAATAATTTTGATGATTCACTATGCCTTTCTTCTTATTCAAATGTAATTAAAGAAAACAAACAGAATTACAGCTAAGAGATTATTAAATTCGAACGATATAACAAATTGTAATAAAAAATATGAATAATGGAGAAAATTTTTCATATTTAAAAAATAAATGTGAATTTTTAGTTTGTAAATTATTTATTTGTATACTATGATCATGTAATTTCTTAAGATTTGACATCTTGTGTTTAAAGTCTAGTATTAAAGGGACCAGCTTTTTTTTTATGCTGTTTTAAAATATTATATTAAGGAAAAAAATAAATTGTATCAACATATGAAAAACATTTTTCAATTAAAAAAGTGTATATTTTTTGTTTAATAGAACCATGAACAAAAATATCTTTCTCAAAAGTGAAACTAGTCTAAAAATGATAGAAATATTTTAATAAATTTACTATTATATTTCCTTTTAGTGTCAGTTTTATACAAGCAAAAAGTATTTTAGGTATGATTAAAAATGATGGTAGTCATAAAAAATTTTAAGTAACAGTGTGCTTAATTTCAAAGCTAATGTGAAAGTTCAGATATTTATACTATAATTAATGGAAGTTGCTTAAGAGAACTTTCTGCAAGAGTATTTAGACATTTAATACTTAATATTTTTTAATATTGTTGAGCATTTAATGCGTTTATAAGTTGCACAAGCTACCATATTCTCATGTGTATAAATCGTGCTCATGCACAAGCCACATCCTGAGTTTTTTTCCTTTAATTTAGGCATTTAAAGCCACACCCCTGATTATCATTTGTTTTTTTTGTGGAGAAAAAAGTGTCATATGCACGAGAGAAAACACAGTATTTGTTATTCTTTTATGTTTATTTTTGTGTCATCAAAAATCGCAAATTTGTTTTAGGTAGTGTATTTGCTAGTGTATAAGATGCATCTCATATTCAAAAGTTTTTTTCCTTTGGGGGTGGATGATTACTATATACCTGATATATTTTTAATCAAGTTTATTACAGAAATAATATTTTGTAATCTTGGTATACAAAATTTATATTGTTACAAAAAGAAAAAATGTTTAAGTAAATTTATAATTATACAACATGAACTCGAGCAGGTACCTTTTAATAAATACTGTACATTATGTTAATTTTCAGAACTTGGCAGATTATCATTTAAAAATCTCAGAACCGTAGTTGCCACCATCTTTAAGCATTTCATCATCATATAGACTTAGTAATGGTGCTAGTTTTCTTAGTCTAACAGGCAGAAATAAAAAATATCCTTATATTTTAATGTTGTGTAAGAGCACACTGTTTTGACAAAATGCATTTTATCCATTTGCAAATGCATTAATTTTGCATATTATTGAGTTATACTGCATTTTTATAGTGTTCTACTTTTTATATTATTATAGGCAGAGTCATGTGTATTTCTTATGTAATTATTTCCGGTTGTATTCTGAAGTTATACATTTGTCTGTTTTATTTATTTTAATAGTTTGTTTTTAAAAAGGTGTTTTTTAAGCTTTTTTTACAGAAAATATGTACTAAGTTTTGAATTTTTATATTTTTTAAACTTATTTTTTTTAATGTAATTGTCAAAATTTGTTGAAAACTTTTGGGAGCTTTAAAACATATTAGAAGGTGAAGTCATTAGTAATATTGTGAGACAAATTATAGTGTGTAAATAAGTTAGTATTTTAAGAAGTAATTTTATGCAGCATTTTATTCAGAATTTATGTCATATTTTGAATTTTTAGCATTTATTGTTGTTTCTTCTTAAGAAACAAGTAAGGTATCTTGTTGTAAGTTTTAATATATTTTTCATGAAAAGTTGCAATTTAATATGTTATTCATTCGCAATTAATTATTATATTGATTGACACAGATACCAGATACATTTTAATGAATTTATCATATTTTTCAATTAAATTTACAGATAATATGAAGCACCGTAAGTCGAACGTAATTCCCCTTCCCCTTTTTGTATTTTTTCATTGTGCACCTGCTATACATTTTAGTGGGGGGTTTTTAATGGTAAATTGTTTCTGGTTGTAAGAATAGTTTATAAGTCGTGCATACATGGCAGTTTTCCATTATGCACATGGACATGGTACTTTTCTATTTTCTTCTTACATATTGCCCTGGCAGATACATAATGGGAAAGTACCTTTTTTTCTTTTAATCCATTATTTGAATCAGTGCCTTTACATTTTGTTGGAGAAATTTTATTCTAAAAAACATGATTAATTCTGCAATGTATTAAAAATATTATTTAAGAAATGAAGGATATTGGAGGAAATTTTTTAAGATAATTTATGCAGCTAATTTCCTATGCAATTTTTGTATTCCATATTTATGCATGTTATAATTATGCAAGAGCTATAAGCATTGTGAATGTTTAAAGCAAATGTTCCAGGCAGACAAGTTAGACAAAGATATCTAATTTTACCTGCATTAATAAAAATAATCTCATTTTATTATTGTTTATTATATTTAAGTGTATGTGATTATAAGGCATTAAATAATGTTTTCTTTTATTTGGCTACAAGATATGAAAAAATGCCAGTTTATTAATAACAGAAGGAGTGTTCCAGATAAGAATGAGATTTGAGATCTTTTTAACACAGCACTGTGTAAAACTGAAAAATTTAATCGTAATACTGTATAATTAGTTCTTTTCAGTGTGAACATTTAAATTGTTTTTATCCTATTTTTTGTTTGAAGGTTTGTTAGGTTTTGCATGTCTTAGTTCAGTGGCCTCAAACTGTGGTTGTTCATGGGCCACATGCATTATCTGAAAACAACTGACAGGCCAGAATTTTCAGAATCTTGAATTTTAACACTTTATATGAAACAAATTCATAATTGGAATGTCTTTGTATGCGACCAGTCAGTTTGGGAGCAGTGTCTTAACGAATGTTTTATAAATTGGCTTTCAGTAAGTTCTCTTAAAATTTGAAATTGTAGTAAACTTTTATTATTGAAGTTAAATTCTATTTAAATGAGTCTAGTGTTGAGGCTTCATTTCTTTCTTTTGTTCTTATTTCCTTGTATTAAGGAAGTATGGTAATAGAGAAAAATGTTTGGTATCATATTTCAAAAGAAATATCCATTTTGACTATAAGTATCTAAGGGACTCTTTATTCCAAAATGGATTGTAAAACAGATTCAGAATAAATTTTTTCATGATATCTTTTTGGATGTATGTATCTTACATAACGTAAAAATGTTTAGCCATAGAATGTTAAAATGTTGTGTATGCAACTATTACAACTTCTACTTATGCACCTCTCTTTTTTATTGCAGTTGGCAGTACCCAGTGTATATACACAACCATACGTCTTACTTTGCTTAAAATGACCCGGCCTATATTTTTGCATTTGTTGGTCATATTTATATACTTCCAGTCTTTAAAAGTCTCTATAAGTCTTTTAAATGATGAAAATATTCATATTTTGGCTATGTCAAATTTAAAAATAATTAATTTTGTACAAATAACAAAATTTAACTATTACTGCAATCTTCCCGTTCCTATATACATATTTGGAAAACCTTTATATCCTTATGTTTAAAAAAATTAAAAAAAAAAAAAAAAAAAAATACAAGAGGTTTGTCATCTATATGACAAAAATTGAGCAAGATATTTAATTTTAAAATTTGCTGTATTTTCAACTTGCCGTGAGGGATTGGTTCATTAAATTAGAATAATTAAAGAAAATAAGTTTAACTGAAGTACAACAAAAAATTTTTACAGTTTAATAGACCATACAGTGAAGCCATGATATCCACATCAGATTCCTTTCATTTTGAAGCATTTGCTTTTAATAATGCTCCAAAACCTTTTGATATCTGTAATCTTGGGGATACGTTGAGCTGTTATTCTACTTTGACACAGTCATTTTTTTCGTTGTTCAAATAGTGGGATTAGGATTAAATGCGATTCTTCATTTTTGATGAGTTTGAACATACTTTTGAATGGAATCAGTACTTATAGATTTGAAGTCAGATTTCTTTGCAAAAATTTGTTGATCTGTTTTGGATTTATGAGCCATCATTTTGGGAATTCCAGATCTGTAATTTGATGAAGATGTGATATCTTCACTTTTTGAGCAATTTGGCAGATAGAAACGCCCATTATAAAAATGTACTGTTATGCTTTTAATAGTTTTCATTAAATCAGGTGCTATTTTATAAGCAGTTGTAATATTAAACATTTAAATAATGTAATTTTCTCATTCTTATCTGAAATACTCTTAAGTTTATGATTATGTGCCTGTATTTTATATTGTGATTCAAAAAGAAAGAGCAGTAAATGTTATGTTTATTATTTAATTTAAAGTGGATAAAATGATGACCAAAGGCTGTAATGTTTCTGTTAATATATTTTTGACTCATTTAAGATCTGTTAGATATCACCAAAATTATCTGTTGGTGTCTATTTAATACTTAACAGCATGTCCATTTTACTGATTTTGCAAAGAGTTAGTGTAATTTACTTGAAAGAATTATATTTGTTTGAATGAAGGTATTTTTTTATAAACTTAATGCCTTTGAAGGTCTGTTAACTCTTACTGTGTTTAAAATACTGTATGATGCTCATTGAAAAGCTATTTTAAAAAATCATTTGGGTTTTAAATTTTAAAATGCATTTTTTTATTATAGTAACAATGTTTAAAATAATTTTCATATTTTGTCCTCATATTGGCCCAAATATAAAATGCTCTCACATGTAAGCTTTGCGTGGATAAAGTTGTTTTCTAAAGGGAGAAAATAATTATAAGATGATCTCTCATTATGAGCTTGGGGTGTCGAAAGTGTTTTACAAGAAAACAAAATGAAATTGACTCGATATCTTAAGTTTAAACTAAGTAAATAAGTTTTTAAAAAATAACAATACAAAACTTAAAGGAAGTGAACTATTTGAAGTGTTCATTTTTTCTGTTTCACAGATTTCATGTCCTGTTAAAGGGGAGAATGTTGCAAATCCATTTGATAGCAATTTTTGTTGCAAGTCTTGTGTGCACAGTCCGGTGTGTGTGTGAGGGAAACATGCTGTGTCTTGAAAAATTAAGCTTTTATCTTTATTAAATAACAGCATAACTGTACATGGCATTAATTTATGATGTAATTATATCACAGCAAGTTTTTTTGTACCATCTGCCATCTGGCATTACTTTGTTGAGTAGCTCATTTTAAATATATCTGTTCTATATTTTAAATTTCTGTGCTTTTCTGTTATTAGGACCTGATTCAGAAATGTGTGTGTGTGTGTGTGTGTATGTATGTAAGAGTATACACATGTAAACGCACATACATACATACATTTTTTAATTTGATCCCAATAACAGAAAAATAGCTGGATTGCTTAAGGATTGATTGTTAAACTAGTCGGCATCCCATGATTGTTTACCATAAAATTATTTCAGAAGTTAAATTAGCAAAAGATCAGGTTCCATTGTTTTTTTAAATTTAACTATTAAAAAATATGTGTTAGTTTGTAATTATTTTTATTTATTTATTTTTTAGTATGAAAGATAAGGAAGGAGAGATTAAATATCTTAATACATTTTTTAAATATTAGGCTGTATTTCCCCTTCCCTCCCCCAGAAAAAAAAAACTTTATGTGGGCCAATATGCTAGTGTAATTCTTTTCAAAAGTTAGTAATTGAATATAGTATAATATATGTATGGTAATGTGAGCATTCGAAAAACATTCCAGAAGTTTTGATATTTTTTCATTCTTTTGGTACTTTTCTATTATCATGACCGGATTTGGACATGTATGTATGTGTATACACATGCACTCATATAAATACATTCATATTTCTGAATCTGGTCATAATAATAGGAAGGTACTATTATTTCTGTTAAGTATTAAATTGAAAACTTTAATTGCTGTCAATTTTTTTCACTAAAATTATTGCAAAGACCAGTGCCAAAAAATTATGTATTTAGAAAATACTATCATGCTGTATTCTTTGGTGTGTGAGGAAATAATTTACTTTCCATCAAAACATCTGTGTGCCTGTTTTAAGAAGTTTTTGCAGTTTTCTTTTCCAGGAATGTCAGCAAATTAGTTTTGATAACTATTTAGAAAACGAATTTACCAAAAGGGTTATTTCCTTGCTCAACTAGTGCTATATCTGTACATTGCTGTTTCAGTGGTTTAATCTGAGCTTCAAATTTTTGACTTTTGAAAAAATGCATGAAGAAAAATGAATATGTGTCAATTTTCAGTGGTTGGTGTATAGTAATAGGCTAGTATTTCAGCTGCATATTTTTTGGTAGGGTTGTAGAGATTTATTATAGTTAGTATTTGTAATTCTGTGGCATAATTATATTCTGCGATTTTTTACCAATATAATACCGACTTAAACACTTTATATATGACAAAGGTATTTGAAATTTTATTCAGTATTTGAAACTCTTGAGGAGAAAGTTGAAAACATGTTACCATTAACGGTAAAAGAGAATCTGAAGATTGACTTTCGTTTTAGTATGAAAAGGTTACAGATATTTTAACATATTTACTGCCATCTATGAGAATACTCGTAGTTAGCAAACTGAGTTTACTTACCAGCTACTTAGCTAACTTGTTATTGATCGCCATACCTAAATCGCCAAGTATAAACGTTTCCGTAGCAAATGCTTGCAACATTTAGTTATTTGGTGTGGAGGAAAGAAATAAACAATGCATTTTGCAAACTAAAGCGGATAATTTATTTCACTTGGGAGATCGTGTAGTGATCTGGTCAAATTCTTGTTCAATGACTTGCAAAATTAATAGAAAATAACTTATCATGTAGACGTTTTGCGTAAATGTGCAGAATGGGTGAGTATTAATTACCTATTTATGTGTTATTTAGTAGTCAGCACAGGGAGCAAAAGTATTATTTCATGCCAACTACGAGTATACATATAGAAATTTATTTACTGCTAAAAGGGATCTGTCATATGTATATTTAAATAATAAAACAACATAAAAGCATAAAAACACAAATAGGATCTTGGCACCTGTAAAGGGACTCACCATTTCAGCTTTGGCAGTGAACATGTTAAGAATGTAGTTTGAATTAGCTTAATATTTTCTAATTTGGCCTAATTTCAAAGACATTTTTTTAGAGTTCTACTGTTGTGCCACCTAATCAGTATATCTACTAAAAAAGCTAGTATTGATCTTTGCTAAAAATAGCATTTTGTGCAATACGGAACTTGTGAGGTTGGCTGATATGTGTGAATTATTAAATTTAAATAACAATGTCTAATGTGTGTTCATGTGAAATGTCACAATATGTGCATTTTCAAAATATTAGTTTGCAAAATCATTAATATCATTATCCCATTTTAATGCAGTTTGCTTATATAGTACATTATTTGTAGTTTGTATACTTCCCTCTGAAAGTTAGTGACTTATTTCAAATGTACAAACATGATGGACATGCTTAAGCAGTTATCTAAATAATTCTGTTTATTCATGTAATGAAAGCTTTATAGTTTAAGATTTAAATATTTGTTTTACTTTTATTCTTTGTGTATTTAAATTCATTAATAAGAAATAAGATAACAATTTTAGGGAAAAGATAAAACCTCTGCATATGATTGTGGTAAAAATTTCTTCTAAACCGTACATTTAGAATTATTTGTGTGATGTACAGATTTGTATTAGTTATGTGATGACATGAAAATGTGTCCTAATTAACACTTCAGCGATTTCTTAAATGTTATCAAGGAGAAAATTTTATTGGTAAGAAATGTATAGAAAATATGTCGAGTACTGTTTAATACCTCAATGCTTGCTTAAATATTATCAATGAGAAATGTACTTAATGTGTGTGTGTGGTAGAAGTTTTGTGAATTATTGCTTGTAAAAGTAGATCTGCTTGATCTTTGCCTATGCCATGAAACTGTTTTTTATTGTAGTATTTAATTTTATTTGGATAGAGCCAAGATTATTCTAGTCATAAGTTACAATGTTAGACGTTCATACATGTATTATGCCACATTTGTAGATTGTGCATGTCGAAACTCAGTGACTTTTAAATATTTGTCATGTATTTTTGTGATAAATAAAATACATGGTGCAGTTGATGTATTTTCTTGTACTGTTTTTATTTCTTTAGTCTTCTTTTTAGGTTTGCAGTAATTTCGTAACAATTTAATGCAGGGGTGGCCAACCTTTTTTGGGAAGAGTGTCACTATCTGAAAAAAAAAAAAGTTATGCGTGCCACTTCCAACTTTTCCAACATACCAAAAATGTGAAAAAGTTATTTATATGCTGATTATGAGATTTTTAGGCAAATAGTACATTTTTTATGTAAGTCTGAGTAATGGACATTTAAAAAATAATGTAATAAATAAAACATACAAACTAGGGTTTTATTGTTAATAAAAAATTTTAAAGGTTCAGTCAGTAAGGTTTTGGATAAACTAAAAATGAAAAATTTGAAACATTTAATTCTAAATAGCTAATTAAACTTCAGTGCTTAATAATTAATGTGGTTTTTGAATGTGTACTTTTTTTATCAAGTTATCTATATTAAGATTAGTTCTTGAAGATGCTAACAAAATTATATGTTTTAAGTAAATATCAGTTATTCTTGAACGATATTTTGATTTTATTATGTTCATAGTAGAAAACATTTGTTCACAAACATATGCTGATCCAAATTTACAACAATATCTAACAGCCAAATTATGTAAATTTGGAAAATTGTTTCTTGGACAAATTTCCAAAATTCAATGCTGTTTAGATCGCTTGTAGTTGAAATCAGTTCCTTATATTTGTTTTTCACTGTAGTATGCTGCTGTAGGTCAATAATTTCGATATGGATTTCAGTTGGGTAACAACAGCTTGCGAAGGAATTGGATTATTATATTTATTCTAATGTATATAGTATGTGTTTTAGTTAATACAGATGGTATTATTATTTTTTCAGATCTTTTAATTTTTCAAAAAGTCTTTCGCGTGCCACCGTTTAAACTCCGCCGTGGCATGCGTGCCACAGGTAGGCCAGCCCGGGTTTAGTGGGTACTTCTGTAGCAACTTTGGTGACAGAAAACAGTGTTGGTGCAATTCGGACTTAAGAAACTGTGATTGTAAATATGCGCTAAAAGAGAAATTGACTTCGATAATCCATAAACCTTTAATTCATTCAATATCTGTACATTAGAATTTATTTGGCACTCTCTTCTGTAGCGGCCTTGCCGAAAATGTTTACTTGGCGCGTTTTAGCATTGGCAAGAAACATATTTCTGGTTACCTGTCTGTGCATATGCATTCCTTCTAGCATATATCTAAAACATGAAGATTTTTCATTTGTGCGTATAGTTTCTGTTTCTTTGGCTAGTAAAAATTTTCGCGGGTAACCCATCAGCGCATATGCGTTTCTTCTATACATATATTTTTCTTCGACTAATGAAAATTTTCGCTTTTAAATTACAGCAATTTTTCATTGCAAATACTTATCACGCTTACTATTTCTAATCTGCTTTCAACTAAAAAGGAAGATACACTTTACTTTCTTGTACGAAGTAAAGGAAGTATTGTAATCGCGAAAATTTTTGGATATATTTCAAAAGAAATATCCATTGGGCAATAGACTGTAATGTATAATGGCTCTGTGTATCTAACTATGTTCTACAATGAATCTAAATACTGCGTCTAAATTTCCATATTTGTGGTTTAGCGGTGTTTCTATGTAGACCAACCATTCAATCTAGTTTAAAAGGGGGTGTATTAAAATACGAAAAAAAATTAATCTAATCTAGAATATTTTTAACATTCCATTCGCAGATTCAATCTGCATCAAATAAATCGAAAGCCAGTTCAGATTGTTGACACTTAGGGTCTCTAAATTAGTGCGAAATCTGAATGTCAACGCGAAAATCAGTTTGTACTGATTTTCACGTTGACATTCAGAAGCGAAAGAAAGTGTCTGTTCAAACCTGAACATCACAGCTCTCGTTGGACGGTTGTCCGACATTTGGGAATGGTAATGTACTGGTATTGCAGACGGCTTGATGAAAGATTTCATTTAATGTTCCAACGTCCACTACTCGTATTGAGAACGTCTTGTCCTCAATGCGAACTAGTGTCTAATTCATTAGAGTCTTGTTTTAACCCTGCAGTAAAATGAGTCGTATTACTTTGAGATTGGATGTAGGTTGATTTAGACCGGGTCTTCAAATAGTTGAGATATTCCACACTCCAATGATTCTAGAGATTAGCTTTGCCTTTCAGAATTAAAGTCCATGTAGGATACAAGAACAAGGAATCTACAGTGTCATTTGGTTCTGGTATCGACAAAAGTGGAGCGCCTTCCAGGAAATGACCTGAAGCCAAAGGTTGGGGATCCATTGGATCAGTAAAAATAGATGATAGAGGTCAAGAGTTCAAGCAAGCTTTTATTTAAGTAGTTAATGTATAAAGCTCTTTCGAGAAGTTTAAAGATGTTGTTTTCGTAACCTTTATCAAAATTCTCCTCATTGACTTTATAACAGCCTCCCACAATCCCCCAAAATATAGGAAAGAAGAAGGAATAAAATTATAGGTTGTGTCTTCGAAACAAAGTGTTGAACAGTGTCCAGTCTTCAAATTCTAAGGAGGTTATCAAGAACATCTTTTGCTACCTTGAATTTTGTAGCGTTATCACCCCAAGCAATGGAGAATTTGGACCGTCTGGCAATAAATCTTCTAAGACATGCTAGAAATGCTTCAGTAGACAAATCCCATAGTATTTCTAAATGGATAGTCTTTGTACTAAAGCATATAATGTTGCTATACATGATTTCAATTAATTAGATCTTTTCAAATTAGGTTTTGTAATAACTGGTTCTGCTAGTCTAGTCTTATTTTTTCGAATGGTCCTGTTGTTATTACTGAATCTCTAGGGAAACCTCCCACCATCTGGCTGATAGTCTGGTTCCTTGTCTGAAAGCAAGTCATGCATTTATTCATAACATGTCTGACTCTTGTCTTATTCGAAAGGTATCCAGTATCATTGTCTAATAAGAGAAAGTGTTGTTTTAACGAATGAAGAGATTTTTCGTGATAATAATCTATGAATAATTCAATGAAATTAAGTCTTGTTGGTAACAAAAGCTGATGTTTCTGAACTTCGGAAAGATTCGAGATACTCAATCTGCTACCAGCTCATAGAAGTTCATCTCTGTCCTGAAATACATTTAAAGATGAAACCTTCCTATTATTTGGAACTGGTCGTTTCGACAGCAAGTACGTAATTTCAGATTGAAACTCAGAATATTGTACACTGAAACGCAGGATATTTGGCTGCCCAGACGGGAAAGTAGTTAACCCTTCAATGCATGGTTTTTTACATTTTTACGAAACATTTTTTCTCTTCATGGTCATGTTTTAAATAAATATGGAAAAATATTTAACATATTTTATTGGTTAATTTTTGAATTTTTAGGTTTTATGCATATACGCATCATTATGAAAAAATCATTTATAGTAATATAATTAATAAATATTGGCATGGAATACTTAATTATTTGTTGTTTTTAGAAGACGCTGACGTTAATTAAAATTTTATGGAAACTTAATTCAAATTAATCGTGTTCAGACTTTATAAAAATTAAAATTATGATGAAATTTAAATAAAAATGACATCAAATATTTTGTACATGTACACTGCGGAAAAAAAGGGAGTCAGTTATATATTTCCCTTTCTACTGGGCCGATTGACGAAATTCAACTTGCGTTTTCCATGTCTCGAAAGCTCGACTTAGGATATGTATTAGATTTATATATAGCATTGTTCTATATTGTAGGTATTTTGACCCAAATTTGGATTTTTTCTGAAATGACATGCCAATTTTTTTCATATATCGACTCAACGACTCAAATTTTGCCAGAGTGCCAAGTTTTGTAAAAATCGCGAAGTAGTTTTTAAAAAATTAGCTCTCAAAATTTTAACTTCTCCATGTTAATTGAAACTGATGTATATTTATTTATTAATACCTTTTTTTTTTTTATTAAACTTATTTGATTCTTCCTTTCACATTTCAAACTTTAGTTTCATTCCAAACAAAATTCACCCATTTTTAATGATTTATTTTTAGAATTTGTATTTTTAAATAACTTTTCTAAATATTTCGAAAAACATTTTGAATTATAACCTATAAAATTTTTACCATCATCTTAAAGGAATTGTATTTTTTAAGCATATCTGCAAAAAATTAGAGTTTTTTATTCAAAATTCCTAAAATTATACATGAATTGGCGAGTTTTGAAATTTGCCATATTTGTTATAAGCGATAATAACGCCAAATCTGGTTATGTTAAAATCACTTGAACGATGACTTTTTTCCCGATAGTGTACAATGAAACAAAGGAAAGGAAAATAGGTTGCTATAAATTATAAAGTTTACCAAGTGAATTATTCTTGAACTGAAAAAAAAAAATGTGCCAAAATAAATTTTAAATTTCTCACCAAAAATTACAAAACTTAATATCCGGGCATAATTTGAGTCTGAGAAAGAAAATATGGAAAAAAATTGGCATGTTATTTTTAAAAAAGTTCGATTTTGAGTCAAAATACCTATGTTAGAACAATTCTATATATAAATATAATATAAATCCTACGTCGCGCGTTCGAGACATCAAAAATGCAATTTGAATTTCGTGAATCCGCCCGGTAGAACGGGAGATATCGAATCCCTTTCTTTGCGCAGTGTATATTCATTGATAGTGCAATTTATGTTGTATGAAAAATTTTTAAACAATTTCTGCGCTTATTTAGACATAATGCTACAGTGCATTTTTCACATCCAATAAATGTCTGGAATTTGCAATTTGGCATTTTACGACGAGTGCGATTTTCATTCCATATGGGAACATGTTGAATTTTATCCTCTCTGACACAGACTGGAGGAATCTTTGATGCAAGGCCTCTCTGTCTTTTCACATTGTAATCATTTTGTAAAAGACCGCTCGGTCTTCCAAGCATATACTGTGAACTTTACCCATTTTGGACAGTCCAACGGATACCTTAGAGTCAAAGGTGGCCAAGTTTAGTAAATCCTTGGGATTGGCTCCCTTTCGTAGAGATGGATCATTATCATCATCTG